GGGGATAGGCACGTGACCAGTCATGTGGTAGGCACGTGATGGCATGTGACCTTGTGGTCGTGATGTAGGGACATGTGACCAGGTCTGGAACGTTCTAGAATAGTCTTGTGCATGTTGACTCAGCGGTTTGTACCCATTGTGCCCATTGCTGGACCCACTGGATATCCATGAAGGATTCCTGTAGTGTTCACTCGTTAGTGTACAGTGAGGACGTGCCCTAAAGGGTCAGCCCAGGATGTATATAAGAACCACCTGTATCGTAGAATAGTTCCCTAACTCGATCTCCTTTGCTTCTCGCCATACTCAGTGTGACCTTGTGTCCTGGTGTATCCAGCCCCAAGCCCACGGTCTCAGTTCACCCATATTCTCTCTGGGCTAGTGCCCCTAGGACAAGCGCTCCTAGTACTCACATTCGTACGCCGACACCCTCAGCTACAGGGTTAGGCTTGGTTTGGGTTTGGTTAGGGTTTGGCTATAGGTGACGCCTTAGGTTTAGTACCAGGCTACCTTAGCAGTATACTTGATTGTCGGGGACATCGGCGCAAACAGCGGTTCTGTAAGTCCTCCCCTCATGATATCGTTTGGTGGTCTGACTTGTGGATAATGTATCACCAGGGTATGGACTTTATCAATGGACAAACTTTCCTCGAGAGGTTCTACAGTGTCTTCGATACCACTAACCAGTGAGTATCTGATGAGCTGGTCAGCGACATGCAGAACGAATACTAACTACTCTCATCAGGCGCGTCGGGATTGCGGCCACTCCGTTCACGACCTCCACGGTTAACTGATCGGGATGACTTGTGGATAGTATTTTTCGGGGAGGATATGATGGTCAGTGTGGTCCAGAGTATGCTGAGGAGTCTCTAATTATCCGTCGTGCCTCTTGTGTAGATCTGCCACGATGAGGTTTACCACACGTTCGTTTCAACTCTAACGTTGTGAAGGTAGAACGTGTATGCACGAATTTGTCTCATGTTGCCAAAGAAACTTGAACAGGGGAGCTGAGACCATCCCATGGGATGAAAGAGCCTGACATGAGTACAGTCGACGGAGGTGAGGTCTGCGCAGGCCCATTAGCTTCGTACTCCTATGCCCAAGCCACTCCACGATTGGGAAAGAAAGCTGAATATGCTTGCATTAGAATCTTGTTACCCATCGAACTGCTTAGGAAACGAACACTATGAAGCAGACATGATATCCATTTGTGATTAGCGAGCCATTATAACCAATGAAATCATGCAAAGGTAACATTGAGAAACACAAAAGAGTGTTCTTTGGCCCTCAACAGAAGAGTCCGTGGTATCTTCCATAGCGATATGCGAGACCTGACGAAAAACCCCTTGACGCCACCCATCACCTGAACAATGCAGCCTATCTCACTCAAAACTTAAACCCGCCCGCTAACGCCATAACATTACCCGGATCCACGCTCGCCTTGATCGCCTTCAACCTCCCCACATTATCTCCCCATATGCTTTCTAGATCCTCGTCATAGAGAGCATAATTCCCGTATATCGGCGCATCGTCAACATCCTGGCCCTCCGCAACCGCCGCCGCCCGGATAGTGCTCGCCGTCTCGATTAATGCGTCGTGGAATGTAGAGTCGAAGAGAGGATCGATGTATGCGTAGTAGATATTGGTGGGGAAGTATGTGACGGAGCGGGTGGGTGGGAAAGCGGAGTCGGGACCTTTGGAGAGCATGTTGGGAAGGAAGGGCTCGACGTCGTAGGAAATGAAGGCGCCGGAGTCGAGGGATAATTGGAGTTTGGTTCCCCATTTCTAGAACGAAGACAAACGTGTAAGAATGCAGTAAAACGACGAGCTGTAGATAGTCGAGACTTACTATGGTTTCCTGGATGATGACGTCCATAAGGTTGTTCGAGTAATCCGTGACAGAGACCGTATTGAAGAGCCCACTGTGAGTTGTGGGTAAGAAAGGAAAAAATCAGAATAGATACGGTGCTATGAGCCAAGCCGTATTGTTTCTTACCGAAGCCCAGACGTGGTGTTAGCCGGTGCACTCTGGACTAACGACACGAAGGATCTCGTGCTGACATCCTTGGTGAAATACGGAATCGCGAGGAACTCGTCGAAAATACCATCTGGAGGGGTCGGGTCATCGTAGAACAACAAGAGCGAAACACCAGGCTGAGAAAAAGAGAGACCGACGATTGGCGATGGCAATATCAGCACCAGGTTCAACCATCAAAGTGAGTCGAAAAGGAGTGACTCACAGCACCAAGCACGAAGTTGAATGTAGGAATGGTGGCGGCCTTCGGGTCGGTCGTGTTTGCCACAAAGGATGCGACCGCGGCTGCGGTCTGGTTGAGATAGGGTTCAGTGATGGTGATGAGTCCGCCCTAGTAGCAAGAGCCATAGATCGAAGGTGGTGAGATCTCGTCGTCAGTGGAAGAAGCGTATGCAGAGTTTACCCAGACTTCGGTTTGAGGGAATGTCTTGAGGGTGAACTTAGTCACAATACCCTACGCAATCATAGGGAGTAAGAAGATAAAGGATGATAGAAAAGGGTCCTAATGGTAGTCATACGAAGTTGTTGAAACCACCCTATACATCGCAAGGGTATCAATTAGCGTGCTCAGTCTATCTCCACGGGAGTAGAACACGAACCTTCAAAGCCCAGAAGAGGTCATCGTTGTCGGAAGTGACGGTTGTGACAGTCCCATTAGGGAGGACAAGTTCATAAGCTTGAATAGTGTCGACCGTCAGACCGTACTGGTTGGACTTCCACGAGTACCCTGATGGCAGATCACAAACAAAATATTATATCAACATCTGTTGCCTCCATCATAAACCCGACGGGGAAGAGCACGTACCTCCGCCAAGGGTGAACCCAGCCACGCCAACACCCGTCACACGACCTCCAACGACGTTGACTGCATACGGCGCAAGAGCCTCATATACGTCGTCCCAGATAAGGCCCGCCCCGATCTCAACAGTGCTTGCAGCTTCGTCGTAGATCACTTCACCAAAGCGGGACATGGAGATTTGGACGCCGGCGGTAGATGAGAAGCCGGGATTGGAGCTGTGGCCGCCACCTTTAACCTTCATAACGTTGATATCATGAGTTAAGCCAATATGAGTGAAGTGGAATGAGTGGACGAACGGCGAATGATGTTTGGTTCTCGCCGAGAATTTGAAGCTAGACGAGATAGAAAGACTTCGTTCACCACTATACATATGGCAGGAAGGATGGGGTAGTGTGGACGCACGATGGTTCCAACGTCCTCAGCTGTCCCGGGCTCTACTGAGCATGTCGACGACTGCGCGCTTGATGAAGCCCAGTGAGCGTTGTCCGCGGTATACTGTATGGACACTGCCATAGAGAACAAGAGTGATCCCTAATCAGCAGGAGGATCGAGTGAAGGTATGGTCGGCAGGGACACATACGAGGGTAAAAAACTTCTGAGGCCGACGAAATGGAGGATGCTATGCTAGCACAGACGGTGTTCACGTCTGAGGACCTGCGACTGAGCGTAGCACAAACAGAGATACACGAAGAAAGCGAGAGAAGGGCGCTGGTCAATGCCAAATAAGAAAGCGTTGGGGCCATGACCTAGTCAACGTCGAGCGGGGAAAATGCACCTCGCGTGAGGATAATGGAGACGTCATCCCAGAACGGTTTTATACCGTCAATGGACCTCAGACTTTCGCTCATGGACCGATACCTGGAAATGTTGCGTTTTTTCTCATGCACAGTTCGGCGACTCTGTTGACGACGAGGATGGACCGCATGCTCGCCCTGATGGAGCCGCTGACCACAGGCCGTTATGAATGCTTAAAACAGGAGATGACCGTGAGGCGGAGGACAATGACACATTGCCTCGGAGGACCTGGAGATGTCCCAACGCGGGATTAGGGGGGCTTTGGGGTTCTAATTGACATCTCGGCACGGGGTGATTGACGTACTTTGCTCATCATCCACTTCGCTGGAGCAAATAATGGCCTCTGATGGTGGGGCCGCTCATCCAGCTGGATGGCACACGCAGGTATCGGATGGGGATGGAATACCCAAATAACAAGACCTACCGGAGCTACGCCCCGTTTGTCAATAAATATATCGGACAGTCGGCCTACAGAAGCGAGATGATCAGTGTGAAACTCAGACTGGTCTCACCAAAAGAGGGCAATCTTTACGGCCAAAATGGTTAACCGCCGTCGTCGCTTGAAAGCACTAACCTTTAATTGCAGGATAAACGTCGATGCCTTCAAAGTGTGTTAGCGCACTGGCCAGAATGGCAATACCTGACTATTTTAGTTCGAACCTCAAGAAAGCACCTCAAAAAGAAATGAAAACGGCAAACACAACCAAACGAAATGGAGACATCTGCGTTATGAGAGGGTTGGTTGCAGAGCTCAACGGGGTCACTTGTTTTTGCAATTGAGCGAAGTGACGCGTCATTATCGGCACTCGACGGACGATTGCGAATGTCATGGAGGACAAATGGGGTCCTCGCAGGTCGGAAATTACTCGAAATGCACGAGTCGACCAAGGATCTGTGAGAGTGGATGTGCCCATCATGCACGGACGTGCACCGTCCTAATTCCTCTTCGGACAGCCACGGGACGACAGCAAGGCCAAGGATACCCGTCCATTCTCATCGTCATACACATGTTCTCTAGATTAGTGAGGTCGAGAGCCGCACGAAGCGAATGACCGGACGATACAGAGCCCGTTGCGCAATTAAGGCGGCTTGCAGACGGCAGCGAGGGGATCTTTCAGAAAGGTCGAGAGAATAGAAGCATACATACGTCCTTATGGAACTATTACGCAGGAGGACGAACTTTAAGCATATAAGCGTATGGCATCTGTCAAAGCAAGGACATGATTTGCAAAGGTGAAGAATACGGACGATATACCTTCCTGCGTAAACTACCCACCAAAAAATCCCTTTACTTCACCAACATTGTAGATTGGTTTCGAGGGTGATTCTATGGGGTATCTTCACCCTAGTCTCACGGTGTAAACTTTGCGTTAGAGTCAAGACGCTGACGACTGGCGAAGGTCAGGTCCACACGACACGGTATGCGGTGCGGGCTCGTTCTATGCAAAGAGCCGTAGAAACCATGGGAGCATCGTCAACCAGAAGGCGAAATCGATGACGAGAACAAATATTCAGGGAACGCGGCCACTGATATATATACGTGAACTTGATGAGCGGTGGGGACGCGCCATTCAGGCGGGGCGTGGAGAAAAGCCAAACATATTGCCTTTCACAGAAAGGGAAGTCACGTCGTGACAGTCAACTGTACAGCTGAGCTCGGGAGTCTCCGGGTGGCTTGCTGTGGCGCGTTGGCTGGTGACCGCGTCCAACGTTAAGCAAGAAATCCCCGCCGCCGCCGTCCCCTTCATCCCCGCCGACTCCTCAAGATGGTCAGAAGTACGTCCAATCCCGTAACGGAGCCATGTCCGTAAATATTATGCTCATTTTTGCTTTTAGTTTACAAGCCCGGAAAAGTACGTTTACCCTGCCCTAGGCCACAAGCAGCACGGATGGACAATTGACTTACACAATCACGCTATATCAACTTAGGTTGCGATCCTCCTTCAAGGTCGTCAGGCAGGCAAGAAGGTCGTTGTTATCAAGCAGTTGGACGAGGGCACCAAGGAGCGCCCCTACCCGCATGCCATCATCGCCGGTATCGAGCGTTACCCTTTGAAGGTCACAAAGCGGATGGGTGCGAAGAAGCTGGCGAAGAGGAGCAAGGTTAAGCCTTTCATCAAGGTGCGTCGCTTTACTTTACACTCCTTGTCTTCGATTCTGACTAGCATGCGCGTTGCTTGGTGTATGGTCTGGTTCATTGGGTCATGATGTGACTTGGTTTCGAATGCGATTGTTTAACGGGAATCTGGTGGGGTCTGGTCATTCGGGATCTGTACGGCGGAATGACTGAGAAGACCGTCAACTACTCGCACCTTTTCCCCACCCGGTACTCCGTCGAGCTTGAGGGTTTGAAGGGTGTTGTCGCCAGCGAGACGTTCAAGGAGCCGTCACAGCGGGAAGATGCCAAGAAGCAGGTGAAGAAGCTTTTGGAGGAGAGGTACACCAGCGGAAAGAACAAGTGGTTCTTCCAACCTCTTCGCGTGCGTCCTTTCACCGTTCACCTTCACTTCTACTCTTTCGCCCTAAGCCATATCTCCTCCCTATCTTCATGTTTCGCTCGCCTTTTATCTGATTCATCTATCGCCCTCTTTCTTCTCCCACTGATCCCATTTGCTTCCATCTCTAGTTCTGATCGTCTCGTCGGGTTTCGGTTTCGTCGCTACGCTGTCTTTGACCCCAAAACTCGCATGTACTTCCGAACATGTCCATGTCATCCTCCCATGATTCCATGCTCTATTCCATATCTGCTTTCCGGGAGTCTTGCTTGTCGCCCATGTTGGGCTTGGGTGGTCGCTTGAGAATCGGATTTGTGACCTTGTACTTCTAGCACGGCATTCTGTTGATGGTCCGATTGCGCGTGTTCAAAGCCCTCCACCAAGCCAAAGATGCGATGAAATTTCAATATCTATAATGGTCTTGAAGTGGAAGAAGTCTAGTCTGGGAAATCCTGTCCATCGCGGCTCCACTGAAGTACTGAAGAGTGGCGTTGTTTTAAGCGCTTGAGGTCGGCTTGCATCGACGTCTAATCGACGATGTCTTGTTCCATCACCATCTCTGGCACACTCAACGGCTACGTAGGCCATGTCTTCGCGTCCTTCTCGTTGTCTTGTCCGAGGTGCCATCAGTGAGTGTGCGCCACAATGAAATATACATTCAATGACATCGTTTTTTTTCGAATAGATATCGACGAGCTCTTTCACGGTATTTATTTGCCTCATCGTCTCTACAGCTTACATAATTACGCGGATGTATGAATCACGTAGTCGACGATGCTGTGCGACCAGGGGAAACGATATTCTCAACTGAGCTTGAGCGGAGAGTTGGAGGCAAAGGTGCCAACCAGGCCGTGGCGGTCGCTCGCGCCGGTGGGAGTGTCGCTCTCGTAGGCGCTGTAGGCGAGGATGGAGGCTGGGTCATTGACCAACTGAGGGGATATGGGGTTGATGTCAGCGCAGTTCATGAGGCGGAGGTACGTCAAGAAGGCGGAGGTACGTCAAGACGACGAAGATCGCCTTCTTCCAAGCGTTAAATTAAAATTACAGGGGTCCACAGGACGTTTGATTGTCCTGCTCTCACCGAACGGACAGAAGCGCATAAGTGAGACCGAGTGTCCAATTGCCATTCCAAATTGTCGCCTGACTATGTCGAACGTTTGTATTCTCAGTCCTTCACAAAGGCGCCAATCACACCCAGACCCCTCCCTCGTCCCATTTCTCATCCAAGTCCTCTGAACCTCTGACCTCGACCATAACCCACATTCTACTCCAGAATGAGATCCCTTCTCAAACGACCATTTCCCATCTCACCCATTTCCACCATCAATCCGCGACTACCATCTTCAACCCGTCTCCCATGCCCTCACGAGAGGAACTCTTCCACTTTCCCTGGAAACACCTGGACTGGCTTCTTGTCAACGAAGGAGAAGCAGAAGCATTGCTGAAGTCTTTACGATACCGCCACAAACATGGGAATCGTGCATCCGACCATATCGCCCATTCTAAGGGAGATAGTTCTCAAAATCGGAATCACGAGCAAGGTCAAGGCACAAGGTCTCACGGTTCCTCACACACAAGTCCCGCTGTAGATGATGACGAGGAAGACACCCCAGACGTCGAGCTTCACGACGATTCGGCTCGCCCATACATCGTGATGCCTACCGGGGTATCCTCTTCCGAAAAGTACCAGCCCATCTGGACAGCTTACTCCACCATCAAACGCCTCCACGTTCACAGACACTTCTCTGAACGCACCAATATTGTGTGCACTCTGGGCGCGCTCGGAGTGATTGTGCTTATTCATGACCAGCAGGAGTGTTTGTATCTTGAAGCCGCGGAGTTGAAGGGCGCTGTTGGAGGCGGGGAAGATGTGATCAGGGACACAACGAGCGCTGAAGATTGTTTCGCAGGATATTTTGTGAGAGGTTTGATGCAGATGCACGAACAGGGAGTGTCGCCTATCGGACTGAGAGAGGCGGGTGATTTGATGAGGGTTTGCTTGACGGTGAGCTCTTGTTTTTGGGTCTCGTAGATGTGTGGCGAGTTGAATGTGGCTCTTCAGGCTGCTGCTATGTGTGTTGAGCGTCGTTCAAATGGCGCAATGGAGAGCATACCGAGCAGTGAAAAGGTTCAAGAGAGGTTGGCCCAAATGCCTTGATGGTCTTTTAGGTCTGATAAACCTGGGGACGCTTGAAGAAGTATTTTCATATTCATACCAGTTTTGTAGCGCATAGACATGCAACAAATCCTTGTAGATTGCATCTAGTGGGCTGGCCACATGGCCGAGGTCCCGAAGTCTGGCCTTGGCCTTGGCGGCATTCGTATTCTCGCCATTCTCTACATAATAAGATCGGTTTCGTTTTGTCTACTTCAACCCTGCTTATAGAGGTAGGGCAAGATTTGGGTGCCCACTGATCCCCATCGAACTGCACGGCAAAGCGTACTCTAGACCTCCCAATGTCGATCATACCTGTGGCCTACCAGAGTCTCGGTTGAGACGATTGGGCCACGCGCGGACAACGCTTTTCATACGGAATTTGTGCGTCAATGAACTGCCTGTCAACCTCATGGTGAGCTCGAGGCCGTGAGCACGGTGCTGCTTGATCATCTATCTCATCGGCCAGCACAGCGATGAAGAGACGTTCTCTCTCGTTTGCCCCGCCATCTTCCTGATAAACAGTCCGCTTTCCCTGCTCTGTGTTCCTAGTTTCGATCCCTCTTGACTTGATTCGCTTGAATACGGTATGTCTCAGCGAAGACTTTCCATATCGTGCGTATGTTTCCGGCCTTTTCGGATCTCTTGATGTTCGGCTGAATAGGCGAACAAACGTATGGCATTGGTTTTGTTTTTGTGGATCGGGATTGGATTTTGGTCTTGGTCTTGGACTTGGGACTTTGGATTGGATGTGGAAGGTCCGATTCTGAATCTACTATCACCAGGGTCGAATATAGCCCGAAGCCCACATCGAGCAAGATTCTGAGCCAGTCCATTCCATTGCAATATCATCCCGTCTTTTATATCGACGATGGGAATGTCATTCTCCGGGTGAGCCTTGCCCTCTATCCTGAAGCCGAGTTGATTTAGATGCTCATAACGGTCCGTGATACCTTAGGCAGACTCGGACGAGACACTTTATAAGGTCCACCGGTATTTCTTGACAAGGGAGTCAAGCTTTTTCGAGCAACTATTGGCGAATCCGTATGGGCAGTTGGAGGAGGGCGAAGGTGAATCAGACGACCGACCTATCGTTCTTCCAGAGACTACTGTAGTGGAGCTCGACAACCTTCTCCGACTGATATACTTCGGGTACGTTCGTCACAATTCGCGATGACCATTCATCAACTAATGAATTGCGCCACATCCTCAGCATGCACGACGACTACCGAGCCTCCCTCCAGGTTTGGAGTGCCGTCCTCTCCATCTCCGCACGTTTCTCATTTGATCGCATCCGCCAACGAGCCATCAAAGAACTCTCTGCCCGCCAGTCAACAATGGACCCCATCGACCAAATCGTCCTCTCCTTCAAACATAACATCCCCTCTTGGCTCGTACCAGCCTATATCGCTGCTGTCCGACGTACACGTCCTCTCACACTCGCTGAAGCGTCGCGTGTTCCGCTTCATACGGTCATGCTTCTGACGCGATCGAGAGAGATGTATTGGAACAGGGACAACATGCCGTGCACGAATTGCAGTTATGTGCATTCCGGGAGGGGAACAAATGGGGTGGGAGGTTTTGCAAGTCATGCGGGACCGGGTTCGGCGAGCGGGAAGAGAGTAGAGAGGGCCTGGTGGGGTGGCGATGAGGGTGTTACGCCACATAGGTCGGCAGAGGAGATTGTGGCGGAGCAAATCAGGATTATGGGGAGTGTGATGAGCTGAGGTGACTATGATGGCTGGGACTCGAGGTATGTTATGTGTATTTTTATGACGAACGGAGACTAACACTCGCGAGTTGTTCATAGGACTATCCTTCCCGTCCGTTGGTTGGTTGTGGGCCGTCCGGTTGTACGATAACGTCGCTTTCTTTGCTTTCTTCATATCTTCGTCGAGGTTTGCACTCAACGGCGCGCGCTTGATTCGGCACTGCGTACCGAAGTTGAAGTTGTTCATATCGTACTTCGGCTTACGCGTTTTGATGGTTCCATCGCATGACACGACCTGTGCGTACCAACGTCAGTGTTCAATCCGGCAACCTCTATAGAACACTGAACGTACCTCTCTCGATTATCCCTTGGCCATTGATAGTCGCCAAGGAGCGCGAGGGGTTCCTTGACGATCTCCTCTGCGGATCGCCTATGTGCAGACACCCACTTTACATTCGTCGTCGCTGTCATCCCAGAGCTCCAACTATGCCGATGGTGAACGCGTCGACCTCCAATGTAGTTACTAACCCAAGTCCAATTATCCCGATGATAATATAACTCTCGCACGCGCGAGAGAACGATGGCGATCTCTGGAGGCAGTTTCACGGCAACATCGACTGTAAGGGGGGCAGGATCGTAGACCAATTTGGCATATGCGGGCTCGAGCCATGAAGGGATGTCGCAGCAGAGTGCCATCAGGATCTGTTCGGTTGGAGGAAGACCTTCTGTGACGCTGTCCTTCCGCGCAGTAAGTTCGGCAATAGCATGCTGTTTGATACCTTCAGACTCGAGTCGCCATGCAATCTTCAAGAGCATCGTCCACTCGTCGATGGTAGGACAATATGCCTTGTGCATCCTGCGAGCACAAGTCCCGGTCAGTCGTGTCGTTCTTCCTGAGGACAAAGGAGTACGGCTTTGCACTTACCCGAAGTATATGAATTCCAGTAATTGGTCAAATTCGAATGGAGTGACGTTGTGGAGGACAAGGGGGTTTTGTTCCGACTTTCCTGGGCCTTCTGTGTCGTCGGCTCGCCAGGATTCCTTCCGCTCGAAATTCCTCTTGAAGACGGCAGACTCGCGGATGAGAAAGTACCGATGTACCTTGTATATGCAGTCACCCACCTGGACTCAAAACCACAGGTGAGACAATGCAGGCGCCAAACAGCAGGCAGATGTACCTGCAAGAAAACATTCCCATCTTCAAAGAAGTATCTCGGATGGAATTTGAGGTCGTCTCTGTTTTTGAGAATGCTACGACTATCGATTGCATCGCGACGTCAGGACCGCAATGCAGTCGATGAGGCCGGAGCTGAGGTGATGTGATAGATCTCGGCTTACGTTGGCGTTTGTGACCTGGGCTGGGACATCTTCAGAGATGTTTGGCAGAGAGCTGTCATGAATGAATGTGTAGTAGTAGGCAGGAGGAAAAGCTTGGAGTGGCGCGAGGCATGCAGCGCTATATGAAGCGGTTTTGAACAAAGACCTTTGTGCCACACAATGTTGTCACTAATCCAACGCCTCTTTGGGGCACAGTGAGCATAGAGTGTAGTCACAGTTTCCCTCAAACTACTCCAGCCAAAGGGCGACGATCGTTGACTTCAAGCAGTCAACGAATATATTGAAACTCAACGAGGGATATGTATGCACAGAAGTCCAAGCAGAGCACATAGCGAATATGGAGTTAGAGCTTCCTCCGAAAACGGAAGCAAGGCGCTCATCCCTGCAAGAATGTAAAGAGTCTTCAGCTTTGGTGAGGAAACTGACCAGGTACAAAGGATCACCTAAGAGACTTACAAGCGTCACCGGGTCACTGCTGGAGTTCGTCTTCTGATTGATGTTCAGAAGCCGCATCTGCTCTGAAATGATATCCTCGGGTGTACGTCTTGGTACTGGATCAGGCGGGGCTGCCCGGCCGAATCCACCAAACCCACCTGTTCCCCCAGTACTCGAGGCTCCTGGCCACGCCGATGAGGTAGGGGTGTTCAAAGACCCAAGGGGTACAGAGCATGTTTTGCAGGGAATATTTTCGCGAGAATAAAATACCTCTCGTGACCGTAGGAGTAACAAGACGATCTCCATCGGCAGTTGGGCCGCGTCCTCGCGAGATAATGTTTGGCTCTCACGGACGAGATTGGCACAAGCGGGCTCGAGCCATGACTCGATGTCGTACTTGACAGAAAGGACGACTTGCTTTATAGGGGTAACGCCGCCTGAGCGCTTCCTTCGTGAAGTGAGTTCATCGATTGCGCGTTGTCGGATGAGGTCACAAAGGAACCTCGACGATATGGAGAGAAGTGATATCCAGTCCTCGATGGGTGGTTTATAATCCTTATGCATACTGCCTTGTAGTATACTCTTCAGCACGGGGTGAAGTGAAGAAGGAAGTTTCCACGTACCCAAAGTATAGGAATCGCAGAAGGCTATCGAACTCCGCTCTGGTCGTATCTGCGACCATGATCGGGTTCTCATCGGATTGCCCCTCTACAGTCTCGATCTCGCCTTGAGGCACGGAGAACATGTCGCGAAAGACGACGGACTCGCGGATGAGGAAGTATCTATGTATTTTATAAATACAACCTTCGATCTGGAAGCGGATATTATCGTGTAAGATGGCAATGGATTATTAGCATTACTTGTCACTACGGCGCCTTGATTATGGCCATGAGTTATGGGACTCACCTGCAGATGAACATTTCCATCCTGAAGGTAGAAAGTGTCGTGCCGCTGCACTCCTGGAGCGTCTGGGTTCGTGAGAACAGCCTGATTGGGTTGGGGGCTGTCATCCCCCACGGTATCGAGGTCAGCGCAAAAAATCTCACAATTAGAGGAGACTAGTCAACCAAAAAACTGACTGGTCCATAACAGAATGGTAGTAGCCCAGATGACAGTCGTGAAGAGATCCTGGGATCAATGCTACGGCAACTGCAGGGCAACTGCATGTGATGGTGTCAGCACCACGTTGTCGGTTCCACGCAGAGAGGAAGGGCCACCGCCACAGTTACTCGGAAAAGGTCAGAATCGTATAGTATATGGTACAATTATTAAGGCCACTACACGCTCGAAAAACTCAATGGACAGATATAGTGTCTTACACCCCACGTCAAGGGGGTCCCATGCAGCCATCGGGCAATGGGAGAAACTGCGTCTCAGCAAGAGTATACATATGGACAGCAGACATGTCATCACCGTATTTCAGGCCCTATAGATATATATGAGCACGAAGTTACGAAATTACTTATCAGCAGACGCTTACCGTGACCTCTTGGATTCTTCATCCTGATACTTCTTGAGCAATTCCAACTGTTTGTTGACGATTGCATTGGCGGTGAGCTTATGCGTCGTATCCACTGGCGATGCGAAAAATCCGAAGATAGACCCTGATCCATTGCTGTTGCTAGCTGCAGCGCTCGTCAGCGTTGGAGGAGTAGGAGGTATTATGAAATTGTCTGAGTGATGGTAGATTTCTCTGGCGCGTAAGAGCATAGTGGTAACAGTCCACGGTAGTAGGCTCGCGTCTTCGAACGAAAGGGAGTTTCGATCGCGGACAATCTGTTCGTAAGCTGGTCCGAGCCATTGCCCTATATCGTACTTTAGCGCCAGGACTACCTTACTGAGAGGCCGCAGTCCAGAAAACGTCAATTTCGTTATGGCATGGCGGCGGATGCGATCAAAGAGCAGGCGAGTAGCGATGGAGAGTAGATGTGTCCAGGTCTGGTCGGTCGGTTTGTAGTCATCGCGCATCCTAGGGCAAGTCATTAAGACGGACAAACGAGAAGAAAATAATACGAAGTACCCAAAATAGAGATACGAACAGAGATTGTAGATCTCGGCTTGAGTAGTATCCGGTAACAGAATGGCGTTCTCGTCCGAGAGACCTTCAACATTCTCGGCTGCCGCTTGTGGCAACGAGAACATATCTTTAAAAAAATCTGACTCGCGGACTAAGAAGTAACGATGAACTTTGAAAAGAACGCTGCCGACCTGGAAGCTAGTCAGCCTTGGTGAGCAAAGAGCGATGAAGGTACTACGGTTTTCCCACTCGAAGGTGAACATTCCCGTCCTCCATGTAGAAGGTAGGGTGCCGACTAGGTTGAATATGTTCTGCGTCGTCATGAGGGCTAGAAGCGTTGCAAGACATGTTTGATCAAGAAAAGAAGGTTGAGTTCCACAACAGAGTGAAAGGAGAAAAGCTGCGTCGTTACTGAGGCGTGCGAAAATCACTCTCTTTTGTCTTCACGACCAAGTTATCGGGCCCAGCTGGTGACTTGGAACTTCCGGTGCAAGGCAAGTGCAAGGTCAAATGTGGTCTCACTTTCTTGGTCCAATTCCACTTGCTCACAACATTAGAACCGATCGTTATATACGAGTCTCGGTGAGGGATCGATGTCGCATGGAGTTGTTAGCAACCACCTCTCGGGCTCGCGATACCAACATATCCACATACAGAAAGTGCGGCTTTCTTATGCTAGAGGAGAAGGGTTGAGGACACAGTCAAACTCGATCTGAACTTATGCGACTACAATCCAGTACGAAGGGAGAAAACCTAGAAAAATCGTGGACAACGCCGTTAAAGCTGAGGCCTGAGGACTGAAGAACCTAGGTCGTACTAAGAGCAAGCAAAATCCGGATAGCGCATCTGTTTAAGGACATACAAGGATTGAATATATTGACCAGCAATAGTGCGCACACACTTAAAAATCATGCCCCGTTCTTCCCTCGATACCTCGCATCTATATTCAACTCCACCATCATGTCGGTGATGATCTCCTCGGCTGAACGTATGCACTGAGTCGATGCCGTAGAACCACCAGATGCAGCACCAACTGTTGCTTTCGAGCCGGATATAGAAAGGGCAGTGAAGTCGAAAGACTTTGGAGCGGAGGGGGGAGATGAGGGCCGCGGTGGGTCGGCGAAAGGGGTGACAGGAAATGAGGGGTATGCTCCGTTAGACGATTGGGAGAATGGTCCACCAGGAGGTGGGATGGGTGGGGTAAATAGTCCGCCGAAAATTTGGGAAGATGGTGTTCGCGGCGACGTGTGTGCGGTCGACGGGGTGCTTCCGAAGTCAAACGTCTTGTCCACAGGCGTGCTTGCCGACGACGTAGAAGCGATGCTAAAAGCAGGTTTCGGGCCAAAGAGCGAGGTCGGACTCGCACCAAAGGGTGATGAGTGCAGAGGTGGACGGGTAGAAAATTTGAACGCGCGATTTTTAGGGTCACGATAAGCATCTCGAGACATCAAGAGTAACGTGTTTATTTCCGGCGGGAGCTTCTTTGCGTCGTCGACGGACAAAGTGCTCTCTCCTCGGACGAAGCTCGCATAGGCTCGTTCGAGCCACTGCGGAATGCCATATTTTATTGCGATAGTGATCTTCTCCACTGGCGGAATAGCACGGCAGTCTGGTGATTCCAGCCAAGGGCCCGTTAGCTGGGACATCACAAATGCCAGTATCTTTTCGCATTCGAAACGCTTGGAGATCCTCAGTAGGGAGAGCATCTCGTCGAAGCCAGGATGGTAGTCCGGGTATTGACTGGTGAGCGAAGCGTTAGGGGCGACCATATTGGAAAGGGATGGGTAATCGATGGCATACCCATGGTACCAAAATTTCAACAAGGCTTCAAACTCGCTTTCGGTAGTATCCATGAGGACAACCGGGTTGGTATCTGATTCTCCATACCCGTCCGGGCAGTCTGACAGATTCAACATCTTTGCAAAAAGTGTTGACTCTCGGTTTAAAAAAAAGCGATGTACGCGGTAGATACGGATACCAGCCTATGATGAATGGATCATCGAGTGTCGAATAGTTGCCAATCAGTACCACCCAAACGGTAGGCCAGAGGATTGAGATGAACTCACGCGCACAGACACAAGGGCTGGATCCTCGAAGAAGAAAGATTTGCTGCGATGAATCAAGCTGAGCTGAGGGTGGGAACTACCCAACTCGTCCTCAGATTGAGCTTCAGAGTTGCTATGTTCAAGTTCAAGTCGGTATCAGCGAAGGACAAACTTCAATGGAGGCACAGTCAGGCTTACGAAGTCATATCACTACTCAAAGCAAGGAGAAGTATACGAGTCGAAAAGAGTTGACCGGGAAGCTTCAAGAAAATGTAGTGGTGATTGATCAAGAGAGCGCTTAGCGCTCCGGTTGTGGGCAGTTGTGCTCAGTTGTGGACGTCGTGACATCACAATCACTCCATTTCGTACCTGTCACCCAGTGCCACCCGTGCTGACGCCACACACGCTAAGTACCCAACCATGATGTTCCAGATGCCCTAAGGTGAGCGCGAATGTGTACGATATACCTTCGTATTGAAAGAAAGAGGGGCTTCCTAAATCTCGTATCGGAGCCTCTAGAGAACCGAGCATGGAAAGGATCACTCTGCATGACAAGTCAACTTTCAAGATAGTCAGGGCAGGAAGTCCGCTTTGTCGATGGAAAAACATTCGTCATAAAAGAGGTGATCTGGAGTCAGGTCCACCTGAACTCAAGCGATTACAATACAACGACATACTAGATCATGAAGTGCAAGGATACAGCGTACAAGGAGAAAGAAAACGGGAAAAAAGGCGTAAAAGTAGTGTGGTATATACTGCCATAGCTTCAAGACTCAGACCTATGAAAGTACAGAGTGAGTCAAAAACACGACGGTAACGCGAATGCTAACATGCTTACTCTCGCCCTTGGGCGTGCTGGGTCCTCACTTCCTCTCGATACTTCTGAAGAAGGACAAGTTGCTCCGCGAGGATGGATTGTGCACTACGCTTGGGAGCGAGTTCCTTTCTGAGTTGGTCCTCTGGAAGTCCAAAGCACGAACCGCCCCCTGAAGTGGTCGAGAAATGAAATGGCGGTGCGGTAGTGGTCGTAAATCCATGTCCAGCGATGGGGGCGACGCCGGTCGAGGACGGTCCTTTCTGTGAGTGAAAGATTTCTCGAGAACGGAAGAGTAGAGCTGCTATCTCCCACGGGAGTTTGCCAGCGTCTGCGAAGGAAAGAGGTGTCTTGTCAAGTATAATGGATCTATACGCTGGCTCGAGCCATGCGTCTATATCGTGTTGAAGCGCGAGGCGTACTCTTTCAATAGGATTAAAGCGGGAGGATAGGCTTGTTAGTTCTTTGACAGCATGGGTCCGGAAGCAGTCAAAGAGCAAGCGCGAGGAGATTGAGAGAAGGTTAACCCAGAATTCAGGTGGTAGGTCGAGGGTAGATTCATCGCGCATGCTACAAGTGCGACTGGTTAGCGGATGCCATTCAGTAAACTAGGCGAACAGATGTGGACAAAGCATACCACCAGTGTAGGCACTCCACTAGCGCTACCATCTCAGCCTTCGTGGTGCCGGGAAGGTGAATGGGGTATTCGCGAGAGAGACCCTCGGCACTACTTTCCTGCGCTTTGGGCAGCGAAAACATGTCCTGGAAGAAAACAGACTCTCGCACGAGTAAATAACGAGGGACCTTGTAAAGCTCCTTTTCGACCTAATAATAAAGAACCATTATAATAAGCTCCAATGTCGAAGAGGGTGTAAACATTTGAGTCGGACGACTACCCACCTCCAGATAGATGTCCGTGGTGTCGAGGTAAAAGCTCCAGTGGTGACCAAACTGAGAATTGCTGCTAGTAGTGGCGTTCGGATCTGAGCCTTGAGTCGATGCAGCGCTGAAGGCAACAAAAGTTTGCTTATGCCTCCGCGCAAGAGTGGGAGAGATACTTACGGGCTCATTGCGAGAATATTAGGAGGACGTGGTGAGGCTGGAGTGGTGCAAGGGAGAGAAAGCTGCAGTGGCATTTAACAGTGGCGCGTTCGACGCGCCTTTTGTAGCCGTCCGCGCGCCGATCTTTCGGCTCACACGCCGCTCACAAAAGTGTCGCGTCTCGGACTCCCGGTTTGCTTTCAAAGTCTTTCAACGTTGCGACCACTTGCAGCTTTTACGACCTCGCCTTTCCAGCCCAATCTTAAACCTTGCTTCGTTCACACCATGGTTCGCACATGTTTTGTTATCGATTTCATCTTTCTTTTCTCACTTCTGTTGCTTTGTGCCCGCAGGCCTCGCTTCACTTTTGCGGTGAATGCAACAACCTTCTTTATCCCAAAGCCGATCAGCAGCGCAGAACAATGGTCTACGCATGTCGGATATGCACACATTCCGAAGTCGGGGATAATAGCTGCGTGTACAGAAACGACTTGCTTACGGTCACAAAGTGAGTCCTTCTGTCTTTGACACGACTGAAAGGATTTACGGCATATCGTCTTTCAGGGAGCAAGTTGGTGTAACAAATGATCTTGGCGTCGACCCTTCATTGGTGCGTCCTCTCTCTTCTTATGATCCTTTCTCTTTCTCATACTCTGAATAGGCCCATTCGAACATGACATGCCCGAAATGCGGTCACGAAGAGTACGTCTAGCCGTTCGTCTAATATCCTTACATCCTTACGCGCCTTCTGTCCCAGCGCCGTTTTCTTTCAAGATCAATCTAAGCGGAAAGAGACGAGAATGATCCTGTTCTTTGTATGCACGAAATGTAACAACAGTTTCATGGACCCGAGCTTGGCAGAAGGAGGAGCCATCCCGGACGATATCGAGCAGAGCTAGCGACGGGTCGATGGACGTCGGCTCTATCGTGTTCTTCTCTTAGTGCGTCCAGATTGCTCTCGACTGCTCCACATTCGTTAATCGTTCGAAACGGATTCCAGCTGTACTTCATATCGCGTATGCTTTGGTATGCACACCACCATTTTACCATGATGCGCTGACCAACCATTTCCCTCACGGTTTAGTAAATTCCGTATCGATTCGATTATAATATACAGAGCCTGCATTATTTGGCCCACGACGAAGAGTTCACGCCTGTTCATTACTCCTAATCACGCCCCCGCCACACAGTCAACCACGCCGACCTCCTACTTAACATACTGCCTATCCAACATCCGTCCTTCCCAACTACCCACGACAGCGCCGATATCCACAAGTGCACGTTCTCAACGGAGATGACGGATACTATATTGTACGTTTCATCTCTGTGGCGTACGAGCGGCTGAGTCAATCCAAGTGCACCACGTTGATGTTGTCATGCAGACTGAACTGCTAGGGCCTTTGGATCTGTGTTAGCAGCGTTAACTGCACGACGTGCTGGTGGAGTCTCTTCGGATGCCACTTTTCTTTTGTGGATCGAGCAACATCTAATTGCAACTCGTCGCCGGAAACGGCTCTGCGGACGTGCATGTTCATTTTTGATCGTGGCCTGTGCTTGCTCTCGTGGATATGATCGCTCGTAAAGGCTCGGCACTGCAGAAGGTATCAGCAGTGCGGGGTCTCGCAGGAGGATTCGTGATGTGCTCGAGGCGTTCGGAAGCTTCTCGATGGCAAGCTTCCAGGTTATACAGTGTCTAGCATGGTCTTTCAAGGATATTGATGGTGACCACTGTCAGGATGCCCTCTGTCCTGTTCGGCCGATCGTGATAATCTCCGATGAACTACCTCAGTGACCCAAACTCTACCCCCATCCGAAATATCAAGGGTAGATGCCGGCGTACACGTCTGTTTCGCATGTAAGGAACCCGTTGACTTCCTTCTGCAGCTGCCATAGATGCGTCTTATACATGAGTCCCACGCCACTGAAATAGCTGCTACCTCTATATCACGACTCCGCCAAGACCTCATCGTCGCGCACTCTCTATAGCTAAACTTCACCGCCTACAAGCTCACCGAGGTTTCCTGGGCCCGAACCCTTTCCAACAAGTGCTAGTGTGTTCTCATCATGTCACGGCCTATAGGTCTCTTTCACTCATGAGTCGTCGTGGTTTTTTTTTATCGGATATCCCACGACGCACAGAGAAATAGAATAGCCTCTCGGTTTTGAGCTAAACCTCCATACTCGTTACTTGGCAACCATGTCTTCAGAGCGCCGAGACGACGTTTGCAGATGCGACGACGGTGAAGAACAGAATCCCGAAGACTCAGAACATCAAGGCGCCGTCGTTGCAGGTGGATCGGCTGTCCTGGGAGCAAGCGTAGGGGCGGCCGCGGCACCAGCAGCTGCTCAGGGCATCCTTGGGTTAATAGGATTTGGTAGTCAAGGGGTAGTAGCAGGTATGTTCGTTCGCTCTATGGCTGTCGTGCCTTGAACTCGCACTCACGCTGTTTGCCGCATACAAGGCTCCATGGCTGCCGGAATTCAGAGTGGAATCGGGAACGTCGCAGCTGGCTCCGCGTTTGCGGTGGCCCAGAGCGTAGGCGCTGGTGGCGCACTACCATTCTTAGGAATCGTCGCTGGAGCTGCGTCCGGTGGGCTCGCTGTGGCTGGGATCGGGTACGGTATCTACAGTCTGATCAAGGGGGTACAGGATAGAGGAAGAGAAGAGGAAGAGAAGGACAGCGTTGTATTATGTGAGAAATGTGGAAAGCCCAAAAGAAAGGAGTGACGCGGGGATGATTGTAGGTAAGTCATTGCTACCCACGAAGACATTGTAGCTACTATAACTGATGACGGGCTCTACTTCCTCGTCAGGCCGGGCCATGTCTTGGGCAGATGACTGTCCAGCTCTTTCATGAAAGCACGCTTGAACTATGCATACAATCGAAAACAGCCGGTTAGCTATATGGGAATGGCCTTGGGGAAATCCAAGGTTTAGCGTTCTTTAGAGAGGTGTCCACGTATTTTATTAGTGCCAGATTTTGCATGAATCCTTAAAGCACTCTGAAGAGTGGTCCCGCGGTCGTGGAGCTTTATGGCCTGAGGAGACATGAAGTGTCCGGACAGAGACAGCCGCTGTGGCTGCGGCCCAATTTGGCAAACAATGCGATACCGGACCGTGCCGGGCGGACTTCGAAGACCAAAGACAAAGACTCGCAATGTGTTTCGAGACCACACTGAGACCGACTTGCACTTTCCTGTTGCTATCACGATTCACCAAGCCTCTCACATCTTCTCAATACTCAACACACCATCTTGCTGCGCCAATATGGCTGCTTCCTACTCTGCCGCCCATCGAACACCACCCGAACTCTTGCGTGACATCTTTGTGCAAGCGTCATATCAGCCGTTCCCCTCCTTGACCCAACTGGAGATCCCATTCTTCGGTGACAAGAGTGACCCTCCTCTTGCAAAACAACTCACTCGTCAAAACATAGACGGTGGTTTGGTACCATCTCAGCCTCACACTGCGGAGGCACTTTCTCTCGTTTGTCGTCACTGGCGTTATGTGGCCCTAGGTTGTCCCGAGCTATGGACCACCATTCACAGCGGGGGCTCTCGGGTGCTCGCCAAGGCATGCCTGAAACGTTCCGCTGGTCGCCCTCTACGTATCTGGGTTGACATTGCGCTAGGTAGCCAAGACATCGAAAGGGTGATTTCGTCCCAGCAAGAACGCTTCGAGGTGTTGCACATCACTTGCATGGATCCCGACGATTACTCAAAGTGGGAGGATTTTCCAGACCAGATGATGATTCGTCGCATCGCGGATCTGGCCAATTACTCGTCTCGGCTCCGAGTTCTCTCCATCAAGATACCTCAACGCATGATCGCCACCTGGGACGAGTATCGTCCACTGACATGGGGACAGCCGAATCCGCTCGCGAGTAATTTCAGCAACATTCATTCCCTTTCATTGTCCACCTTCCTTCCATTTGTTCTACCTGGCTTGGTCAATCTCCGCCATCTATCGTGGCACCCGGAGTACGAAACATCGAGGAGGGTGAGATACTCCTCTTACGATGTCGTCAAGCTCATTCAACAGAACAAGCAGTTGGAGACGCTAGAGCTTATCGAACTCAACCTCTCTAAGCGCACCAAGCCTGACGACCTATATTTGATCACCCTCCCTGCTCTACATACTTTGACAATCGTCGGCACAGCGGACAGTTTTCTTGCGTACATGTCGGACTGTCTGACGATCCCCGCACTTCGCCGTCTCTCAGTCAAGTTGAAAGCAACATACGAGAATCACATAGAGCGCCATACACTTCACGACCTGTTCACTGACTCCGAAAAGCGCAGCTATAACGATCTTACCGATTCCATTCTCGCTCCCCCGACGAAGGTCTTCGTGAGTAGTAGTTCAGACTCCCACTCGCCGAGAAGCCTCCTCTCCTACAAAAATGGAGACATCAGCATCGCGATATCGGTCTATGCCTGCTGGTACACCTCTATGCCTGCTGGTACACCCAGTACCAGGTTCATCTTCCTCGTACGCTTCAGGTGGCCAACATGGGTTCTATACTAGAAGAACTCTGGTTACGGAGTTTTTCCGCACCGGAATCCGATGAGCCGTTCTCGGCGGACTTGATTCTCGAGCGTTGTCCCCTCCTCAAAAAGCTCGTCGTCCTCTCTGCGACTATCGCGGAAGCCATTCTCCGTACACTTCGACCACACGACTCGAAATCCTATTCGATCACGTCCACGGTCGTGCCTTGCCCCCTACTCGCCGAACTTTGTCTGTTCTACCCGTGGACCGACAAATACGTCGTAGAGTCAGCACCTGGTCGTTCGGAAATCGAGGAGTTCCTGGAGGCAAGACAACGAGCTGGTTATCCCTTACAACGTGTTTGCGTCTACGATTCCCGTCCAAAGTTCGTATTCGCACAAAACGCCGGCCCCTCTCTCAACGCCGCACAAACTTCACCCGAATCGGACGAATGGCAGATCAAAGTAGGCGATACCACTGTATACTATTGCCGTGCGTATCCCGAAGACCTAAAACTTGACAAGCCTGGTCCGCCTATGGAGCCGTGGGTCCAACTCCGACGGGAGTTGCTCGAGGAGAAACATTTCCTGGAGGGAGATGAGGTCTTAAGGTGGATACCGGGCAACTATGAGCTTTCGGACGAGGAACTATCCGAGAGGCGGCGGGAAGAAAAGGAGGTGGAGACTCGGAGAAAACAACAGCGGCAAAATTATGTTGAGAACGCTGGGATGAAGGAGTGTGTGACCGACGAGGAACCAGTGAAAGGCAGTCGGGAGGACCAATGTGAGGAGAATGATGGTGGGGGTAAAAGCCAACAGGAAGCTGTGGGAATGGGAGAGGAACAGGCGGAAGAAGGGCATTAGACAGCATAGAACGAAAACTAGCCTTCGCTTGTACCGTTTAGTTCGTGCAGATAGAAAGTCAGTCTGCAGATACAACAATCGTACAGATTATGTGGAGTCTTACCGTCGAACACACATGCACAGACAGGGATATCGAGCAAGTGCATGAGAGTGAACAAAGGGAGTCCCAATAATATATCTTTTAACAGAGAGTATACTACAGATAGGCCACACATCCGGCGAATATACCACAATCGCAGAACGAACACCCAGTCAGATACGTAGTTACGCTGGGAAAAGGTGTATTCCGATAAACAAGCAGACCGTATGAGGCCTTGCACGAGAGGGTACGAAGATATAACTCGATATAAAAGGGTATATCGAGACGAGCGAAAAACAAAAACGGAGATCGGGCGGACGCGAAGAGACAGAAACCGAGAGCTGAGAAAGGAAAAAAGAAAAATCAAGTGTGTAAAAATGGGCATGTAGAGCAGTAGACAAACACGACAGCAATCCAATCATCTCAAAGTCCAGCGATGTATATCATTTTTGAGGTCCATGAGGCAAGACGAAAATTCAAGAGTGGAGTTCTAAGGCGGGAAGAATCCTTCACGAGCTGGATGTCGCAGAGCCAGACGTCCTCGCCACACGATCCGCGACTTTGCTCCGATGCGTTTTATTCTTGAGATGTACTATGAAGTTATTCATCGTTTCGTCGGGACCTGGCATGTAAACCTACGGCGACAGCGGTCAATGTCCGATCCGTAGCTCACTCAATAGGAAAAGACAAACCTTGCCAGCACAATCCCCACACCTGATACGCCACACTTCGTTGCGTAGGATAATCTCGAACTTGTCCGCCGGGTACTGCTCCTGCAGATCTTTCGTAGCCTGCGTAAGCCACTCTGGTGGCGCCTGTACCGAAAGAAACGAAGAATGAGCACTAGGCTCCCTACACACGTGTATGAGAAGTGCTCACCGGCGCGAATCCGTTCGTCTGTTCGATGGGAGTAGAGACACCTGTGCTACTCAAGGGAGCAGGAGGAGGCGCCGATACGCTCTCGTGCGATGGAGGAGGGGCGACGGGAGGACTATCCGAAGTAGAAGGCACAACAGGTGGCGGTGGCGCCGACTCGGCCTTCACAGGGCTGACCACGGGGAGTGCCTCCGCCTTGATGCTGTTCGCAACCGCACTCATCTTCATCTTCTCAGCAAGCGGCGGATCAGAGGCGCTCGAGCTAGAGGACGCAGGAGAGACAGCTCTTGATTTGCTGATGCGAGACGCAGACCGGGATGGAGGGACGTCGATCCACACATTGGACTTTGACTTGGGCGTCTCGGGGAAGGCAGTGGCGGCCGGAGTCGATGGGTCCTGATCTCCAGCTGCGTTCTGAGCCGCACGCAGAGCAGCGGCGCCGCCCTTTTTCTTCGCGGCAGTCTTAGCCCGTTCGGCTTCGAGCTTCATGTTGAGATGATACTGGGCGTCCGCGTTGTATACGACAGGTCTCGGCCTGCGATGTCTGTGCCAGAACTTTCCTGTGGAGAATAAGTCAGTGATACGTGCTTGAGGCAAAAGAAAAGGCTTAAACATACCACAGACACCACACTGCGACTTGTCGCCCAACGGGCCCTTCCTCCTCCCAACAGCAATATCCTCCGGACATCCACAGTTCGAGCAGTGCCAAACCCCATCGATCATATTCGCATGCTGTCCGTCCGCGTACTCCCTATCCTTTGCTTCCCTCTCGAGCTCCTTCGCCCTCTTCGCCGACAGTTGCCTTGCGCTCCTCACATCTTTCGGCGGTAAGATAGTGATAGGTGGGTCATTCTCTAGCGGGGGCGGGAGCGAGGCGATATCTGCCGCTGTTGAGGACGTGGGCGCGGTGACTGACGCCCGGGACTTGAGAACGGAAGGAGGGTACGGCGGAGCCTTGAACAATCCCCTTGGCTTCTTTTCCTTCTTCGCATTCGCCTGAGCCTGTGCTGGAGTCGCAGCGGGCATCGTCGGTGTGATCACAGCTGTCCCGTTCTCCGACGCCACCATGTTGGCAATCGTAAGCTGAGCAGCGGCGGCAGCAGCTCTCCTGGAAGTGGGTGCAGCAGCAGCTTGTTGAAGAGCGAGAGTGGCGGGATCGACATCGGGGAAACCAATAGCGGGCGTGCGGAACGTCTTGAGCGGTTCGCGGTCGGGAAGGGCGATGCCGCGGCGACCACGGGTGTTACGCTTGCGACGACGGTTGAGCTCTTTCTCGCGTTCCTTCTCGTTGCGCTCCATCTCGCTGTCGCTGAGGTAGTTGAGGATGGGTGTGAAAGCTGAGACTTGTTCCATCGGACGCGCGACGGAGGATAGAGACGGGAGGAAGGACATCCGGAGGTCGTCATCCTGTACGGCTGTGCCATCTGAGGGATGACCAACGAGGAAGAGAGACTTCTGGTACGTCTGTACTTGCTCGCGGATGCAGTGTGCGATAGCAGTTCTGTGCAGGGATGAACGTGAGCAAAAATAAACATCTGGCGCAGCGTGCATGGGACTTACTTGAACTCTCCACCAAGGCCGAGCTCCTTGGCGTACACCTCGGCGAACTGCTCCGGCGAAGCCCCACTGTTCTCGATATCCCACTCGAACTGATCCTCGAGCTTCATCGCACCAACGACAATGTCGAGCTACAATGCCGCGAACCAAGAAACGTTCAGTCAGTCCTCGTGCTCGTGAAGAACGGTCATAAGGGAGAAAGAACAGAACCCACCTTGATCAAGATCCGAATCTCCTCCGGCGGCTCCTTTTCGTCCATATCGAGATCATCAATCTCGAACGAATCATCCTTATCCATGCTCATATCCAGCCCATAGTTCGCCAACGACACCACCATCGACTCCTTATCGTCCTCAACCTCCGCCTTCACAACGGTAGGCATCTCCACATCACCATCTACGCCGACAACCTCGACGGTAGGAGGATTCACGCTCGTCTCGACGGTGGTAGAAGCGACGGCGCCGAGCCTTCTCCTCTTCCTACTTCCCCTCCCTTTCCTCAAACTCGCCGCACTGGCCGTCTCCTCCCAAAGTCTCTTCCTCCAGCCAGCCCACCAAATCAGCTCATCGCCCTCCAGCGTTCCCTTTGCGAGCACGACTGACTCGTCCTCCTTATCGTCCTTGTGCCGTACGCCGTTCTTTCCATCGGCATCCTCAGCCGCGTTCTCACGGTCACGATGGTCGTCAACGTCGTCCATGAGTGACGTGTTATGCGCTTTGAAGTCGCTCAGCTGGTCTTGGATGGATTTGGAGATGATGGAGAGATAACTGTGGGGAAGGCTGTAGTCGTCGACCACGGACTGGGCGAAAACCTCGGGTGTGACGACGGGATCTGTTCATACCGAATCGGACTCCTAAGTACGGGATCATAAAATATAGAGAAAGGAAGAAACTCACCGTTGAGGTTCCACACGAACGTATCCCGCATCTTCTGGTGCTCGACATCAAACTCCAACCGGATCGGAACGAGCTGCTCCGGCTTCTGTGCCTCCTCCGGCCTTAACCTCTTCGGCCTATCAAACACAGCTCCATCAATATATAATATGAGGAAAAAAAGATAAAAAGAACAAGAAAAACTCACATCCTCCACCCGACCCTCCCCTTCTTCCTCCCTCCCTCCTTCCCCCCAACTCTCACATTCGGATAAACGATCCCAAACTTCCTCCTCCCGGCCACCGCGCCGAGCCCATCGCTCCTCTCCCACCACTCCATCCCCATCCCACTCATCCTAATCTCCCTGATCTCCCCACCCATCCTCTCATTCATCTCCTTAAACCTGCCCTCATACTCTCTATCCTTCCTAATCCACTCCTTCACCTGCTCGATCTCGCTATCGCTCAGCGGAGGAAGCGAGTCCGCCGGGACGTAAGAAATACGCGTCTGTTTCGGATGAACGTTACGCGGAAGGGGGACGTTCGAAGTCGATACGTTGTTGCCGTTCGCGTTCGCAGCGTTGTTCCCGTGGGGCTGAGCGACCGTCCCGTTCGGTCCGTTACTAGACTGCGAATGGGGAACCCCAGGACGGCCCGAAGACGCAGCGGCGAAGGACGCAGAGGGTCCAACGGCAGCAGGCACCGAAGGTGGGACACCAGAAACGTTGGGGCCACCAACACCACCGACACCAACACCACCGCCAGCCGTGCCCGGTCTCTGCATGTTCACGTTATCGGCCCCAGGCAACCTCCCGATCGAAGGCGGAAGTCCACTCTGCAGCGCCTGCATCATCGGACCCGCATTCATAGGCCCTCCCATCCCACCGCCCATACCTCCCAATCCACCTACGCCTCCCATCCCACCGAGCGGAAGACTAGCGCCCTTGACCGGACTCTGTGGCGCCGAACCGAGTCCGCCCGCAGAGGGGGTGAGATTCCCACCAGGACCACCCGAGCCGGGACCCATACTTCCCTGCCTGCCACGGAGAGGATTCGACACGTTCATGTTCATGTTCATGCCCATGTCCATCCCGCCTAGACCTCCTATTCCTCCCCCAACTCCAATGTTACCCATACCGCCTATACCGGCGTTCATCGCTCCTATATTCCCCAACCCACCTCCCATCCCCCCGATATTACCCAATCCACCTCCCATGCCCCCCAATCCGCCCGTCATGCCCATTCCCATCCCCAGATTCTGCAACGAATTCCCACTCGGCGCAGGCGTCGGCGTCTGCGGCATATTCATCCCCATCCCCATATTATTCGGCACATTAACGGGATGCGAGCCCGACCTTGACCGCGAGCGCATCTGTTGCTGCTGCTGCTGCTGTTGCTGGAGCTGAAGCTGATTCGGCGTCAAGTTCTGCGCCTGACCGAGGTTCGGATGCATCTGCGCCTGACTCTGCGGACGATCCATACCCATTCCCATCCCTATCCCTCCAACTCCGACTCCAACTCCCATCCCACCCAACGCTCCCATCCCCATCATATCCCCTCCCTCCCCACCATGCATCCCCGCCGGTGTCCCCGGATGTGGCGTCCTCGCCGGCACGACATGCGGCGGACCCATAAGTCCACCTCCCGCCCCTCCAACCAAACTCCCCCCTCCTCCCTGGTTACCCTGCACAGGCGAGGGCGACCCACCGATGCCGCCCATCATGTTCACGTTCATGTTGTTCATGTTCATGTTCCCGCCCAACATGCCCTGATTATTGATATTAAAAGGCGTCGAAGGCGAGCCGATGCCCATGTTCATGTTCATGTTCATGTTGCCGAGGTTGCCCATATTCATCCCCATGTCGATCCCGCCTATCCCACCCGGCAACGAAACCTTTCTTTTCCCCGGCGATCCCATCGCGCTCGGCGGCCTCGCACCACCGCCACCTCCCACGGCACCACCTCCAGGAGTAAACGGCGAAGGCGCGTTATTGACCGGCGTTTGCATCGCGCTTCCAGGATGCACAGGCGTCGACGGAGGTTGCGATGCCTGTCTCTGCTGCTGCTGCTGCTGCTGCTGCTGCTGCTGTTGTTGTTGCTGCTGCTGCTGCTGGAGGGCTTGTTGTTGCTGCTGCTGCTGGAGCGCTTGCTGTTGCGCCTCGCGTTGTTCCCGTTGCGCCTGCTGATGCTCCCTCTGCTGCTGCTGAATCTGCATCATCGCCTGCGCCTGCGCCTGCACCTGATTCAACGGCTGAATCGGCGTCGGAGGCTTCTGCATCCCTCCTCCCTGTCCTTGCCCTCCCTGCCCTCCCTGTCCCTGTCCTCCCTGTCCTTGTCCGGGGCCCTGTCCAGGTCCTTGCACCAACCCCGGCGTCCCACTCGACGTCCTCGGTCGACTCGGCGGTCTCTGCATCTGCATCCCCTGACCCTGCTGTAAAATCGGAGATTGCGGTCCTCCTCCCGCCCCACCTCCCGCCCCACCACCACCACCGGTCCCACGATGCGAATGCGAAGTCCCCGGTCTGGAAGACGGAGGACGCGGAGGCGGAGGCGGCATCATATTGAAATGTGAAGATTGGGCTTGGGCTTGGGCGTGGATCTGTTGTGCGAATTGGGGTGGGACGCTTCCGCCTTGATTGTTATTCCCTCCCCCTCCACCTCCTCCACCACCACCGCCGACACCACCGCCGATACCACCAGCGTTGTTGTTGCTGGCGAATTGCTGTTGTTGGTGAGCGTGCTGAGGCTGGGGTTGACCTTGTTGTGGATGGGGAAGATGATGCGAATGCGAGGAGGATGTGGAGGAGGGTCTTGAAGGATCGAAGAACGCGCCCATATGTTGTGTCGATTGTTGGTGTGCGAGTACGTTCTGTAACCCGCCTCCCCCTCCCCCTCCACCTCCTGCTCCTCCACCTCCTGGGCCGCCGATTCCGCCGCCGGGTTGTTGACCTAAATGCTGTGGCTGTGCGAAGCCTTGACGGGGTGTCTGAGGGGGTTGTTGGGACTGAGATTGCGATTGTGAGGGGTCGAACGATTGGGATTGGGATTGAGATTGCGGGTTCTGGGCGTGTTGTTGATTTTGCTGCTGTTGGCGCTGTTAGAGCCGAATAGAATAAAGAGGGTCGCGGAGCAGTTAGTATCTCGCGTCGAAAGAGGTCCGGATAATAGAGAGACGAGGAGATCAAAACGGAGAGACGGGATTGAAAGTAAGATGAAACGAGTACTCAGTGGAAAGAGTCCCGAACACATCCTCCTCAGAAGGAACAGCTCCGAGCATGCAAACGGACTCCAGCATACTCTACACCAGTGCCCGATGATACAACACCTGACCGACAGGCATATAAAAATAAAACGAAAAGATACACCGCCAATTCGAGCTCAGAGTGACCTCGTACTCTTCTCGACGCCCAGGGTAGACCATGGCCCACGGGCAAAACATGATCAAACGATCTGTATCTGTGTCGGGTGTCGCATCCCGACTCTGAGTTCGCGGGATACGTCGTAAGTCGCGGGATACACGCGTTCTTTTCCGCAGACCCGACGTGCACGGTCCCAGTTCGCGACACCGCACGCACCAACGAAACCCGCTCCCTCTCCCACTCCGAAGTCCAAAATCCAAAATCCAAAATCCAAAAGAAAAACCGGCTCGAAACGCAAAGCAGACCACCAAACGCAAACCACGATCCTCTCCGAACCATCCACAAAGCTCAACCAAATTCGAGCCGAAGCAAAAACCAACCGCAAACCAAAACCAACAACAAGAAAACCAAGAAGAAAAAAACCAAGAAAAACCAAGAAAACCAAGACCAAGAAATCAACGCACCGTCCCATACCCCATCATCTTCTGTCCCTGCTGCCCTCCCATCTGCATCTGCTGGAGCTGCTGAAACTGCTGAAACTGCTGATGCGTCATCTGTCTGTACTGTGCGAGTTGCTGGGGCGTGAGGCTGCTCATGTTGATGTTGATGCCCATTCCACCTCCCGCGTTGCCTCCGCCGCCGCCGCCGCCGCCGACTCCTCCACCGACTCCGCTGCCGCTGCCCATAGAACCAGCGCCGCCAATGTTATTGTTGATTCCGCCACCGATCATGGTGTCGCCACCCGAAGAAGACGAAGCGCCACCGCCACCGCCACCCATAGCCATCAACGCGGCCGGATTGACGCCTCCATTCATACCCATGCCCATATTGCCCATATTCATCCCTCCCATCCCTCCCATCCCTCCCATTCCACCTCCACCTCCACCACCCATCCCACCGCCCTGAGAGATAGAAGCTTGTTGGAGGAGCATCGCAGGATTAAGCGTCTGATGTGACGATCCTGGTCTCCCTCCACCACCACCACCACCTCCTACCCCGCCTCCTACTCCGCCACCTCCTCCGCCACCTCCACCACCTACCCCGCCGCCGCCTCCGTTCAGATTCATGAGTTGCGCCGGATTGATGCCACCGCCCTGTTGAAGCAACGCAGGATTAAACCCTCCGTTATTCGTGTTCGTATTGGGGGTAGACCCCGACGCATTATTGAATTTCTGCTGCGCTTGGGCGAGGTGTTGGAGTTGTTGTGGGTTCAGGGATTGCATATTCAGGCCTGCCATCCCACCACCCATCCCACCCATCCCACCTCCTCCCATGTTGCCCATCCCTCCGCCCAGATTCCCCAGATTCCCTAGATTGCCAAGGTTCCCGAGGTTCCCAAGGCCGCCGATGCCTCCCATGTTGTTAAGACTGCCGAGGGACATGCCTTGTTGTTGTAGCGCGGCGAGCATGGCGGGGTTCATATGTGAGTGGGATTGACCACCGCCATGTGATTGACCGTGCGAGGAGTGTTGGTGTTGTTGCTGTTGCTGCTGTTGTTGGGGATTGAAGTGTTGTTGCTGTTGATGCGAGAATCCATTGGAGGGATTCATGGCTATGGCTTGTGTACGTGTCGGCGCGGGCGCGAGGTATGATATTGTATGCGTATGCGTATACCTAGAGGATTAAATCGAGTACCTAAGATATGTTATGGAATAAACAAGGATTGGGTTCGTGATTTGTCAGCGGCGGCGGGGTGTGGGTCAACGGAGCGAATCAACAAAGAGAGGCGCGGGATCACGAGGGCAGGACGCGTCGGGTGGGGGAACGGGGACGCGAGGCGGCAAGGGAGGAGGGGAGAAGCAGGGTGGGTGACTTACCGCTGCTCGGTCGTAGAGGGAGGCCAGCACGGGACGGAGGGGCTGTGGGGATGGCGCGTCCCGGGGGCAGGAAGCCTGGGAAGGCGCAAGCGGGTGAGCATGGTTGGTATGGATAAGTTAGTCGGAACATGGCTTACGTTTTTGGATAAAAGCGATGTTGGAGGGAAAAGGAGAGGAGAGAAGGAACGGAGCCGATGTAAACTCGGGGCGATCAATGATGATGCGATAGCGACAGGCGCAGGCCAATTCTCCTGCCCTCTGCCCACGTCAGTAGTCTTCACCCGCTTCCCCGCTTTCGTGCTTGCGTACCTGTCCGACCTGTACCGTTACCCGCCCTGTAAGCGCGATGCAAATGTCGTGAGTGAGTCGCGCTCAGTCGCTGTGCTCGAGCGAAACAGACGACCCTCCAGCACACTGTGGTCACGCTCGACCATCGATCGTCACCACGTCACGCGTCACGCTGCCATATTCAGCCACTACGCCAACACCTCCTGCCCTCTTTGTCCAATTCATTTCGACCTACCACTGCCAACGGGCAACTCTCTATCCTCGCTCGCTCGCTCGCTTCTTCGAGGGAGGACAGGGAGCAGAGGCATGCGGGCGGGGGTAAAGGTACGTGGAGGGACGAAGGCTGGTGGAAGGGAAAAACAGAGTATATGAAAACCGCTCGGCTTTTGCGCATCTGAGGGGCTCGCCGCTCCAGATCTCTGTCACGCCTTTTTTTCCCAGATCTCAGATTAACACCTCCTTCCTACTCATCCGTCCCTCCGAATCTTTCTCTCTCCAGCGAGTCTCCCTCCCCTTCAAATCCCTTCCCTTCCACCGACCTACCGCCACCTGGTCCCCCCTCTCGCCACTGTGGCCCCTGTCCTTCCAGGCGATGAGATGTCCTTGTTTCCCTTCCTCCTGTTCTGTCGTCTACCCAAACGGACTCTGGTGCTAGCTTGGCCTTTTCTAAGTTTTGAGCACAATGACGTCTATGACCTTCCCACTCGCAGGCTTCCAATTCCCGCATATCGCCTCTACGCATCACTATCGATCCTTCTAATTGTACCCAGTCTGTACCTCGTCATCTGCTCCGACTACTATAGCTTTCCCCCCGCATACAGCTGCCGGCGGTATACCTGCGACAAGACCAAAATTTCACTCGTTTGCGTGTGCCTGATTCTCTGGACATACTTATCCTCTGCGCACGTACTCATGCATATGGCAGTCTCTATGCCGCACGGTTAAACGCTCTAGGAATATCTTCTTTGCCTCTGAGTTATATCCGCATCCGTATCTGTATCTGCGTCGGCGTTCGTCCGTCGAGGTTCTCACACGAGTCATCCATCCAAGTCTTGACAAGTCCTCCGAGGACATTCGAACCTCCCAGTCAAAGTATTTACTCCTTTGATTTGATGCTTTTGGCCGGCTCGGTGTGAGTCTTCGACTTTGCTTGAACTTCGTCACTTAAGTTATCATCCAGTCAGGTCAAGTCACTCTTTCTCCATCCAAAAGTTCGGGGTTTCACAGGCTGTATAATACACACGAGAAAACGCACAACACTCGTGGTTCGCGGTTCGTTTCTCCGTTGGTTACCTTGAAGTACTTATCACTGCACGCGTCGCATCCGTGTGCTTCTCACGCAACCTGCACCGACTCCCCAGGGACCCTTGGGCCTTCGCGCTCCTAATATGTCACGGTGCTGTACATGTACATGTACACACGCGGGTCCGAGTCCGTTACTAGACTCAGGGTCCTGGAAGGGCATGTGTGTGCATGAAATCAGAGACAAGTTCCTTTCTTCTTCAATTTAGCCTGCCATACTCAGACTTGAATTCTTCAAGGCTCGTCTTGCTATTGCGTCACTTGTCTCGTCGTATTCATTATTCCAGTGTTCTCCAATGACAACAGTCCTCTTTTGAGCAGTCCAGCTCGTGTTGGGCCACAGCGTTAAACTGGCAGTGGCGATAAGAATTTAAGAAAGGAAACACGTGGCGCCGTTGATCCGTCGAACGCCGAGGCTTGCAAGTTCTCCGTTCGCGATCTTGAACCTCTTCACCTCCGTAATGACCTTAGCTTCACATCTCTCTATCTTGCTGTTCTTCCTCCACCGAATACCAGTATAGCCTTATATCAGTGCAAACATCTCGATCGAGGCTATCGTCCAGCCTCTTGCGATACAATTATATTGGTATAGAAGCTAGATACGCTTCTGGACGTTAGTAGTTCACCATCGGCATCGCCCAGGCAAGGACTCGGACAAGAGCAGCCGCACCAGTCTCTGTGAATTACCTTGCCTTAGAGCACCTCTACGTAGACGATAGTCTAGGCATGACCCTTCGTTTTCTTTTTCCTATGGATGATCTCATGCTAACAATGCTCCTGCATATCGACCATGATGCCAACAAGGTGTGAGATAACTTCGACTGAAACAGTCGTTGAATTATTATGACCTTCAACCTCGCCGAGTAACTTATTCCTTGTTCCGTGTTCCGTGTTCCTTTTGGTTTATCACTTATTCAAGTTCCTTGTTCTTCCTCGCCACTGTCCTCCCATCGCAAATTATCCCAGTGCCTGTTTCTACTGTTTCACACCGCGGGCATCACATTGTCGCATTTATTATCCGGGCCTCCTAGTCCCCATCTGAAACATTATTTTAATTGTCCCAGTCCGAACTTGGATGCCAGCTCATGTTGGGCGACAGCGTGAAACTGGGTGGCGGTAAGAAAGGGAACACGTGGCGCCTTTGATCCGTCGAGTGCCGAGACTTGAGCGAGCTCTCCGTTCGCGATCTTGCGGTGAACTCGGGACGATCTTCTCCGAGTCCTTCGTTTGTGTCCTTGGCAGCTGGCTTCACAGATCAGTGTACTATTTGTGTCTCTCAGTTATATTTCTTGATTGACATGGAACAACGCGACTACTGCACAGGTGGACAATAAGTACTCTGTTCATGCACTTTTTCGGCAACACACGCGCTGCTCGTTGCGTCTGTATGTTCTTGCTGTTCTCCCTCGGGTTATGCTACCTTGCACAGTCTTTTCCACTTGGACAATCCCCATCTCGGTTTCTCTTCCGCTCTGTTTTACTCCGGGTATAAAATGGGCAACGATACACCGTGTGTATGTCTCAACCCACGCAACGTATCAGGATGCCCGACAGCCCTCCATACACCCCTACCACTCTACCATGCATCGTAGTCGAACCACCAGAGTCAACAGGAGGAATACTCGAACGTAAGAGGATTTATCTCCGTCTTCTGTAATATCGTGACCGCTGTTCTCATGAAAATCATAACCGTATGTAGTACATACATTTCGGAGTCCTATGGTCTATGAGTTCGAGAAACACCTAATAGTGATAGCAGACGCCAAACACTACATGGAGTGGATCTACCAACCTCCTTGCCCACCGGATCTCGTCCCCCTCAAACGTGAGTTCGGTACGTGAATAGTTCCTAGGTACCCCATGGCGAGTCTGTCTCACCGCGGGGAATCCATGACAGTCGAGAAAATAGGAGTAGGAGAAGGAAGGACCTTGGAGGATGCTAAGTATAGGGCAACAGAAGCATGGGTAAAAAGAGGCATCATCGATTGACTCAAGATGAGGAGGCGTGAAGCGGAAACACAGTAAGCAGGCATGCTCCGTCGAGTCCCCGTCTACGATGATCTAATTGGCCACCGTTTAAGAGTAGCTAACGTTCCCTCGTGATATGTTGCGATGGTACTAATTGGTATCGTTTGCAACGGAACATCTTCTGTTATCGTGCAGAGCACGTGTACTTAGATTGTTATTCGTAAGGATATGTCTTCCCAGAGATGTGGACACTCTGTTCGCTTTCACACAAGACAAAAAATCACCAAGGTCATATGCCCTAAAGCTGAGTAGAATTCGTTGAATAAGATAAAATTATTCCATGACCGGATATGTTGTGACTTGTAGCTGTCTTACACGAATAATATACTGTTATGCGTGGATTTCAGTACACGCATATACACCAGTCTTTCAAGAAACATATTGTATCAAGAGCTCTGGAGATAAGTAACATAGAGATAAACGGTAGCGAACAGTAGTAGTATACAGTGTGTATCCAAGAAATATCATCTAGTCTCCCTCTCAAACACAAGGAGAACAGAAAACATGTCTATCGTTGTTCATCGAGAAGTTGGTGTCAATAAAATATCGCTCCAGTTATTACGCCCCTGTTAGATATATCCGCGCGGCTACGGCCTTCGCAGCGTTCTTGGAGTGACCTTGGCCTTGAGACACAAATTGGCCGTTGACTCCATACGAGACGCGCGCAATGAAGCGGTGCAGAACGTCAGTCAATGTGCTTCACATGTATTGGAGAAAAAGATTGCGAGAAGACGTCGAGCCAGGGGAAGTCAAAGCGAAAGTACTTACGCCACAAAAAGGCAGTGTAAACTGCGGCATTGTCAGGCCCGGCCGCCTGGAATGTCCAGTTTGCTGTAGGCGTGCCAGGGAGGGACTGCAGATGCGAAGAGAGCTCCACCAAGAACTCTACGGAAAAAGAGATACGGAGACCGGTGAGTGGGGTACAGAAAATGTACATTTAAGCAATAAATGGCATACCTCGCTGGGCCATGATTAATTACAAGAAGGAGATGCGCAAAAAGGTTTGGGCTCGAGAGTTTGGGTGAATGGATGAGATGACGTTGAAGCTGGTTAGAGAGACGATTACCTTGCTTAAAAGGTTCTTCGCACCCCGGTAATTATGACGTCAGGCTCCCGTTTCAACAAGTACAAACCGCATACGTATGCTCACTTCTGTGCTACTCGAGCTCGAACTCTATTTATCGTATAGTTCTGCCTTTTCTATAGTTATCTGGTGCACTCACGGTGGCTTTCGAAATTTCCTCAAAGTTTAGCTTATGGTTTCTTTCACAGGCGCTTTTCTTCCCTGCTGATTCGAGGACACGTTACCTTTCATAGGCCTCTTGGCAGTGTAAGCAGCATCTCGTGGAAATACCTAACAGTGTCCCTTGCCTATGCTTTCTCTCGGTGTTCGAATTCTGCCTCTGTTCGTACGACAGATCGAGTACTATAGATTGCCACACTGCGTGAATTTGAAGGAGACAAAATGTATGATATTTGCTGGGGAAGTTTAGACGTAGTTCATTATGAGCGTGAGGTTGCAAGCGACGAAGGCAGCGCTCCCGCAGTTCGAATGTCCGTACCCTCTTGCATCTTTCATACAGGTGACGGGATAGCACACAAACTGGTGAAATGAAAAAGAGTGGAATGGCCATGGAACGGGACATAATAGAGCAGCCTTCCTTGTTCCTTCGTTCTTCCTCCCACTGTCCTGCCATCGTAAATTCTCCCAGCGTCTGTTTTTACCCTTTCACACCGCGTGCAGCACACTGTCGCATTTATCATCCGGGCGTCCGAGTCGCTGAAACTATCTTTTATGTAATTGTATCAGTCGGAGCGTGGATCCTAGCCTAATGCTTCTGACCTGAAAGATCGGTGTACTGTGACTCTGACTCTCGCAGTGATATCTCTTGTTTTACACGATACTACACGGCTACTGCACAGATGGACAATAACTATTATGTTCGTGCTTTTTTCGGCAAGCCTCGTACGCGCTTCCTGTTGCGTCTCTTGCTCTTGTTGTTTTGATTCAGTTACTGTAACAATATTTCGACCAGACGTTCTCAGTGGCGTGAGAATCCCACGCTCTCAATCCAGCCTGCCCGACTCCCCCCTTCGGCGTTCATGAAGCTCGAAGGACAGTGGTCAACTTCCTCTTGCGGTATGTTGTTTGCCTTACTAGAATTCAATTGACCAAGATGACATTACTTATTCCATGATCGGATGTGTCGTGACTTACAACGGTTTTACAAGAATGGTGTGGATTTCAGTGCATGCATGTACGCCATTCTTCCAAGAAACATATTGTATCAAGAGCTCTCTAGATATCATAAGGCTACAAGATAGTGGACAGCAGTAGTATACAGTGTGTATCCAAGAAATATCATCTAGTCTCCCTCTCAAACACAAGGAGAACAGAAAACATGTCTATCGTTGTTCATCGAGAAGTTGGCGTCAATAAAATATCGCTCCAGTTATTACGCCCCTGTTAGATATATCCGCGCGGCTACGGCCTTCGCAGCGTTCTTGGAGGGGCCTTGGCCTTGAGCTACAACTCTACCGTCGACTCCATACGAGACGCGCGCAATGAAGCGGTGCAGAACGTCAGTTAATGTGCTTCACATATATTGGAGAAAAAGATCGCGAGAAGACGTCGAGCCAGGGGAAGTCAAAGCGAAAGTACTTACGCCACAAAAAGGCAGTGTGAACTGCGGCATTGGGAGGCCCTGCCGCCTGGAATGTCCAGTTTGCTGTAGGCTTGCCAGGGCGGGACTGCAGATGCATATTGAGCTCCACCATGAAGTCTACAGAAACAAGAGACACAGAGACTGGTGAGTGGGGTACAAAGATATAGATATAAGCAATAAATGGCACACCTCGCTGGGCCATGATTAATGAAAAGAGGGGGAGACGAAGAAGAGTTTTGGGCTGAGAGTTTGGATAAATGTATGAGATGACTCCGAGCTGGTTGGAGGGACAATTCGAACATCCACATCTTCTTGTATCTCTTATACTTACGGCGGGATAGGATGCAAACCGGTGAAACGAGAGAGAATTGAATAGCCATGGAAGGGGACATAATGCAGAAGAGATGTTTTCTCTGTGTTTGAAGCCTGAAGCTGAGACGAGCAGTCAGATGCATTCCGCGGTCAGAGTCGTAACAGAAAAGGAATGTACTTGGCGACATCGTTGATGACCATCGGCGAGTATCAAACCGCACGGAGTCTTCATTCCGATGCAAACACGGTGTACTCAGAGACGTTCGGTATCGGTCCAACAGATTAAAAAAAAATTGAGAAGATCCAGTGCATAGATGGACAGACATGTCTATGCCAAGAACAACGCAAAGGAGAGAATAAAGCGACTACTCACCTGAGACAGACATGTAGCTGAGCTCTCCAACAGAGTCCGACAGCGTCGACTTCGGAAATATGATGGTCCATTGTACAAGCGGGATTTAGATATCATCACTGAGAGGAAGAATGGCGGTAATTATCAGTGCAAATGGTCACAGTGCCAATCGAGCCGTCCTGTAACAGAGATGAACGACGTCATGCCGAGGTATCACAACGCTAGCGGGAGCGATTGACTTGCGATGAGTGGGACACTTCGCTGATGAGGGTTTGAACAGGTACGAACAGCAGTGCAAAGCGGAATATTGACCGAAGGTGGGGATCAACTTGCGGGAGAGCACAGCAGATTGCCGATCTGTGCGAGGACATGTAGGTAGGCTCAATGCGTGCTGAGCACAATTTTCCTCGAACGTTTGAGGAAGGCGGATGAACTAAGAGGTATAGAACCAGATGGCCTAAAGACCTTGGTGGTTCCATCATTTTCGTAGTGGCTGAACGTCACATACGGGAGGAAGGCTATGCCGCCGATATAGCATTGTAGAGGAAAGAGAAAGAGATAAAACGCGAACCCCTGATATGTAATAGCCTGTGCTTTAGATGCCTTGTTGAGAAGCGTATGGTATCGGCTTGAACGATAAATCGTTGCTCATCCCACAGTTTTCGTGCTCGGCATCATATGTGTGGCATGAAGCACGAAACATAATTACAAGGCGGCTCGTTGAGCAAATAATAACTGAGACGCGCCAATGCCACGCGGCATAGCATAGTTTAGTGTACCCGATCTTAGCTGCCCGGTCACCATTTTGTATAGCGCTTGTAAATCAAGTTGACGATGATGACGATGCTGATCAGTGAGAGGAACATTCGCTAGTACGACGATGCCAGCGCCAAAGTGAGAATATCCCATGAAGCAGCGGAGCCGAGCGGATCAATCCCTGAGCAAAACCGCAATAAGAACAAAGCAATCTGCTTATTCTGCTCGGCGCCACACCGTGGCCCTGTCATACATCGGTGTATATCGATTCCATCACGCGGAGTCATCGTTCGACGAGAAACACGGTAACCCGTCACCAAGCCATCACCGTCAATCCTTGACCATTTCCCGCGCTAGCGAGGTCGAACACGCGGCAGCCAACCGAAGACTGCATCCGTTTGCACGAAGTGTCCCTCCCGAAGCAACTCCTGCCTCAGTTCCATCTAGGTTGCCAACCTAGGAGCAGCTCTAACCCCTTCTGTTGGGGACTTATCCATCGCTGAACGAACGCACTCCACGACGGCGCCGCCTGCTGACATCCGCCATGTGTCCTCGTCCTGTATCACAAGCAGTGGCCGGGGGCGGGCATCGTACATATAGACCCTCCGAAGGGGACGCCCACGCCCCAGGCGTTCCTCCAAAAATCTGGCTATGGTTTCGCGGTCGGACGTTACGCGAATCGCCTGTGGGATATGCTCAAAGAAGTAAGGATAGAGCTCTTCGGGCGCAGGAAAAGCAGGGTCAAAGAGGGTCCCGCCCGTGCGTATCGCCTCAAAAATTCCAGACCCGTAATTCGTGCAAAGAACAACGAGTTTTGTGAGCAACGGGGAGTTGGTGTGCTCGAAGATGTAGCCCCACTCCAGGGTCTCATCACTGTTAGACTGATCGAAGTGGTGGATCGACATCTCCTGTAGTTTGTGGCCCATGTTATACATGCCGTCGAGCTGCGGAGGAAGGTAGAGTCGTCCGGGGCGATGTCCTTATCTAGTGAGGGTCACGGCGAAGCTAAAGTCGTCGTTGGTATAGGATACCAGAGGATAATCCTTAATAAAATACACCTAAGAAAAGACAATAAGACATGACATTGTGAGAGGCGGAAGAAAAGGAGAGGAAAGAGAGAAAAGGCGCAAAAAGGACATCTGTTTTGAATACCATACAAAAGGCGGATCTACATGGCACGACGGACCACCGTATCATTACGGCTCTTGCCCACCGCGACCAAACAGACTGGGCTCTTCGGGTAACTCCACCCCGGGCACCACAGGAAAAGGGCGGTAGGCTGGCAGAAGAATGACAATCAGATCCGGAACCTTCAAGCCACGACGACGAACGAGAAGCAAAAGTTACTCACGCCTTGCACCGTCAAATAATAGATCTCCGAGGTTCTTCCTTTCCTCAAGTGTTGTATTTGGGTCAATAAACTTAGCCAAGATCATGTCAGATTCCTCCGGACTGAGCAGCTCTCTATCACTCCCCGATCCGCTGTCCCTTCTCTCCTCATCGTCCTCGTCCATGCTATTCACAGCCATCCCATTCCCATCCACACTAGCGGGCATCACGCTGGCGTGAACATGCATTGTTGGAGAAGTGCTGGGCACCTGTCGGGACCCGCCTGTCTGAGGCAGGGGAGAGGGCATGCTCAGAGCGGCTGTCGGAGGGGGTTGAGGCGTGAAAGTCAGCGGGCGGTAGTGGATTAGGTCGTAAGCTTCGAGGGTAAGGAGCGCGAGCTCGCGTTGGCGGTCTGTCAGAAGATCAAAGCCATGTTTCCTTTCATGACACCTAAGCTTCTGCCCCGCATTGAGAATGAGAAAGAATGGGTTCACTTGGTCGAACATGTTCTTTTTGCGGTGGGTGTAGGAAAAGGGAGGGTAGGGTGTGGAGTCGGACGCGGAGTTCTGTTCACGGAGTTCGCGATCGACGACCGTCCAGTCGGCGTATGTTGGCGGTTCAAAGGTTTTGAGGGTGCTGAGTCGCTGACCACGTGGGAGGAAGAGCGCGGGATGGAGAAGGATGAGGTCGAATTTTACACGGACCAGGGCGCTAGTGAGCCACTGCAGTAGCGATAGTGGTAACTGAACTTGACACGTTATGGATAGACTTTAAACACACGCACCGGAATACTTCGAACGGTTTCCGAGCCTATGAGACTTATTGCCTCATCCCACTGCCGATTAGACCGTATCTGCGAGTGAATTTTTGACCTCGCTAAAGCTCGCTAAGGCCCAACGGGACGCGACGATTGGCCCGATCGCAGTTTTAAAGCCGTTTTAAACGGTTGCAGATACGGTCTATTAGGGCTTATATGTTTCAAGTTTACTTGGAACTCGTTGGCGGAAGATCTGACCGATCCGCCAATGAGCTTTCGCAAAAAGTTCCAAGTTTTTATTAACATATAAGCCCTATTAGGGCTTATATGTTTCAAGTTTACTTGGAACTCGTTGGCGGAAGATCTGTCCGATCCGCCAATGAGCTTTCGCAAAAAGTTCCAAGTTTTTATTAACATATAAGCCCTATTGACCGCCTTCAATATTTCAATCACCCCTTGTAGTGACTCCTTGCTTAACGTAATCGCGTAAGTAGCGTATTTGTCAAAGTGCCGGTGGTACGCAGGAAGTACTAGAACACCAGTCAGACACATAAGGATCACAGCCAGCACAAGGTGGAAGGTCGTACGAAGAATCATGTTCTCTAGGCTCTCTAGCGTGAGGCCCTTTGGTCGACGCACAATAGCCAACACATTTTCTAAAACATGAAGCTAGAGGGCTGGGTCATGACGGGTAGTTGGCGGCGAGACGGTGTGGGACCGACCACTCTGAGCAGCCGGTTTGGATCCGTTTTATCGCGAACAGCGTTTATAATGTGCACCGTTTCGAGAGTAAGGCAGGTGTATCCAGTGATAAAGCAGCCAAGGTCGCCATCAAATCGCGCTCTATCCTCGTTGAAGGCTTTAGCATCCCTGTTGCGAACCTTCTTGGTCGAAGTCGAGCCCTGCTCGGTTGGTGTCTGGGCCACGGAGGGGCGCAGCTTAGGCAGATCCTGGGCGGTAATACCAGAGGTGGCGGGGAATTCGGAGACTCCCTCCGGCATGTAGATATACTCGTTGTTGATAGCTCTCGACATGATGCCGTCTGTACGAAGTGGAAGGTGACGAGATGTTGCTAAAAGTTATTTTGTGCTCGAGGGAGGTGTGGGAATAATTCTCGGTGTAAGCCGTGTGGCGCCAGGCGACTTTTCGTGGCGTTTCGTCAAAACGGTGGACCTCATAGTATTTTGCTAGAAGGGTCTTATTCACTGGCATTACACAGGAGTACACCAATTGTCTCTAGGCATATAACTTAGATGAAGGCTAAACATGTGCCTTTCTGGACGAAGAGCATTTTAGTGAGTGTACTGCCGAGCTATACAAGGCGATTCAAACCTAGTATCAACGCTCAGACTGCAGCTCATCGGTTGGGAAGGTATCCATGGTCAGTCAGTTCAACAAAGCACGTACTCTGGAACATTTTGTCACGGAAACCGTCCGGTCTATCTGGAGATTACCCGACCTTCGACTTCATATCCCTCCATAGTACCACCACTAGAATAATGCCAACTCCAGCCACCGCCAAATCTACACCCACATTCTTCAACAACCCAACATTCAACACCGCTCCTCCCCATACCGTCCCACACACCCTTCCGATATAATTACCATACTGAATCGCCATACTCAACCTCCCATTCCACCTCTGCGGCATCTGCTTGCTCAACAAACTGACGGTAGCCGTCGTCGCCACACTAAAGCCCAACGCGACCAACCACCAACACACAAAGAAGCTCCCAAATGTTATCTCTTTCTCCCCTCCTATACCCACGATTAACATCATGAGCACCAATCCCGCTGCGCCTGTTCCACAGCCATACGCCAAGATATACCGGTCTTGCATACGGCGTGCGTAGTAGAGATTGAGGAAGAGGAAAGGGAAGGTGCAGAGGCCGCCGAGGGCCATGAAGTTACCTGCAGCGAAAGGAGACCAGTTGAAGTGGAGGGAAGTGTACGGTGCAATGGAGGACTGCCAAGCTCCGACGACGAAGAAGCAGGTCATAGCAATCCAGGACATGGTAAATATGAGGGCGTAGGTGCGCCAGGTCGTCACAAACGGCTCATCATCAGAAGACGATACGCCTGCTTCGTCAATCTCGATTACAATCCCTGTGGTGCGATTGCTGCGGCGAGTAGCATGTGCGCTGGTTGAGGAGACGGTCGGACGAAGCTCCATTGGTGCCGGTCCTGCTGTATCACGGGATGGTTCGTTCAGCGATACCACGGACGGTACGTCCTCGAATGCCGCTACAATGACACCCAAAAATGTGACCCAACACACTGCCATTACCCATCCAGGACCGGTGTACCCGTTGAAAACGTCATTGTGAAAGCCAACTTTGTACAGCAGACCACCGAGGAAGGGACCGAGGGTGAAGCCTACGTTTTGACCAACCACAAGCCAGGCAGAGACGCTTGCGCGGCGACGAACGCCGATGATACGGCTATCTGTGCAGTAGCGTTTGCTACACGAATGTTTATGTTGACCGTTAGATGGTCATACTCACAGGAATGAGGGAGAGTTAAGTGGACATACGTGTACAAGAAGCTGACGAGACCTATACCCGTTACGCAGCGCCCGATAAAGACGAGCCATAGGAAATTGGCGATCTAACGAAACATGTTAGCATGGATCAAAGCAACCGTAATCGCCCTACGAACGTAAGCGAGTCCATAGAGCACATTCCCAATGGTTGCCAAGATACAAGAAAATATAACGGGTCCCATGTATGTTCCTGCGCAAAATTTAGTCAGCTAATGCTGTAAACTCGGCGAGCATGGTATTGCTATACCCTTGTCAATCGCCATAAGACCTGGAATCGCAATCCCAGCGAACAAGGACGTGATACCGATGATGAGTCCAGCGAAGACCGAATTTCCTCCCAGGGCTTGCGCATAGTCGCTCGCGGATGGTAGAATGATAAACATCGTTAACTAAGGATCAAAAAGGTCAATGGCAAGCCATATGAAATATAAAACGGTGTGCTTGCGTGTGACATTCCGTTGAGGACGAGCATAGAGATCAAGGAAGATAATTTAGGCAACTTGAGCTCGGAATCCTCCTCAGTGGCGTTGTCACCAGGAGAGTCAGCATTTGCAACGTCTACAACAGTCGACAGTGGTGCGGCAACCGTCACATTCAAGCTGGAAACCGGCGCTCGAAGAGAGCGCAAACCCTCTGTCACAGAACGTGCAGAGCTTATAGGAGAGCGCAGCACAGGGAAAGACATGACAGTGGACGCAACAATCGTAGTTGTAGACACCTGAGAGACGGGCAGGAGGACGAAGGAGGAGGAGGAGGAAGAGAATCCCAATCTTTTGAAGCCCCTGAAGCGGCTCGATTTAGCTCGTGACTCGGATGAAACGTCGGAAGGTCATTCGGATTTTCGATCTTGCGGACCACCTCGAATTTTGGCGCTGTGAATAGGGTCTCCATGTCGTGAACCTGTAGTCCCTTGTAGCCCACACGGAAAGACAGGAATACCTAGGAGACTCGAGACCAATCGTCTAGCGAGCCCAAAATGGGCAACCTAAAAGAAGTACATAGCAGCCCGTAATCGCGGGCCCATACTGTGAGCGAAAGGATTATTATCTGCTTCATTGTTGGTGTAAGTTGTCGGTTCACTTTCGCTGCGTCAACTTTATCCTGCGCCCCCTGCCGCCTTTCCCTGCCACCCTTGCGACCACGACCTTGGCCTCTTCCGTAGCCACGCCCTCGTCCATCACCGCGTCCAAACTCAATCCTCCTCAATGGCCTTTCTACCCACTCCTTTCCCACAATATTCAGCCTCTCCCTCTCCTCCTTGTTCAACAGCCAAGGCTGCCAAACCTTCCGTATGTCCTCTCCTTCACCTCTCAACCCTCTCAACTCCGGTATCCAAGCCTTGATATACTCGCCCTTCGGATCATAATCCTTCGCTTGTTTCACCGGATTGAACGCTCTCCCTTCCCCTGCATCCTGGCCGTTCGCTCTCGGATCGTTCCCCACGCCCGCCACGTACTGCCAATTCCCCCAATTACTACAAACATCATAGTCGACCAACATGCACTCATACCATTCCGCTCCGACCCTCCAATCGATGTAGAGATGCGACTTATGCGTAAGGAAGGACGCCACGTTCTGTCGTGCACGGTTAGAGGTGTAGCCTGTGAGTGCGAGTTCGCGTTGTGAGGCATCGACGAGTCCCATCCCTGTCGTTCCTTCGAGGAATCGGCGGATAGTATCCTGGACGGCGGGATCGGATGAAGAAGGTGATTTCCAACCAGAGATGTTGTTTGAGCCGCGGAATCCGCCCAAGGAGAAGAGCCTAGAGTTAAACTTGCGCGCGCAGAGACGCATGTAGTCCCTCCAGAGTAGTTCGAACCGCACCCAACCGGTCCCTTCGTTGATGCCCTTCCCCCATCCTTTCGCGTTCTTGCCCAACTCATCGCTTCCTTCTTCCAATTTCACGAGGTATTCATGTACCTGCCTCGCAGTGATGCACCCCAGTGCCAGCCAGGCTGAAAGCTTGGTACTATAGTCTTCGCCTAATAGCCCATTACGAGTCTGCTTGTAATTCGTCATGGCGGAGGAAGTGATGAGATGTTTGATGCGACTGTGGCCTGTCGTGGCACCGCCTGTGAAGGGGTGGCCGGAAGTTATAGGATGCGGTGGAGTTGAGGTTGGGTCGGGCATTGCATGATCGGGTTTGGCAATGAGCGGTTTGTACAGAGCCTCGATAAGTTGGGAGAGAGAAGTCGGAATTGTGAAGGGATAGGCTTGGGGCGCGATCAACGACGAAGGAGGGAGCAGTGGAAGTGAATTTGGAGTGGGCAGAGTGTGGCGTGATCTGGAATTGAGAGGCTCGACGGATTTGCGGAAGGAGGTGAAGACGTCGGGAAGGTCTTTGATATTGTCAAATGGGAGATCACGACTACAAATACACGATCAGCAAATACGAAAGTTGGGGAATGTGGGAGAAATGCACTCACTCGTCAATCAGGTACTTCTCATCCCGCCACAATTGAAACTCGACTCCAACCCCCTCACAAACTTTCTTCACATCGCTCTCCTCTCTCTGTTCTTCTTGACCCTCCTCACCCGTCATCCAAACACCTACGACGTGACCTGCTTCATTCTCCATAATCACATCAATCAAGCCTCTAACGACCTCTCCAACCTTCCCTACCCTTATAACAAGCCCCGACCCCTTGCCTTCCAGTCCTTCTTTGACATCCCATAAGCTCTCGGCCAAGAACTTCGCCCTATGAGGCCCACATCTCCAAAACCCAGCGACTTGACTTCGAGCCTCGGGAAAGGGAGATTTGACGGAACTATCGGTTATGAACCGTGCGCCCGTGTGTATATATTGTTTGGCTCCTCGGAGCATGCGTTCGCTTTTTTCGCGCTCGGCCCTCCCATTCTGCTTGTCTCCCATTCCTATTACCACTGCTATTGCATCTACGCGGCCGCAATTGTTTAGAACTTCAGTTTCATCTCTATCATGACCCAGAGACCTCGAGTTGGTTGTGGGGGAAGATATAGAGTGGCAGAAGGTGTGTGTATTGTGGCGAGCGGGACGTAGATATGTGATGGAGGATGGGATTATCGGCCAGTCGGAGGTCACGGCGCAACATGTAGATGAGGATGCGGGGAGGCGACATATTCTTGGTAGACGTTGGTTGATGCTGGCGGGATGGTGTCTGAGGGACGCGACCATTTGAGAGGTTGAATGTGGTGAGGCCAGAATATTTAATGGGCTGAGGTTGTCGAAGAGCGTGACGATGACGAGCATGGGTCGCGATCTGCGCCAGTAATAAATTACATACTGACAAGCGAATGATGAGGCAGACGGAATCGGACAGCTCGACGATGCGGCCAAGTTTGTGGTGATGATGTCATCCCGAGTTGTGTTCGAAATTTGCTTCCGTTGGTGGGGAACGACTGTTTGGCTCCTCATAGACACCTGGAAAGAATGAGCCGCAATACACAATGCAGAACGTTCAGCCTCACCTCTTTAGATCCGTACGGACGAGTATATACATCATATATCACCGCGAGGAAATACCGTGGAGGACAAGTGTGCGAAAGCTGCGATACCGTTCAGGACCCAATCTTGGGTTTCTTCTTCGGTTGAGCGCGCGCCTTGCCCTTGCCTTTCATCTCTGTATCGCTCCCGACCTCGGACTGGTCCGTCTTGTCTCCTTCGACGGATCCAGTAACAGTGTTGACCGCTTGACTGTTCGTGCGTCGTCTCTTCCGTTTCCTACCTATGATCATGAAGAGACATGAGAAGCAGCTTCCAACGACACATGTGGAAGCAATATTGCCAAGGGCATGCCTCATTGCGTACCTTTGCGTGAGGGTCTGTATTCCGGAAGAGAGGAGAGGTAGGCAAGGTCGTCAAAAGGCCGGATAGTTCCCAGCGCATCTGCGTCCGCACTCGCGAATTCGTTCGAGTGCTTTGATAGCAGAGCGGCACGGTGAGCATCTGGCAGATATGAAACAAGCTCAGCGAATTGATATCGAGAAGGGCGGCGAATCGAGGGCGGAGGAACTTACAAGGATGATCAGCCAAACCGTAAATCTTCTCCAGACGATCTTGAACGTTTTGAATCACCCTTTATTATACATGCACAGTTTGGTCAGGAGTACTATGGTGAATAATGTAAGAGAGAACGTACTGAGGGTCAACAATGCCCTCTACGCTGACGATGTTCAGGACGTGTTGCCAGGTAAGGGGCATGAAGCGACTCTGCAGACTCTTCGAAGAAGCAGGAATATGTGATGCAATGGCAGATAACATCTGAGTAAGATGTGTCGAGGATAGAGCCTCAAGGGTTTGGGCCACATCAGGCTGAAGCTCATCCTCTGACTCGGAGTCGATGTCGTCAACATCTTCGTCGGGCTCCTGCTCACCCTCCGATGCATCCAAATCACGGACAGGCTCAAGAGGGTCACCAGGCTGATCATGAGCGTGCTCGCTCGAGACGGACCGGTGAAATGCGATAGATTGTCGAGCGAGGAAGAGGACTTCGTCTGCGAAGCCCCACTCAGGGATATGAACATCGCCGACCATAAGCGGCCACCTCGTCCACTCATCCCTTTCCATTTTCTTCTTCTTTGACCTGCTCGAACTTTTCTTCGCCTTCGCCTTGCCCTCGCCACCCATCTCATACTCAGATCCTGAGTCAGGCTTCTCAGACTCTCCCTCATCCATATTCCTCTCTGCCACTCTCGCACTGCTGCCGACATCTTCGTCGGAAAGCTCTACATCGGCAAAGTCGGTAGATCGAGGAGCGAGACTACTATCGCGTGCAGTCACGGTCGAAGCCCTAGTAGAAGACCCAGCGTAAGGACGAGCAAGTTGCGAGGCCACATCCAAGATGTCGTTAGTCCTGAGCGCACGAAGCAGAGACGTGTATTCAGAAAGCTCAGTGTGTAAAGCGATGGGCACGAGTTTCGTCTTTTCTCGCTGCTTATCCTTTTTGGCCATCGCTGTTCGCCGCCGTAGAGTTCTTCGGTCAAGTCGCGGTTCGCGTCGAAGTCACGTCGCGCTGGGGTCGCGTGCCACATGAGCAAATTTGGATGAAATTCGTGGGATAAGCTTATGTGAACAACTGTACAGTTGCCACAGGCCTCATTACCCGACCGCTCGTCCAGGCTCCGGTTCCCCCAAGTACATCTCTCTCAACCGAATTACTTCATGTGAGTTCCCCGCACATTTGCTAAGTTTTTGCCATCTTGACTCGTTCTGATTATATATTGCTCTTGTGTGTATTTCGACGGTGTAGAATGAGAGAGAAGTGGAAGAAAAAGAGGTCTCGCAGGCTCAGGCGCAAACGCCGAAAGATGCGGGCTCGTTCCAGTACGTTCCCCATGTTCAACTTGGCCCCTATTCGAACAGAGCTGACCTTATATCTATGTATCCTACCGACAGAATGATCAACTCGCCAAAGAATAGTCCATCGCCATAGCGCTCTCTCCGACTTCACCTGCGCACTACTCAGCCCCTAAGTGCATTCTTCACCGAAGTCCAGCTCACTGCTGGGCGTGCCGCGAAGGGGTGGCGGAGTCGTTGGGAGGTTCGAAAAAACCCCAAGAATGTCAGAAGTTACGGTCGTTTTGTATTCGTTGTTCTCCGACTATGATGATCATGATGCTGTATTTCTGCCTTCATTTCTTCGCGTGCACTTTAGTCGGCTTCAACACTTTTCGACACTTTTCACAGACAGGAAGTATCTGAACGTACAATAAAGGTCGTTGTGAATGTGCTTCGTCTCAACACTTTCCTTGTCGTCTCCGTTGGCCATGTTCGTTGCGTCGCAGCGTCGTCGCTGTTCACCCGAGTATGATGTCATATGTCGGTACTTGGAGGTGTTGATTTTTCTCCTATTCTTCGCGTCGCATATGCGCAGTCGTTGACGATAGCTGCCCCTGCGCAGTTAAGAATGGAGAACGCCCTTGTTCAAGGACGTTATTGAGGCTACGGTCATTGCATTTCTCCGTTTGCGGTTTATTCATTGACCGTCGGCCCCCAGTCTGACGAGTGATGGTATCTAATATATAATGGGAGAGCAGTGTCTCACGGTCTAAAAATGGCAACTGCCGTTTATGGTCGTTCTGCGATGGTGGCACTGTGGCGTCTTTCCGTCTCTTTCTTGGTATTTTTCTCTCTACCTCAGAGGCATATGGACTGCGGCCCAATCAACGGGGAGCGAGATTTAAAAGACTCTACGTACATGTTGATTTGATGTATCCGTTATTGTCACTGTGGGTAGCCACACTGGCGAGGTTCGGTGGGCGAGGTGGCACATATGCTGTGGTAAGTATTTCGTTTTTGTGTTCTCGCGATACGAGGCATGCACCGGCAGTAGCTCTATCTACTCCTCACCAGAGCAATGGGAATCTACCAATACTTCGTAATACTCCAAGTGATTGGAAACATGTGCAGTTACAGTGCCACTGGCCCAACGATGGTGGGGGTCGACGTCGCGAGGAAATGGGTCACGTTCAGGATAGCATTGTCGTAGGCTTTATACGGGAATTTATTGGCTTGACCTTCGAGTTGTATCAATCATCGAATGTCCAAAGAGAACGGTCAATATTTGTGCGCGAGCACGGGTAACTGCTAGTTGAGTCACTAATACAGTACTATAAAGAAGGCCAAAGCGCTTGGATGACTATCCATGCGCGCAGGGTGGATGTCGACGGTGATCGCTGCAGCCGCCCGACGGTGTCTCCACACCATCTGGGCACATCAATAATGTTTCTGTTCCCGGAGACTGCCGCTGGTACCTTTCAATTGTCCCCAACTTGTGCCAACTTGTGACGAAACAGACAATGATGTGCCCACCGCCGGCACGACCCCTCTGACACGCCAGACGGCACATTGAAAGGCACAAGCGGTGGGTGTACGGGTGACAAAGCGTTGCTGATCGCTGGCGTGGACCAAGCGTAGGACAAAGCTTCGCGCCACCCGAAAGGTAGAAGATGGCACGGAACGTTTACATCCAGACAAAGGACAAGGCCCAAGGCCTGTATATAATGCGCTGTCCGGGACTTGAGTGTTGTAGAGCCATTACAATCAGTCCACCGAATACTCCTGCACACAACCTAACATGTCTACCGTAAGTGTTCGTTCACAGGCTGTAAGGTTGCGACTTAGAGCTAATCAATATGCCATCGCAGAAAACCGAGACTGACTCTAATAACCGTCCGATTGGCATCGGCAGGCAGTTGAGCCTGTGGGTGAAGCAGAGTACATTCCTACCTAACGGTCCGTCTATTCGTCGTTTGTCTTCTACGCTCTCCCTTCTTTGAGGCTCACGCACACACTTCCCCTTCCCCCATAGACCCAGCCCTCAACGAATGGCTCGCTCAACTGACGCCAGAAGAGCGCGATGCTCTATCGTCTGCAAAGAGCGACATAATCGGCATCCTTAAAGTCATAGAGGCATCCCTGGCTAGGTTGAGAAAGCTGGGTATACCGGAGATCATTGCTGAGTGCAAGGACTCTGATAATGATGCATACGACGAAAAGGAATGGGAGGCGCTGATCCAGGATTTCTTTTGGGGGTCGACTATCGAGCCCAGCGATAACTCTATGGAGTCCGATAAACCCTCTGTATAAGCTGGATAGGGGTAGGGGTGCTATCTTTTCAAGTTGAGGCTCTGTTACAGTTTGTGTACACTACATCAATGTAATGAAAGGACACCGAATGAGGTTATACAAACGTGTATTCCTCTGCTTTGAGGTCTTATGAACTCGGGCTGAAGACCATCACAGTCGGTAACGAATACACGAATGTCTGTTATTTTCCTGCCTTCTCCTGCTCGCTGAGTGTTTGGGCCACACTGGTGGCACTGATACGAGTAAGTTATGTACCGGCAATCGCCGACGTAGTGTTCCTTCAAGTTTTCTCGTCAGCTCCTTGTTCTCATCCAACTCGTCGTCAATCTACGATTCTTCAGAGGGACGAGTAGTCTATCAGTGGCGTATTCTCCATCACGCTCTTTCCTTCAGCCCACTCATTGGATAGTCGTGGGCGTATTACCCGCTGCGAACCATGATCATTCCAAACCCGCATACGTTCGACTTGCGTGCGACGTCCCTCGTTCCTTATACTTTGCGGACCTCAAGGTTTTCTATGCTTTTGACAATACCTTCCCTTGTTGCCTCTCTCCTCACATTGTCACCCGTGGCTTCCCGCAACGCTTGTTTCTACTGGCACTCGTGGGCTATGCATTGCGTCAGCTATGGCCGGCGATAAATTTCCTTTCCGCATCGGTATCCGTCTGAAATGATAACTGACACTATAACCCATCCTTGCATATCCATCCCTTCTATATACTCACACGTTCATCTCTCACTGCTCGTGGTCAATAATGCAGGCACGTCTAAGTAACGACGATCCACATTGTGGCATCGGGAACTCGAGCTCTCCTCCCGGCAACGGCCGGCTTCCCGCTCGAGGTCTTCAATTGTTCGACGTCGTGCGAGTTGTCTCTTGATGTTCATTTTCGAGCAATCCGAAGCCTGAGCGCTGAGCTCGGAGCTCCATCTCCATAATTAATCGATCATCTCTCCTTCAAGATTCCGTGTTGAGAATGACTTCCGTCGGTGGAACACGCGCATTGAGTCGCAGAGTCCGAGCCCGCGCCTCCAATTGTTCGACGTCGTTCTTCTTCGGCTATGTAGAGCTGTGCGGAATACGGGTCTTCTGCGCTTTGACAATACTTCTTTTGTATTTCAGCTCCTGACTATGTTCTCTTCAAGCCACCTTGTCGAGAGGAGCCTCTATCGGTCGGAACACGCAGTGGGTCGCCGCCGCATGTCTTTCCGGGTCTCTGCCTCTAATTGTTCGGTGTCGTCCTTCTCAGGCTATGAACGGCTGTTCGAGCTTTAGGCCTTTTGTGTGGAGCCTAGAGGCATCGCAACACAAAAGACACTTGGCTCGTACGGTTGCTAGACGATGAGGCCAATTCCCCTCCTTGTTGTGATGCGACTGCAGAAAAAGTCAAACCTCGTCGCATTAACAACTAAATCTTGTCATCACGAACGATGTCGTTAGCACCCACCATCATTCTATATCTCTTGCGCATCTATCTTGAAACCTCAGCTCTACTACAACCCATACCCTTGCAATGTCCGACTCGCCCGAGATCATTGAGAGTTCGGGATTGACGATGCCTAAGGTCAGTCATCCGCTCTCGGGAGGTTCAATCTGGAAGTGCTTGGCTTACAGCGTGATTATGGGCCATTTGCCAGTGAACTTGGTCGCGAGCTTTATCGGAAGTTGTTCTCATTCCCTCCAAGAGGTGGGCCTCTAAAGGTTTTTGCGTGGGCTTAATCAGACTGGTTGATGAGTTGATGATTTAGATCCTGCGAGGGACGAATGGATAAAGGGGTTGACGGAAGCTGAGCGTGATGCATTTATTGCTGAGGTAGATCGAGAGTTCAAGCGAGCTGAAGAGGAGAATCGAACATCCGTGCCCCGGCGATACTGGTCGTACACGAAGAACGTCTGTGGCCGTGATAAGGACGCTATGGCCTGGGAGTATGGGGTCATGGATGGTAATTAGGCGGAAGTGCGGATGCGCAGAGCGCAGGAGAGACAAGCAGAGGGTTTTCAGACCGCGACGCAGAGCGGATCTAGTGGAGTTGTACGAGACTTGAAGGTCCTGCAAGCCCGAGCTTCCAAGGGACGTTAGGTGTGTGAGTTCATGTGCATGCAGGTTCATGATATTGTACCACACAAAGATGCAGATTCACTGATTCAGATGGGTCACTCTGGCAGAAATGAATGTTTGGCAGCGCACACGTGAGGATTTGTAGTTATGCGTTTGTAAGTCTTTCTAGACGACTATCTTTCTTCCAAGGTACCCTTGAGGGACCTTGTCGAGAAGGTCTTTCATGAGTACAGATCTGTAGACATGTGCAAAACACCAGCTGGCGGAAAGGTCCGATCCTCGAGCTCTTATTGTTCGACGTCGTCTTCCGCTGCTTGAGGCTATGCACGTGTTGCCGAGCGCCCGAAGGCTTTCTGCGTTTGACAATACCCCTTTGGAAGGCCACGTCTTCGTATCATCTGGGAGTCTTTGCAGCTCGCGTCAGTGACTATGGCCGTGCTCCGCTTATAATTACTGTAGGTTGTACGAACGAACGTACATTTCTTTCAAGCTACTTCTATAAGGATACCCATGCGTTTTGTCGAACAATATCAGTCGTTTCTGGGTGTTTCGGCGCATGGCAACTGGAAACTACGAAGCGAGCGAGGAATTCGAGCACAGCACCACAACACAAAAGACCTAGGTTGCTAGACGATGCTACCCCCCTCCTTATTGTACTCTATTGCGTATGAAAACGTAGAAAAGACTCGCCTCTCATTGTTGCGTTGAGTAGATACCCTCCGGCGACGTCTTCACTACTCATCTCTTTACTGTAGCTCCTCGAAGGCACGTAACTCACACTTTATCTGACTCGTAGGCAGACTTATTCGATAGAATACTAGTTCGTGCTCTTGCTATCCTTATGACTTCGATAGACTGACTGTCAACATTATATTAGTAGTAAGAGACTACGTCTTCGACATCTGAGCTAGGTAGGCAAAGATCATTGTGTCGATCTTCCTTGTCGATCGACGCCACCTCAGACTCCTTTTTGCCATTGACAGTACTGTCAAGTGCCCTGCTTTATTATCATCTCGTTTTCAATGGCTAGTTTGAAGGAAGAGAACGACGCTTTGGGATTGCCTCCACTCGAGGTGCGTGTCTCGCTCATGTCGTATCCACCGAAACTAACAAAAGACGTAGGGGAAATTTGTCAGTGAACTTGGTCGGGAGCTTTATCGGAGGTTGTTCTCCTACTCCTCTAAAGGCATGTCCGTCCCATATAGGCATCAGATGCGGATGATACTGATTCCCGCATGGTTAGATTACCGCCGTGACGAGTGGATCAAGACTCTTACGCGCGACGAGCAGGCTGCTGTCAGGGCCGAGATGGATCGAGAGTTGAAGCAGGCAGAAGAGGATGATGCAGCTTCAGATCCCACGCGGCATACATCCTCGCTGTTGAACAGGCTTTGTGGCTTCAATACGGACGCCTTAGCATGGGAATACGGCGTCATGGATGGGAACATGACAGAGTTGCGCATTCGTCAGGAGCAGGAAAGGGAGGCTAGATATTTCGAATGGTCACAAACAAGTGGTATTCCTAGGGACGTCAAAATCTTCCATATGCGAAACTCTAAAGGACATTAGATACATAATATGTTCTACCTGTGTTGAAGATAAGTAGGCCTCACGTACAAATCGTACGTCTCTCTTTGTGCGCGCTTCGAGTCCTGAGAGCTAAATGGTACCATTCCGCGATAGATGTCGTATGATGTTGTTCAATTGCTCTATCTGTGTGTTCTTTATTTGCAACTTCGCCGTGGCCTCTTGTAGTTGTCCTCTCCATGTCATCGCTTGATGATTTGAGGATGCTGACTCAGACTCAAGTTCCCTGATCCTTTCGGATGCCATGTCGAGCGCAGCAGCTCTTTCTGGGTGACACTGTCCCCCAGAGCATCGCTGGACGTATTGAAGAACTGCAAATGGAAAATGCGTGGACATCAGTTTCGAAATCTGCGGGTAAACAACTGTCCCGAGACAACATACGTGATTCATCCTTCTGCTCGAGTGTGCCAGTCATGATACCTGCGAGTTTCCACATCTTCTCCCTTCGCATATCGGCCTTCCCGCGGCGACCTTGCTGATACTCCCTATCAGTCTCTCTCTTCCTCTCCTTGGCATCGCTCTTAGCCTTCTTCGACGGACCAGCCGCAGATCGTCCCTCGTCAAGGTCTTCGACCTCGTCGGCCTTGCGCTTACCATTAGATATAGGAGTTTTAACTACAGCACCAACGGTATGAGGTTCGTCATGATCAAGGACCGCAGCGCCAGAGGTGCCAGGCATGCACAATGACTGAGCATGAGACGCAGTCTTCGTCGAGCGGGGCTTTTTAGCGCGCTGCTTCGACGAAGAGGGATGGGAATCCGGCGTTGCGTACGAAGAAGGATCCATATGACGAAAGGATGAAGTAGGAGCAGGAAGGTTAGGGGGAGATGGCGGCCGCGTCGATGCATCTGCCGTATTTGAATCGAGAGGGCGTGAGGTCTTGGTAAGAATGGTGCTATGCTTTGTGGCGGTGGCACCGAACGGAACAGAGGAAAACGTGCTCGAGGACCCATCATAACCTTCGCTCCCAGAAGTGTAGCCCCCGGGGAAGTTAGGCGCAGGTAATGTCCGGGGAATCGCATGATCAGGCCGTAACATAGCCGGGGTGAGCGATTGTGGCGCGGGGAAAGTAGTAGGTATTGAGGGTTGTTCGTAGTTTGTGACCGGAGCCGTCGAGAGGCGTGTCGCGGGGAACAACAACGAATCCGGAGCGGGCAGGGACTCGACGTGTTCGGAGTGGAAGTCGCCCTGTTCAGAGTTTGACCATGTTTGCGTCGTACGCTCCCTCGATGGACCGCCGAACGACTGAGGCACAGGGGCAGAAAAGGGACTAGCGGACGACATCGGTGTCGCATCGTACGAAGCAAGTCTCGAAGATGTCTCCGCTGAAGTATCGACCGAAGAGCTGTGATATAATGAGAACACAGTATGAACTGCCGCATTCATCTAACAGGAATGACTGGGTAGAGAGAAATACACACCCTGTCGCATATTGCGTACTCCACGTAGGTTGGCCCTGACCAAGGGAACCTCTCTCGTCATAAGGGTGCAAAGTGAAGTAAGGAGAACTATATTGTCTTCGATGAGCCAAGCCCAACAAACTTCAAGGCCAACGGCAGATGTTGAATATACCTATCAGAAAATGCCGGACCAGGTTGTGTAGTTGTCGATGCCGATTTCTGATGTCCGAGTACCAGCCGGGGCGGTTGAATATGGGTATCCGACACCGAGCGCTGGCGCCCGAGGGAGTTACTGTGGAGAAGTATCAGCAGAGAACTTGAAACCGTGCTCAAAGAAGACACACGTACTTGGAAAGTGAGAACGCAGGTCGACGGGGGTGAGCATGTGGACCAAGGGCCGGAGCAGTGCGCGTAGAGGCCTGACCATAGATTGCGGACGTAGACGCTCTTCTGGTGGACTGGGAATCGACAGGAATGGATGGGGAAAGAAATTTGTCTAGATGGCCTTCCTCCGGCTTTCGAAGCGCTTGAGGGCTCAGTGATGGGAACTGGTGTTGGCTGCACAAGACACACATAACATTGAGGTTACTATCAGTAACGAACTATTCCCAGTTCACCAGCATTGACTTACCTGGGTACCGTGTCAGACGTGGTACACTCGGCTGATTCGGGGCGCACGTTGCTGTTGCGCGGAATATTGTAGTAGGGTGAGACGGTCGAGTGTGGGTAGCCACCGGCGAATGACGAGGATGTATCGTAGGGGTTGGGCGTATTCATTTGAGCAAACAATGTTCGGAAGCAAAGTAGTAGGCGTACCTTTGGACGAATGCGTGGTTTTAAAGGAGAAAATACTCAACAACATCGTAGATCTGGTCGTCACCGACGCACGTACGGACAACCATATTCTCAACAATGTGGTCGTCAACGCCCCTCTGGGCTCTCTACAACATCAATTCAAACCCGTCGCAAGGAAGACATGTTGTATGTCGACTATTATGGTAAGTATGGGCATTGTACGATTAGGAAGGTCAAACGGTGTAAGTACCCACTGCCAAATTCATCCACAAGGTCCTGCCAGCGAGATTAGAGCTCCGCGGATGCGGCCCCGAATGGAGAGGCAGGAGCCCCAACGACCCACACATTGTATGAAGATGACTGAGCATAAGTAGATAGTTGGGAATAAGCTTGAAGTAGCATTATCGAAGGCAGAGGGGGCTAGGTCTCTGATTACCGCCAGTCGGTCTGAGGCAAAAGCGGTCACGTGTGAGAATGTTCGACGATAACGCGTCAGGACGCGTCGCGTCGCGTCGGTCCCCCCAACCACGAACACCTGTAATTTCCTCTATTCCCCTAATCGCACTGCGAGACCTGTTTCTTCGTGCCTCTACGCCAAGTACTCGACCAAGACATACACCGTGACTTTTTGGCTCATCCTGTTATGTGAATACCAACACCAGACTTCATGCAGAGCGTATATCATGGAGAGCGTACTATGTGCTTTACGCCTGGGGAGCAGGAGACACCCACTGATTGCTAAATATTTCACTCAGATTTTCATACTTTCGTAACGTACCCTAAGTGACCTTGACCCCAACAATTGAGTCCCGTCAAAGTCCCATAAATTTCCTGTTGGCGGCCGGTCTACATCGCTTTTTTTTCTAGTTGGAGTTTTGATGACTTATCTTCTTTATTTGTGCCTATATGCTTACATATTCATATTTCACTCCCGCTAATTGACTCTCTACATGTCGTCTTGAGCTCCTCCGCTAAGTCATCGAAATGGCGTGTGGGGCCACACTGTGGCGCAAGGAACATCCTTCGAAACGCTTTGCGGCAACGGCCGACCTGGCATTTCCTGCACATCTCACCTATTGTTCGACGTCGTCCGAGTCGTCTATTGCTGTCCGTCTTCGAGTAATCCTAGTCATATGCCCGTCATTTCATATGAAGTATCGTCCCGCTGAGAAGAACCTCTATCAACCGAACACATGCGTCGGATCGCTGGCATCTCTATCTTTAATTGTTCGACGTCGGCCTTCTCAGGCTATGCAGGAGATGTGCGGTCTGTAGCGTTGCTCAGGGACTTCTGCGCTTTGAGAATACCTCTTCTGTCTTCGTGCATGCTCTTCTCTGATGTCCACGAGTCTGCTTTTTGTTTTGCACCGTCGGTTCCTTCGTCATCTATGGCGTGCTCACTTTGCAGGGTTGACTATTGTGCGAGCTGTGCGTACGTAGCCCCGGATATGGGGCCCCTGTTTCTCTGTGGTTCGAGTTACTCTCTCAGGAACTTCATGGAGTGATCGGTGTTGGTCAATGCTTACCATGTACCAGCGCTCCGATGTCATTCATTATAGCACAGCAATGCGTTCCAACACAAAAAGAGCTGGGATCGGGTGGTTGCTTGACGATGAGTATCACCCAGTCCTTATTGTACTGCTTAGCGTACGGAATAGTTGAAAAGGCTCACCTCCCACCGCGGTATTCCAGACTGACCTTATCATCGCGAACGACGTCGCTAGCCCTCTGCCTACCCATCGCTTGCGCTTTTGTATCAAGCTCTCTTTCTGCCATACCTCCGTAATGTCTAACTCAGAGGAGATCATTGAGAGCTCTGGGTTGGTGATGCCTCAGGTGAGTCCTTCCAAATTGTAATCTGACTCCGGCAACCACAATCTTATGGTTCAGCTAGGGCGACTTCGCGAGTGAGCTTGGTCGCGAACTTTATCGAAAATTATTCTCTTTTCCTCCTGGTGGTCAGTCTTGCTATAGAAATTTTCTTTAGTTGTGATGATCTAAGCGTGATCATGTACAGATCCCCGCGCAGACGAATGGATAAAGGGTTTGACGAAGGCTGAGCGTACTGCGTTTATTGCCGAGGTAGATCGAGAACTAAAGGAAGCTGAAGAGGAGAATGCAACATCCGTACCCCGGCGATACTGGTCGTACACGAAAAACGTATGTGGTTTTGATATGGACGCTGCGGCATGGGAATATGGGGTCATGGATGGAAATTGGGACGAAGTACGGATGCGCCGAGCGCAGGAGAGACAAGCAGAGGTTTTTCAGACCGCGACGCAGGGCGGGCCCAGTGGAGCTGTACGAGATTTGAAGGTTCTGCAGGCCCGAGCTTCCAAGGGACGTTAGGCATGTGAGTTCGTGTGCATGCAGGATCATAACATCGTACCACGCGAGAATAGACAAAACAATTTGACCATGAAATCAAGGCATTTCTACCGTGTTTATAATGCTAATGTACGGACATACTCCCGCCAATGCGAAACTTCTTTTTCCAGTACCTTGAGTCTGTTTTGAGCTACAGCTCTCTCGTCGGCGAGTTGTTTTCTAAGTGAAATGACGTCCGCTTCCAAGTCCTGTATCTCCCCCTGCAATCTAGGTTCCATATCGTGCATTCGCGCCAGCTCAAGAAGCACTTCCGGGTGGCACTGCCCCTCTGAGCAAAGCCTAACAAACTTAAGAACTGAAAGCGGAGAAGAGAGCGATCTTAGTTTCGTGGTCCACTAGAAAGGGAAAAGTAAGTTCCAAGAACGTACGTCTTTCCTGTCTCTTCTCCAATGTTCCAGTCGTGATGCCCGCGAGTCGCCATATTTCCTCCCTTCTCTCATTAGCCCTCTGGCGAAATTCTTGCTGATACTCCCTGTCACCCTCCCTCTTCTTCTCATTGGCGCCACTGCTCTTAGCCTTCTTCGACGGACCGGCCTCAGACTGTCTATCGCCAAGTATCTCTACGTCGTCCTCCCTGTGTTTACGCTTTGTACCTTTGGCTTTTACTGCGGTGCCGCCGACCGCGAGGGAGTCGTGATGGCTAGAGGCCATAGTGTCCGAAGAGCCGGAAGCACCAGGTGTGGACGACGACTGTGTATGAGGTACCATCTTCTTCGCAAGAGACTTTTTGGTGTGCTGCTCGGACGACGAGGGACCAGGTTCCGGTGTTGCATACGAGGAAGGATCCAGAGTACGGGGGTTTAGGGCAGGAGAAGGGACGTTCGTAGGATACGGCAGCCGCGCCGATGCATATGTTGTATTCGAATGTAAATGCGAGAGTTCGGCGGAAGAGGTGTTTTGCTCTGTGGCGGTGGCATCGAACGGAACAGAGGGCAACGTGCTCGAGGCAGTCGAAAGGAAGCCGGCCGGGGACCCATCATAACCTTCGCTGCTCGGAGTGTAGGCTTCGGGGAAGTTGGTCGCAGTTGATGTGTGGTGCATCGCATGATCAGGATGTAACGTAGCCGAGGTGAGCGATTGTAGCGCAGAAGAAGTAGGAGGTACCGAGGGTTGTGCGTAGTTCGTAAACAAGGCCGTCGACGAGTGTATTGTGGGAACCGACGGTGAATATGGAGCGGGCAGGGAATCGACATGATCGGAGTTGAAAACGACTTGTTCAGGGTTTGACCATGTCGGATGCCCCCTCGATGGACCGTCAAACGATTGAGGCGCAGTGGCAGAAAAAGGACTAGCAGAAGGTACCGGTGTCGTATCGTACGAAGCATTTCTCGAAGACGTCTCCGCTGAAGTATCGACGGAAGAGCTGTGATATAACGAGGACATGTTATGAGCTGCCGCACTCATCTGATATGGATGAATGGAAGGACGGTAGGACATACCTGGTCGTATACTGCGTACTCCATTGTGGTTCCTGGCGTCCCTCATCATAAGAGTGAAAAGGTATGGGTGGAGCGCTACGATTCTATTAAGTGAGTCAAAGTGTAGCAAAATCAAAGGACGATGGCCAACATACCTGCCAAAAGGCGTCAGGTCAGGTTGTTTACCTGCTGATGCCGATTTCTGATGTCGACTCCCTAACCGGGGCGGTTGGAAATGGCTATCCGACGCTGATCGCTTGTGGCCAAGGGCATTTCTTCGAAGCTCTATCAGCAAAAGACCTGGGACCGTGTGCAAGGGAGACGCACATACGTAGAAAATGGAGTAGGACGACTGGGGCGGACGTATGGGCCAGAGGTTGGAGTAGTGCGCGTAGAGGACTGTCCATAGATTGCAGACGTGGAAGCTCTTCTGGTGAATTGGGAATCGATAGGGATAGACGGGGAAAGATATTGGTGTTGAGAATCATCGTCCGGCCTTCGCGGAGCCTCGAGATTCAGCGATGGGATATGGTGTTGGCTGCACAAAGCACATAGGGCAACAGTCAAGGCTCAGCTCAGCAATGAACTATTCCCCAACACACCGGCATTCACGTACCTGGCTACCGCGACAGGGGTAGAATTATCGACTGATTCGGGGCGTGCGCTGCTACTGTGTTGAACGTTGTAGTAGGGAGAGACCGCCGAGTGTGGGTAATCACCGTATGACGTGGATGTATCGTAGGGTTTGTGTGTATTCATTTGAGCAAACAGTGTTCGGGGAGAAAGTATGAGGCGTACTCTTGGTTGGATCTTGGCCTTAAACGAAGAAATCCTGAGCAACGTAGATCTGGTCGTCACGAACGCACGTACGGACGACCGCATTCTCAACAATGTGGTCGTCAACGCCCTGGGCTCTCTGCAACGTCAATTCAAAACCGTTGCGAGGAAGACGTGTTGTATGTTGACTATTATGGCAAGTATGGGCGTTGTGCAATTAGGACGGTAAAACAGCGACCCACTGCCTAATTCATCCACAATGTCCTGCCACCAGTGGCAATAGAGCTCCAGTGGTGAGATCACCGGACGCGGCTGCGAGTGGCGGGGCAGGAGTCCCAACACTCACTCATTGTATGAGAATTACGGGCAAAGATGGTGGAAATAAATTCGAAGTAGCATCGCCGAAGGCAAGAAGAGCAGAAGAGAGCCACATTGGAAAGTTGTTGGAAATTGCCATTCACGGATGCAAAGCAGGGCCCTCATCCGGGGCGGCCCGCAGACCGACAGCTTGGTCACCGTCACAGACGCCGTACGAAGCTAAGAAATAGCGAACCTTTTCCTTGATTTCATCGTCGTCATTATTTCTCGAAAATCCCATGCATCCCAGCTCAGTGTTTTATGCACTCTACAGGGCCGCACATAGGAAGAACACGGGTTTCGCACTTTCATCCAACTTTCACCACGTCTAGTAGAATCAAAGTAGAATCGGGACGCCTGGAGCCTTGGCACATCTTCAAGCTTGAAACTGCTGGTATGGCAGCGAAAAGCTCGAAGATTCACGTATTCACACAGCGTGCCTAAAGTTGCGAGTCCAACGCGCAAACCGGAGGCATGCTTCGAAACAGGAGGCGAGGATGTGAACAGAGGTAAACAAGGCAAAAATATATAGTAGACACCTACTAAACTGCATCAGTACGAGCTTGCTCCCTTCTGAGCACTCAAGTTCATGGCGTACATCATAGAGAATAACACCCTCTCCACACCAGCGCCTTCGAGCGTCGGCGCTGTTAAAATCCCTCTCCGCCTTCAGCTTCTGCACGACTGCATTCACTCCTCCATCGCCAGACCCCCGTCGCATGCGCTTGATGGACAACCCTGACTCATATTTCTCATTGGAATCTTCCCTGTTCTCAATACGCTTGTGAGATATCGATGCCATGTTCGATCGCGTAGACGCAGGTGAGGACCAAGGAGTCAGGACCCGTGGAGTATCTTACACTAGTGGACAACCCTTATTATACCGTCGTGCGGCGGGGCTAGTTATTATGGAACAGGTCCTTTAGTATGACGGGAGATGAGGCGAGGCCGGTGGGCGGAGAACTGAGTCGAGAAGAGCGAAGAGTGAGAGCGGCAGAGAATGTATAGTTGTAAAGCGCAGAGGAATTGCTTACTAGTGTGACGGAAGAGCGTATTCCCAGAGCGAGGTATGATTGGTCTGTAGCAGAGACTAATAGATGAGGATCGTATTCGAAATTCGGTGCCACCCTTGCCTACTGTAATTCCTCCTGAGTGGAATAGGCCGATGGTTCGAGCATATTTGGCTGAGGAATATTTCGATGGGCGTGCACTTCGTATCGGTCGACGACAATGGTGAAGTGTAGGTCGCCAATTTGACGTGCAGTGCGGCATTTCTGGCTCGGTTAGATGACAAGATAGAGAGATGTGGAACTGACTCCCACATTTCCTCGGAGGTGTCGTGGTCCCTCAAAAACTGAAGACTCTTCGTGATTATCTGAGTTATAAAGCAGAAGGTTTGGTTCGAGGCTGGTGCAGCTAGTTCCTGGGTACTAAGTTCGAGATAGAAGCTCGTGAGAGTTTGTAAGTCTGTCCGAGGAGAACAAAGGCCGTCGCGCTCTTAGACGCAACAAGTCTTGAAGGCTAGAAATTGAACAAAGTCGTCGCCATCCAAAGGTCCATGATCTGTCGCGTTTGACACATATGACAGGTCTGATGTGCTTTCCAGGGTTACGCATTAGGTCAGTAGGCGGTCTTGTACGCACAGCGGCGGCGGCCAAATAAAGAAACAACTGAACAACTTGAACGGTGCACCGTATCCGCCCACAAGAAACCGGGTGGAGTAAAGAGGCATGGTTTGACAGTTACACTGACTTACGGCGACTAGGGAGACAATACAAGCCGTAGACTACTGCTCAAACACGAAGCGGTGGGCAGAGCGAGAAAGATTGCAGACGAGGCCGCGACGACGGAGGCAAATCCACTTGTTGCGACGCAACAGACCGGAGCGGATCGGTCCGCTAAGGGAAGGACAAGATAAGATTTAGCTGTGGCACTTCGCCATTGCGGAGAACCATCTCTGCAATTAGGCCACTCGGGGTGTTTCTTGCTGGTACGTGTAGCAAAAATGTTTCTGGTTCCTTCTAATCCTTACCATTAATGAGCTCCTGTTATAGATCATGACTTCTAACATCCACGTACGCCAGACTGCCTCGTCGTCAGTCCCGAACCCCCGTCGGAAGCCAGTACCGAAGGCTACGTGTATCTCTGTACCATTCATGTACACTCCCTCAGACGACGGCACCGATGAGAATCTGTTAATATTACTTCATGGACTTGGTGTGTCCTCTTACTGAGATGCATTACCGTATCACTTGGCTTGCCGCTCACTGACTTTGGTCTTTCAAGGTGACACGCACACCCCGTTTTCTTCCCTTGGTCGATCACTCAAGCTTCCCCAGACTGCAACTCTAGCTCTCCGTGCTCCAGAGCAGCAAGTCCTTCACAGTATCTCTCTATGATGGCAGCTAAGATATTTATCACTATCTCATAGGATTCCTTATCTTTACTCCCCAGCGTACCAATGGTACACTTCTTTCGACCTCCTCGGAGACATCGTCCCTCCTTCTCAACAAAATCCAACTCCAGCGCTCAAATTACTCCATGATCTCGTATCTCATCTCACTGCACCCATGTCTGGCTCTGCGTCATCGTCCACAACGGTGACAGGATGTGGGTGGCAATTGAACCAGATTCATTTATTCGGATTTGCACAGGGCGGCACTGTCTGCGCCGAATTCGCACTCGATGTATGGAAGAAAAGTCTCTCGGTCGCTACTGATTCGCCACCACCCGGCACTTTGGGTTCTGTAGTTTCTATCTCCGGACCGTTACTCTCTTACCCAACGCTGTCACGACATTGTCCAACCCCAATTTTGGTCTTCCATCGCCCTTCACCATCAGAAGAGGCTCTTCCGAAAGACGCTATGACGTCCTTCAAAAAGGGGTTCTCCAGCGTCGCGGTAATCGAGGCAAAGAAGGGAAAGGGAGGGATGCCAGGATCGAGAGAGGAATGGGAAGGTATCATGAGGTTCTGGAGCGAGAGACTTGGAAGGCGAATGCCGAGCCAGGATGGTGAGGAGGGGCTGTACGAGGTTCTTACTGGGACATAGCGGTTGCCAACCAGCAGCCGGTCTCGGTTGCGCGGCGTTTATCCACTGTAAACAGGTATGCGGATTACCCAACCAAACTCGGCTCCTGTTTAGAACAACTGAGAACAATAATGCAGGCGAACAAATTGTAGCGTTGTCCACCCGTAGTACGTCCTGGCGCCGCATGATCATTCATAGCTTTGTCGCCAAACTTTACGAACCTCTCGGTCACTTTTACGTTGCCCTTCGAACGAATGCACGAAAATGCAAAGACAAAGACCACAGATATCAGGAGCTGCAGTTACCTTGGACGGCCGCCACCTGTTGCGGTGTGCATTCGGTCTTGTCGCCGGATTAGGCAAGTCGGGCGTCGTGCGACCCACGCAGCACAATGCCTCTCTTGTCTATAAAGGGATGACGCTTGTTTACTGGCCACCTATATGGGCATCAACAACGATATTACATAGCCTCTGGCTGTCATACATGCAGGACAATGATTTCGACTTCGTCGTACCAGCGTCACAACTATATAAGACCACTAGCTTTTCCAAAAGCGCGCTCAAGCATCATCAGCCCTCCCTTCCTCCTTGTGCGGAAGATGACCACCTTACCACCTCCTAGTACTCCTTCAAAAGATACAGCTCAGCTCACCGTAAAAGATGATACTCACAGCCGCAGGATGAGTGTCGAGTCTCTCATGTTTGTGACTCTTTTAAGTTCTCATGCACCACACTACATCCTGACTTGCATCTCTCGTTTTGTATAGCCACCATACACCCGATCCAAGCATTGCACATAGTAAAGCTTCATCTGGAGCAACATCTGATACAGATGTCAGTGCACCTCTCCCTACGTCTGGTGTGGTCGGTTCGCCACAGGACAAAACGAAACCCAAACCGAAACCATCCCGCTCTCGATCTCGCTCGTACGCGAACTCTCCCAAGTAAATTCCCCTTTTACCGGCTGCCGACTAGTGGATTACATGGTATACTAACTATTCCAACCAATAGGTTTCGCATGAGTCCATATATAGCAATGTCGTCAGTATGGATTTTACTCTCTAATGATCTTCCAAATGAGCTTGCGTTAGCTTCATGATGCTGATTTCAAAACTGACAGATTGGGCACACAGTTTGAGCACTATCAAACCGAGCAGTCGATCAGCACCGATATCAGTAGGCCGTCTACGCCGTCTACACCCACTTCCAGGTCACAAGTAGTCTTGGACTCGAACTCGACTTCTTCCCGTCGGGCCCTCCATACTCGTGCCGTTTCAGACCCTGGCCCATGCATGGAAGAGCTTCCTCCATCTCCGACTTGCTCGAATCCCAGCGAGAGCAGGCCTGCACCATCGGCATCAAGCACCTCAGCGACCACGTTACTGCCGGAGACAAACGCTCAAGGGAAGCGTAAGGCCGTCTCGGATGATGGTTACGAGAGTAGCTCGCCTGCTAAGCAACTGAAGATACACCCGAAGCTAGACCCCAGCGGACCCTACGCCACCAAGCGGCAACGTGACAAGGAATACCAGCAGGATCGAAGAGGAACCGCAACAAAGCTGATGCAGAACCTTTGCGAGATGTGTGGCGTCACACATGGGACGACAGTCGAGAAAACGGCTTCGAGTGAGTGGTTCTACAACAATCTTACCAACGATTACTGCTGATGGTTGTATGTTATTGGCTACGCCTGTTAGTTATCAACTATGTGAATCGGCTGCAGGACGAGCTCGCCGAGAAAGAGGCAGAGGCGCAGGCATTTCCGGAACTGCATCAAACCATCAGGGACCTAGAGGTCGAGATCAAGGCCTCAAAGGACATGGCGTACAGAATGAGCGCGAGCGTTCATAACAAGATAACCGATGCGGTCAGAGAACGCGATAGATATTGGCAGGACCTTGTTGAACAAAGAGACCACGAAATACGGAGACTAAAAGGAGAGGTAATGGGTGTGCGCGCCTCTTGGGAGCGTGTTGTGGGGGAGAAGAATGAAGAGGTTGAAGAGCTGAGGGGGTCGATGGAGAAGGCAGAGTCCTTGTTATACATCGCCCTTCGAAAACCCTCATCGGCATGAACGGACAGTATGTCTTTCATCGTATATATCTTATCATACTGCATTGGAAATCCCTCTTGTATAATTCATCTCGCCCTAGTACCAACTTTACGCAGTTAGACTATTACATATATATCAGGCCTGATCAGGCCTGCTCTTCCCCTACTTTGCTAGCAATGAACTCGCATCTTCCAGTCTCAGTCTTTCCTTCGACCTCGCTCGTGCTCCCACTCATAAATGCAGTCCCGTCACTCGCCAGGTCTAGACCCTGTGTCAGGATTATTCTCTGCCTGTCACTTGCTGAGTATTCAGACCACTCGGGCGATCTTGAAAGCTTGAACGCGTTCGGATCTCCCGAGCGCACGAAGGAAAGCCAATACGCAATGAGCTCGGAGGCGAAGGCTTTTTCGGTGCTGTTTTGGGCGGTGAAGGTCGTGGTTCCGTTGAAACTATCAGAATAACAGAAGTGATTATTTATGACGTTCTTTCTGCCGAAAACGATGAGTCCGTACGTACCCAGTATTCGTGCCCAAAAACATCATCCAATTCTCAGCAGCGTGTGATACAAGAGAAGTGTCGGAGTTTGTGGGGTTAGCCGTGTTGTAGCGATACGTGAACGTCTTGTTCGTGAACTTGGAGGAGGCGGACCCTATGATTGTTCTCTGGAAGACACATAATGAAATGTTACGCTGGTAATCTATGTATGCATTCAAGAGGTCAGATAAGAAGACTTACTGCACAGCGTAATTCGGCATCTCCAGTTGCAGTTTGGAATCTGAGGTCCTCGTTGGGAAATGCAGACGATGGATATTCTTGGAGGAATCCAGATAGTGTGGCGTTGGAAAGCGAGGGGAAGTATGTATCCAAAGCGGAGGTGATGTTTGTACCACCCGATAAAGTCTCATTTGTAGTGGCCCTGAGTGATCGATTAGACTTTGGTGGCAAAGATAGGCTGAGCAACATAACGTCGAGAAGCCTACCCGACAATGAGAGGAACATGTCTGAAATTTCCTTGGTCTAGAAGCCGAGTGGGATAATCCGTGAGGAGAGTGCCATCGACAACAGGATGGCAAGCGTCATAATGGCCAGTACTGTCAAGTCATATTGATTGAGCAAACGAAAAAAATGCGAAGCGATAAAAGTGCTTACAAGTTCGACGAAGTAGAATTATCCTGAGCTCGAGCCAAAGCACTCACGCTCGCGTTCCTTAGACAGGTCATCTGCGACGCGAGATCACCAGTGCCACATCCTGCGCTACTAGCAAAGAACTCGAACAGAGGCTGAATACAGTGGCAATCGTCAGTTTCCTACAATACATTGCAAGTTCGAATCGGGCAGTACTTGTTGCTGTTTCGGTGTAGGCAAAGGCGTCCTGTACACACTCTGTGCGATGGCTTGCGCGAAAAGCGCACCCTCGCCACCCTCGCTCACACTCGTTTCTGCCACCAGATGCAACTCCACACTTGAGCCTCCCGCACTTTCTCCGTTAATCGTGACTTTGTCCGGGTCGCCGCCGAAGAAAGTGATATACGACTTGATCCACCTGAGGGCAGTAATCTGATCCAGGAAACCAGCGTTCAAGTCGCCGAGTGAGGTTTCAGAACGCACCGAGTGGAAGTCGGCCGCTAGTGAGGTGAACGATGGGTGCGAAAGGAAACCGAACGCATCCAGGCGGTAATAAATGGAGACAATGACCACGTTCGGGGACTGTTGAATCCAGTGGTCGAATGGCCAGTTGGCGGGATTGCCGTAAACGTAGCCTATGTGGTCTATAGTCAGGATGTAGATTGAGTTATATATGTTCAGTATTACCGACCTCCCTAGAAGCGAAAATTATTACTCTCTTATGTGGAATATGTGAAACAGTTAGTTACCCCGTGGATGTACACCAAAACTGGCACTGTGTTCAAGTACGCAGGGTAACGTTAGTCCATGACGACTCGTTGAAGCGTAACATCCGCTACAGACATTTAGACATGTTGGTAACATTCGCTGGCGTGTAGATATTGACCTTCAAACAGTCTTCGCTCCCTGCGCCTCCAGCATCTCCGGCTGATTCGTGGCGCAAGGCGTCACAAGAGTAATACATGGATTCTCAGCTAGTTCTCCTGAAAAAGTAGGCAAAAAACATACAGCCGGTGGTTCCCTGGACACATGGCTCGGGATATGTAGTGACGTTGAAAATTTGGTTTGTGCTTGAATTCGTGTCGAGTGCAACTGGTGCCCTAAAGCGAAGATCGTACAACGGAGGTGTAGCGTAGGGCACACCGAGGAACCTCAAAGAAAGTGGATACGTGTCGGATATGGACGCAAGAAATGAGCCATACGGAAGAGTTGCGGTCGTAGCGTTAATTCCACCAATGAAGTCTGATCCAGAATTAATTGCGAGAGAAGGTGACAAGAGGGCGAGGACTGGGAGGACGAGCTGATAGAGAGACATAATGCTCCTAGTGGCCAATTGGCGGAAGCCCTCCGGGGAGACAGTCGCCCATAACGTCGAGAACGCCTCACTATATATTCGGAGGTCAAAGAAGCCTTCTGGGGTTAAAGATCATGAGGACTCCATCACCGTGACTGAGGACGAGAAGGGGGCCGACGAACCGTCATAAGAGATATTCTGAAGAATGCTTCTCCGGGTAGGTTCACTGAAGAGCATGGGGCAAGGTTGTCTTGTCTAATGATAGAGGTCAGCAGAGCACGGTGCACCCCTGCACAAAGAAAAGCGAGATGTACAACTGTTCCCCGACTGAAATCAGGTGACGATGCCTGGTGAACAGTCATCGTCGTGTTCAAGCGAAAAAGGCCCGGCGGATAAAGAGATTGTGAGGTTTCAAATCCCGAAATACGCTCGCAAAATGTATAGTTCAAATTGAACAACTTCCCGACAATTTTGAGATCCTGCAGGGCATAAAGGAAACTGTTCAAGAAAGTGGCCGGTTCTTCCCGAGCCGTATCATAAGGTCTCGCACACTCTACTGTTGCGGCGGTGCGCACTGTAGTAGCACTAATCGCCCCAGACGTGAAGAGGAACAACCTGTAGAAAATGGGTCGAGGGGAACTCACCGGATCCTTGAGGAAAACGGCGGCCAAAGCCGTCATAAGGGTGTATACGATGCAGTTCATCGAGACCGTATCCATCCCGATATCCAATTGAGGCTCATCCCCTTTCCCAGTTTATCAGTTCTGTCTACTGCCATTTTATGCCCATGGAGGTTTTTCGTGGACAGTACTGGGAAAGGATGTTCATCTTCACCGTCTCAACCTGGTGCCCATGACGGACTTTTTTCAGGGTCCCTCCTCTACTTCGAAGATACAGAAAGAGTACATACAACATTGGTGCGTTCCTATATCCCATTAGCACTTCGTCTTCAAAGACATTGAGCAATCACGGAGTGTAATCGCTCCTCATCCCTTCCGCCAAACTCCTAGGATCAACAGTCCATATCGCCGCCCTCCCAACCACCGCCCCCTTCTGGTATCCCTCGCTGCCCGCAACATCTTTCTCCGTTCTGTTGACTGAGGCATTCTCTTCGCCTGCGCCACCCATCCAGTCTCCACCGGGGACCACACCCGACCTGCCCTTCATCTCCCTAATCATAGCCCTCACACTTGCCTTGTTTGCCGTAATAGTCGTCCACCCATACCCTTCGTCGCTGACAGCACCCCAGAGCATACTCAGCACTGTATGAGCAGTGAGTTTAGGGTTGGCTTTCATAACCGACGCGCGTTGTATTTCGTCTCCACCGAGTCCATTTTCATCTCCGGGATCGACATCTCCTGGAGCTGTGGTGGGAGTAGTGAGAGCCGAGGTGCTTGTTTCGACGGTGGGCGTCGAGAGTCCGGAGTCGGAGACGAAGGGCCGAGGTAGTGTTTTAGGATGAGGAGCCGTCTGTTCAGCCAGTAGCGACCTGCACGTTTTCTCCAATGCACGGAAAAAGGGCGCCCTTCCGTCTACTGACTCTGTGGACTGAAGTTTAGACTCAGCTGGATTGGATACGGGGAAGACGTGTATTGGGTACAGAGGAATGTAGTTCCGAGGGTAGCGCGAGTCTTGCCAATACACTTCTTCAGCGTCACAGCCGGATAAAGATGACGGCGATGACGACGAGTCAAACAGGGCATGAGCCCTCCTCTTCTCCTTTAGTCCTCCTATCTTGGATACGATGCGTAAAAAACGGTCCCTTGCCTCTGGCGTCGTCCAGAATGCTACATCCAAATGCGCTTCATTCTCCTCGGTGGAACAAGAGCTCGGAGGAGACGACGTAGCAACGAAAGGATCGCTCAGCCGATCTTTCATCTCCTCCAACAACCCCTTCTTCATCTCCTGCTTTAATTGCTCCGCGAGCGCCCTCAAATGCTTCCAGTTTCCTCCATTCGCATCCGCCTCATTTTCGCTCTCGCCCTCTCCATCATCTCCATCTATTCTGGCGCCGTTTCCAGAAGGAGACGGAGAGGCGACGCGTTCCTTATTCTTCGGCTTGTCTGCATGAATCTTTGCCCTAAGCCTCGATTTCTTCCACTCCAGGTACGTCTTGGAGGGTACGAATCGCTCTTCTGCTTCTGCCTCGGTCAAAGGTAGCGGTGCATGCGTTAGGTCTGAGACCAATGCGATAAGCACCGATAAATCGAGGTTGATCTGGCGAGTTGGTTTGAACACCTTCGGGATGCGCGATGGACGTGTGGCGTGCGTGGACGGAGCTAGTGAGAGGGGTGAAGGCCGTTGACCGAGCTGAACTTCGATGCCCATCTCCTCCAGCATACGTATCGTGAGTGCTATTCGAGGATCATTATCCCTCGGTTCAGGCGAATTCGGGTCTAGTCTCGTCAAGCGGAAGATGACCTTTGGCCGTGAAAAAGAAGAGCCTGCATTGAGATTTGAAGATGCGCCAGATGTGAATGGCAGTGGATTCTGTGTGGCAGCAGCGAGTAAAGCACGGGCTTGACGAAGGATGGAGTTGTCAAACTCTTTTTGTGCGAGGCTGGGACGGGCGCCTGGGTCGGAAACGTCAGAGTCGGATTCGGAGTCGGTGAAGTAGGAGTCGATTTCTCGGAATTCGGTGAGGAGGCGGGCGTTTTTGGTCCTGTAACGCGATGTCAGGCGATTAGCTCAGACGGTGGGATGTACGGCGATCAAAGCGGTGAAGAAGGTACCCACGTATTTACACGAATCCAAGTCCTTCCATTATCCGCCACAACATCGATCTTTACTGGCACCTGCTTGCCCGTACTCGAACTTGGATCGAATAGCGAAGGCTTGTCAAGGTTTTGAGCACGGTGATGGAAATTCTTCGCAATAGCGATGGCGGGCGGTGGTGCAAGTAAGAGTTCCTGCCACACTGAGATGAGGTAGAGCGCATTCGTGGATAGTGGAGGTCTAGAATCGGATTTGGGGTCGGTGAGGAACTACTGGGTGGGAGGCGAGTGTGAGCATGAATAAGGCTCATATATTGGTGAAAACTTAGAGCTTTTTACGAAAACTCATTGACTGATTGGACAGATCTTCCGCCAACGCGTTCCAAGTGAACTCGAAACCTATAAGGTCTATTGGGCCGTATCTGCAGCTGAATTTTTGACCTCGAAAAAGCCAAATGGGACGCGACGGATCCTCCGATCATCCTCATGAAGTAGTGTTAAACACTGGTAGACACGGTCTATTAAGCGGTGATCGTGTAGCACGATGAATATGGCCCATATCACTCGATGGAACCACCCGTTTTTATGGGAAAAGCACAGCGATGAAGTGTCTAACCTGCCTTAAAAGACAAATATGGCACCTTTGCTCAGGTGCACACGGTTTCGTAGTTCACCATGCGCCCGATGCACCAAGGGGCGCCAACTGTGGTGTTCGTTCTGATTTGTCTCTCTCAAAGCATATCGCCCGTTTGTATTCATGAAAGTACCGCCACGAAAGAGTAAAACGAAGCATTGTATGCAGATACGTTCCCATGGATCCCATACTCGAAAGCAATGAATAACGTAGAAAACACACACCTTTTCCATCACATCAAGATCCCGTTCTACAGCCTCAAAGAATGCACGATGACCGGGTAAATTGTCCCGATGGCTAGGTGTACTATCAACAAATGAGTCGATGAGCGGGGGTTTGGGGATATCCGGTTCCCATGAAAGCATCGAGTCGTATGTGTGCTGTAATTCCTGGAATTGACGCCGCAGGTCGGCGTGGACGTCGGGGGCGGCCATCCCTGTATCGCAACTTGGTGCAGGGAAGCCAAGAAGATAAAAAAATTCAAGTAGGCACAATATGCAAGTGCTCCTAGATGTTGTGGACGCCAAGGAACAAATTTTTTTAGGGACTCGTCGACGTCGACGGTGGTGGCGTGCAAACGAACAAAGAACCAGTCCCAAGCCGGCTGCCGCGAAATTCAGGTTCGAGCTCATCCCGGCACGCTCCGAACCCCCCTCAGTTGACCTGCACGTCCATCCTCATTACACTCTCTTCTCTCTTCTGCTACTTATAATTCTCGCAAAATGAAGCCCACCTCTGCGGTATGGAGCGATATGCCTGGACGTACGTGAATCTTCAGCTCTTGAACGTCGTAAATGCTAAAATAGTAACTGACTGGTCATTTTGTGACGGATACATAGCCAAGGTCTACGTGAGTGTCTAGTTATTTCTCATAGCAGTCCCTTGAAGCTCGGAACGGTCGTTTACGTGCTCGTTTGATGGATAGAACCCTTGGTGGGGTGACAAGGAGGGCGGTATTCAGAAGATTCGCGGTGTTACTACCTACAGTGCGTCTTGCACTCCTCTGTTTCTCTTTACAACATCGTTGACCACCCATGTGTTTCCACCCTTTCGTGATGAATCAATGGTTCGTTATTGTCATGCGAAAAAGCCGTATCTCCCTTTCGCCAGCGTGCTGCCTCCCATATGTTCAGCGGTTATCTGTTCAATGGCTACCGCCGCCTCTCTAAACAGTTCATCTTCTGGTCTATCCCAGTCGCCGTAGGCATGTCGCACCTTCTCTTTTATCCATTGGCCCTACATTGTTTGACTCACGATGGTGTTCTTGGTGGGCATGACAGGCTACAGCACCTACGCGTGGGCGAAGAAGACTGATGCCTGGATGAGCAGCAAGGAGGGTCACCTGGCTTTGGCCGAGCACCACGAGTAGACGAACCGTAGACCGAGTTGGTGCCAGGTGCGGTTGTTGAGTTGTCTCGTGAATAGATTCATTGGCTTGCGCATTCTTCATGGACCTGCCATGTTTTCGATACCGAAAGTTCGAACAAGGATACATCCATGCAACTTGGATGTTTAATTTTGCCACGTTCAAAACACTCATAGGTCAACTTATCCTTGGTCTTTCAGTAAGCTCAGTCTCAACCTTCGTTATCGGCTCCCTCTGGTGGCGCTTGGTTTGGGCATTGAGTTGGTGACTATACGTCATGGTCGGTCAAGTTGGGCGTTTGTGTCTCTTTATCCTCCATTCTCATTTTTCCGGAACGTGTACATCTAAGCCCGGTATGAATGTTCTTGACCAGGTGTGTCGTCACACCACATCACCTTGTCCACCTCGGGATCCTTATTGAGGGAATATTTCAAAGTTCCTCGATCCTTACCCCAAAGTTCCCGACATGCCAAATGACGACAGACATTATTGACATACAACCGCTTGCGCTCCATGATTCCATACGAAGGACACCACATTGTTCGGACCTCTTCATGCACACGCAGACAGGCAGAAACAAGCATGACGCAGCCGTATAACGTGAGCGTAGAAACGTAAGATGAGTACCACACTCTACTGAACCTCTCAAAAACCGCGACTCTTCTGAGAATCCTAGTACAGACCTCAGCTCCCAATCTTCTCCCTCTATCTGAACCACCAGCTACAGTCGTAACTACCTACAGTCAACATGTCAGCTCTGACTCAAACACAGAAGAAATTCGAAGGAGAACTTCTACCTTCCTCTTCCTCAATCTCTCTCACCACTTCTCCAACCAAGGCTGCGTCAAAGTGGAAGCGGAAACTCCTTGCTGGGGCTGCTCTTTATTCCATTGCATTCGTCCACTTTGGTGGGTTTGTTAGATCGCGTGGAAGCTCTGGGATCATAGTCAGGAAGGAGGTATCCAGTGAGGAATTATGTCCCCAGGCCAAAGGGCTCTATCCTCGAGAGAATGGAGAGCTTTATGATTGGTTGAATGAGCTGTATGGGACGAGAAGGTTTGTGGAAAAGGCTGCTAGATGGGTAAGTTTATTCTACGCTTGATGTTGTCTGTGTCATGCAGTTATATATCGCTGATTTGGGTTGTTATAGCTTGGAGAGGCCATCAAAATCGAGTGCGTTTGATCCATTCTTGCCACCCACCCTTAATCTGTTACCCTGAAGGCTCCCATTATTTCCTTGTATGCATAGAACCGAGTCTTATGATGATATGGGCGACGTCGGCGATGATGAACGATGGGAGAAGTTCAGCTCCTTCCATGCTTACCTTGAAGAGGCTTTCCCACTGCTGTACGTGCTTCTCACTATGTTTACTTCCATCCAATTTTTTGTTAGTAGCTAACTCTGATTCCTCCTCTCGCGTCAATCTAGCCATGCGACCCTAAGGCTCGAGAAGGTGAACACTTATGGACTAGTGTATCACTGGAAAGGCTCGGACGAATCACTCGAACCTATCCTTCTAGCCGCTCATCAAGGTCCGTCTATGTTTCGTACTTTAGGGGCAATTCAAACCCGAGAACTTGTCTGACGATAGAGGCTCTAGATGTTGTTCCCGTGAATGAAGATACTCTTGATGAGTGGGAATACCCTCCGTATTCCGGACATTTCGATCGTGAGATTCTCTTTTACCTCTCTGGATTAATCTACATCTTATACTGTACTTTCGAATAGGGGAAACCCAGAGTATTTACGGAAGGGGATCCATTGACGACAAGAGCGGATTGATCGGCCTGATGTGAGTGTGGCCCGAGAGTCGTAGTTTTACTCTGTCCTTTTGCGGCCACACTCAGTGGCCTTGGTTATGTCTCACAATAGGGTCACTATCGAGACACTCCTGGAGCATTCCTTTGAGCCCGCACGCACGATCGTCCTTGCGTCCGGGTTCGACGAGGAAAGCAATGGCCTTCACGTAAGCTACATCCCCACGCCCTAAACTCGACGCTCAAATATTCACGCTCACGTTGGCGAGAACAGGGTGCGAGGCACATCTCAAGTCACCTCCTGCATGAATATGGTGAAGGTAGTTTTGCCATGCTGGTGGACGAAGGAGGTACGTCTATGACATTTCAACCATCTACGAATCGTGGCCCAGAGCGATTTATCACGTACTTGTACATCAACTTCAGGTGGATACGTAGAGCTCTTTGGCTCGGTCTTCGCTGTACCCGGAGTAGCAGAGAAAGGATATCTCGATACCGTGTCAGTTTCTTATCATCTTTTACGGCCGGGAAAAAGGGATTCTCACCGCACTCTACACGTTCTTCTTGCAGTGTCAAGGTGGCTTCACCCGGTGGGCATTCTAGCGCTCCGCCTTCTCACACCGTATGTCTCTTACTTCACAGTTTCTCTGCTCTATCACATGGCTCTCATCTTCGTCCATATCACACAGACCATCGGCATACTCTCTGCCTCCATAGTAGCTCTTGAAGACGATCAGTTTCCCGCCCACCTGACACGCAGCTCACCTGTCTACGATACCATGCTCTGCACTGCCGCGCACGCCGAAGAGGTACCCGAGGACCTCCGCAAACTCATTGAGAGTTCGGTGTACTCCGACGGAGCGCTGGATCAGTTACAGGATCTCATCATCCAGGACGAGGACACGACCCTGAAGAACTCGATTAGGACGACATTGGCCGCTACCGTTACAGGAGGCGGCTTCAAGGCGAATGCTTTACCGGAGGATGCTTGGGCAATTGTGAACTATAGGATCGCGTCGTATAGGTACGTTGCTCGTTTATTCACGAACGGGCTCTTTTGCTTGCCCTCTTGGCTTTATGTTCCCAATGACCGGTTTGATTTACAGCTCTGTTCAAGAAACCAAAGACCATAAAATCGCCGCTCTCATCGACATCGCTAAAGGTTTCAACCTCTCCTTCACCGCCTTCGGCAAGCAGATTTCCGAAGAGGGCGAACCAGCCTGGGGCGTCCTTGACCTCTCTGATCCCTTCGACAGTGCCAGCGAGCCTTCGCCAGTCGCCCCTATTGACAGCGAAGCGTACAGAATCTTGAGCGGATCAATCAAGGCTACGTATGGCGCCCATCGTCATATTTACGGGTCTGTGGGTGTGCAAGAGAACAAGCTAGAGGATGAGATCATTGTGAGCCCTGGGCTAATGAGTGGAACTACCGGTAAGTCATGCTCCGGGATCCAACAGCCTGATCAGTTGACTGATTTCATCGTGGTTGAATGGTGGTTGTATGTAGATACAAAGCACTACTGGAACTTGACGGAAAACATTTTCCGGTATGGGCATTTGAACGGGGGGCATTCCCCCGGGATTCACACGGTGAATGAGCGTGAGTGCTGCTTTTCTTTATAATGATCTTTCCATGTGGAACCAGCCACTCATGCATTCCTGCAGATATTCGTGCAACCGACTTCGCCGAGGTTATACGGTTCTACACGACATTGATTCTTAACGTTGATGAAGCTACGGGCCTTTGAGGGTATTCACGACCACATTTGATCTTACTTTCCGAAATATATTGTCCACTTGTCCCTGTACTTCGTTGGTCAGTCAACGTTCGAATGAAGAGCCAGTGGTTCTCGAGAATAAAAGGCAATCTGGCGCAAGCTTGTACCCGTCTGAGTCTGGCGGGTGGCCCAAACAATCTGAGCGCCACGCCGACTAAGAAAGATTGATCGGTCCGGCCGGCCCGCAGGCATTTATCGACGCGACTTGACGCGACTGTTCTCAGCACGAACATCGACCACCACGCGTGGTGCTGTAGTTGACTCCAAATCCCTTCCTTTTCACGCTTTGCGCTATCACCTTTACTCGGTCGGAAAAGATGTCCATAAACCCCTCTTCAGGAAAAATTAGGATTAAACCTCTACGACAGCGCGACTCCGCAACGGCAGGCCCTAGCACTCCACGCGCAGAGTTTTCCGTCGCTCCAACTCCTACACAAAACCCAACCGTGGACGACGCGCCTCTCCCGAGCACGCCGAAAGATGTAGATGCGGACATTGCTATTCATGCCGGGGATCAACCTGAAGACGATTACGCAGCTGGTACGCCGCGTACGCCTGCTGTTGATGAGGATGTCGAAGAAGTGAACGATGTTGATGTGCCGGACGGTGGAGCTGAAACGGGAGGTGCTGGAGTGGAGGACGATGGTGATATGAGTGAGCCTGCGATACCTATGCCCAGACCGAGAGGGAGACCGCGGGGAAGAGGAAGAGGGGCGTTGATTGGGAGTGCGAGGGTTCGAGGCGGACCGAGAGGTAGGCCAAGGGGCAGAGGCAGAGGCAGAGGAGGGAGGGGTACAGGAGTTACGATCAGGTTACCGAAGAGGATTGGTGAGGACGGAGAGGAAGACGTGGTGGCTACACCAGGAGAAATGGGGCCAGAAGATTATGGTACACCCGGAGCGGATGGTATGGTAGAGACTTACGGTGACTATGGGGAGGTGTTGGGTGGAGGAAAACCGTTCAGGAAGATTCAAGGCCAGGTGTATATCATTGACGGAGACGAGTTTGTCACGGACGACGATCCTAAGGGCGACGAGAAGATTGATAAGTGGGGAAATCTTCTCGGAGGTTGGTTCAGGTCTATCTTATTCGTCTTTGATTCCATTTACTAAGGAACTCCGGCATTATAGGACGTAAATTCAAAGCTCAGACCTTTACCCTCCCTAAACGACATCCGGAGCGGATGTACATGCTCGCCATCGATGCAGCCCGCACGTCAGGCTTCCGTGATTCCCTGTACTATTTCCGACGCAATCCACTCGCCTTCAAGTGTAATGCCACACAGCCCGAGAAAGAATATCTCATCGAGATAGGCAAGCTCGGTTCGCATCTACGTACACGCAGTGTCACCCTTATCACCGCACGGAGCGCATACAAGCTTCATGGCGCTAAAATGATTCAGGGTTCGTTATAATTTTGCCTTCTGGTCATAACGTTCGGTCCTAATATGATGGGTCTTTTTCAGATGGTCGTTGGGTAGTCGATGATTACTTCGAAGAAAAATCCCTCGCCGAAATAACCGCCAAAGGCCTACAACCCGGAGACCTGGTGGGCGAACTCGTAGACCCTAATGCCGCCGCCGCGGCAGCTGCTAGCGCTGCGGCAAACGACGCCTCCCTTGCCTCCCAGAAAGCAGATCGGGGGTCCGGAATGGGAATGTATCGTGCCGGAGGACCTACGACCATTTTTGGTGGCTCTGGATGGGGTCCATATAGCGACGGACCGCTCAACGCAGTGAGAAAGAGTTTGTTGAATCGGGACGGGCTGAATGAGGAGAATTGGATGCTTATTGCTGCGCAGAGGACCAGTGAGGCGAGTGCAGCATGGGCGAGGCAGAGGAAGGGGTTGTTGAGAGGTTTTGCTGGATCGATTGAAGGAACGCCGAGGACGGGAGTGTATAAAGATGGTGGAAGGGAGAAGAGAGATGCGGAGGAACCAGGTGGTGCGGAGGATAGGAAGAGACGGAAGGTTAGACATGAAGCGGAAGTTGAGCCGCGGGGAGTTTACGAGCCACATAACGCCGTATATCTCTGTGAGTTCGTCCTCGATTTCTTGGTCCGTCAACCCACCTAACAACATGCATTTTCCCTGTGTTTTTAGACCGTGCAGATACGCAACCTACGAGAAGTCGTTGGGAAGGATTGCCCGACTCCACTGAGAAGCATCAGGTCCTCGGTGGGTCGAAAGCGGGTGGAAAAGCTTGGGCTCTTGCTTGGGTGGACACTGTCATGGAAATACCACCAGAGCAGGAAGATGAAGATTCGGAGGCTGCCAGAGAGCGAGCACGAATTCTTGCCTCTGTGTCTTCGTAGCGGAGTCTTCGATTCGTATTTCTTGAGCCGTATTTGCTTATATGTATTTTCACATAATTCCTATCTTTCTGCGAGCTAAGGTGTAGCTCTGAGCTCAGCCATAATCATCCGGTGACTTGGACTCTCAAAACCGCTCAGCCATTTTTCTCGATAAGTAAAGCATTGCGCGGGACTCATGGCAGAGCGCTCGCGCGAATTCTAGCCTTTATGCGGGGGTTTGCTGTACCGAACGCAGGCAGTAGCACCGTACGAACAAAGCAAGGACGACTATGATGAGTGGTAAGCAGGGATAGATAACAAGCATTGAACGATATCGATAAACAAATGGTCAGGAGAGTGAAGTAATCGGGCAAGCAAAGAAAATGACCAGTAAGTAAAGCATGCATACCTGGACAATAGGTAAAAACCAATCCGGAAGCAGAACGGGAGTGGGAGAGAGGGGAAAGAGGATCGTGTCAAGTCGTGCGGCCGTCGATGATCGTGCACCATCATCCAAGTAAGTAAGCAAGTATGTGTGTAGTGTGTGTAATTCAGAGTCCACCAGAAATCAAGAAATCAGCTCCATAATCCGCCACCCGCCATCCATCGCTCCTCCTCATATCATCTTACACGGCACGAAGCCTCTAGATCCACCACGATCAAACCTCTACGCCACCACGCCCACCGCAAAATCCTCCGGCCTCAACGTATCCCTCGCGTCTCTCCTCGTGGGTGTCGACCTCCCACTGGCCACACCTTCGACGCCATTCACCGTCATATCCCCCTCCTCGTTCACATCACTCGGTATCCTCCCGTGCTCCAACCCTCCAAAATCGAACCCGCCACCCACAGTCCTCGGCGTATCCGGTGGGAAACTTCCTTCCTCGGCCGTCGCATACGTCGCAGTACTATACCCACTCGCGCGAGACTCGGACCTCGAGCCGGGCGTGACGCCAGCGGAGGAGGTAGGCATACGGAAAGCGGTGGGTGGGGCGGCGTTGGGGGTGGCACTAATGTTCAGAGCGGTCGGTTTGTGATGGAATGGAGCGGATGTCGCGGTGGGTGTGGAGGTGCTGGGCGAAGGCGCGGAGGAAGAAGGAACCGTGGATGAGGTTGTGGTGATGGCAGGAAGTGGTGGGGCAGGCGAAGATGGACGAGCTGTCTCAGCAGCCGATTTCTGCGACTCGTTCAGCGTCTTCGTCTCCTCCCCAGCATCGGCCGCAGCCGCAGCCTCGACAGCAGGAGCTTCCTGCTCTTCGGTGGTGGGATGACTGGACCTCCTCGAATGCGTGCTTGCTCTTCTCTCTCTCTCCTGCCTAGATTCATCACTTGCCTCCGTCGTAGGAGCAGCTTCCAACGACGAAGCAGGCGACTGCCCCCTCGCGCTTTCATCCGTGACTCCACTAAGGCCACGAGCATGCAACCCTGAAGGCCCGCCCGATGCAGGCAACCCATCAATCGATGCCCCACCCTCCCTCTCCTCAAACTCTGGCGGTGGTATGCTCAGATCCACTCTGGAGTTACTCGCCGCGTACATAACCGCGTCCCTCCCGTACGGCACTCCAAACTTGCCCACTGACTCCCTCGAGCTCAATAACCTGAGTTGTTCCGGCGTAGGCCCAGTCTTCGGGTAGACAAAGTCTGTGCGTACGAGGGTGTGTGAGAGAGGAGATGAGATGGAGTTGATCGAGATGGTGGAAGGATTATTGAGGTTCTGAAAGTTAGAGTTAGAGCGCGTGCGGGTGCGTGACATGGTGCGAAGAGCAGAGTTGGACAAGTTGCTGAAGGCTGAGCCACCAGAGAGCGAGGGTCGATGAGTGTTTCCGCCTGGACGTGTGGCCCCACTAGACCCTGGTCGTTGCGTAGTGCTAACATTACTCAAACGGGGGATATCCAGAGAGTTCCCCGCACCAGGGAGTGAGTCGTCACTATTCAGGGAAACGATGGACGGTCCAGAGTGTTGGCGCATGTGAGAAGCATTAGCTTCTGGATCGCGGGCGGCCTGGGACTGTGTACGGTGATGGGCTGGATTCAAAGCACTGAGTATACCACGGAAACCTGATCGCCTACGATTGGCATTCGTATTCTGTGCGGTGATCTGGTCCTCATCAGGCTGAGCGCTTGAGGGAGCAGCAGGACTGCTCTGGGAACGAGCACGCTCGCTCGTTCTCCGCGAGACGGTAGTTCCGTTGGCATCAGTGATGACCTCGAAGTACGCCGGGGCTTCTCCTCTCGGGTCAATTCCATCGTTCGCATTCTCCGACGTAGTATTCGTATTCGTATTCATAGCGGCAGAAGGAATCGCGGGCGAAAGGTCGCTTCCCTGGCGGAGTAGTGCAGATCGGCTGTCAGAACCCTGAGTATTCGGGTTCAGACTGATGCGCCGTTCTTCTGCGTCCGTCGCGCCGCCAGATCCAGTTCTGGCATGAGCGTTATTATTATTGTCGTTGCCTTCTCCAGTAGCAAGGAGAGGCGTGTTGGCGTTAGATTGTGGGACGGCGACGTAGACGGAAGTATGAGAGTTATTTCGGGAGTGACGCTGATGCTCCGTGCTTTCGCTTTCGGCTTCTTCTTCTCCGACGGAGGGCATTACTACGGTGGTCGCCTCGACGGGCGCATCTTCCATGTCCTGTGAGCCTCTGGAGAGTTGGTAGAAATGCCGTCAGTCATTGAAGTGTTGGTCAAAACATAAGGAACGAGAGCGTATGCGGACTTGAAATATAAAATTGCCCATAACCTTTCGAAGCTAAGACCTCAGAAGGTTCCATCATCTCATACCCATGTCGCGAGGGAATTTCCAAGAATGGAATGAAGAATAGTGTCATTCTCTGTTCCAACTGTTATCACGGCGTAGAATGAACGCTCTGAATGAGCTGGCCGCTCGCTCAAGTATGGCCAATAGTGCACGGGCAGGACTGCTTGTACCCCGCGTCACCAAATGTGGCGCATGTCTCGCCACACTCCTGATCCGTCATCCCCGCTTACTCCTTCATCATATCCCCGCATAGAAAACCACACCGTAGCAAAAGGCCCATCAAAACAGTAATGAGAAAGAGAAGACTCACTGAATAATAACGAGCTCATGCTCCCCAGGCTCCTTCATGTACACAGGCAAGCTCCTAGTCGAGATTTGGCTTGGCGTCCTTCTCGTCCTCCTCGCAGTCCTATTCCCTTGCACCTGTCTATGCTGCGCCATTGCCTGAGGTCCGGCCAACCCCTCCGCCGTCAACTCTGTCACTCCGCCTCCATTCCGACTGTTACCGGAGTTGAGGGCGGTCGTGGATGCACCGGTGGGATGGATAGGACCGAGCAAGTTGCGGAGCGGGGGTAAGGATTTAAAGACACCGCTTCGACGAAGGTAGAGCAAGAGCACACAGATGAAGAGGAAGCCTACAACGCCAATGATTGGGCCCTGTGTATATGTTATACATTAGATTTAATGAAAACAATAAGGAGAGCAAGTGTGGAGCAGGATTGTGACGCACGAATATCTCAGCACTTGACCTTCCGTTATCCCGTCTTTCGATTGTACTCCTGCGTTCTTCATTCTCAGCTGACGGCGCCGCAAGAACAGCGCACGACGAAGACAAGAACGAGAAGACAAATGCGAGGGATAAGCAGCGGAGGCTAACGCTCGCTCCTCGCGGTGACGTCCGACTGGTTGAACCCGGTTGACATGACATGGGTAGTGTGAGCCTGTGCCGTCCTCCAGTAATACACGATATTCGACAGAATTTTGAAGAGAGACGTAGAGGGGTAGCACAAGAAATACAAGGGATAAAAGCGGGGCGAGAAAGGAAAGAGAGGAGGCCCAGTCGTCGCAGGCGCTCTGATAGTGGCACGCACAGCAATTGAATTAGAGCCGTGACCGCGCAAGGGGGTCGCGCCGCGTCGCGCCGACTGGCTTGGCTTGGTTTGTGGCGTGAAACGGAAAGTTCGGCGGCGTTTCGTGATTGTCTGGCTCAAATTAGGAGCGCTCGGCACCAGCGCAGGGAGATCGTCAAAGTCGTGAAGAGAAAGAGGGAAGGAAGAAATAGTGTACATTCATGCTATCGACGTAGACTATCTAATAACCGCAGATAATCTACATGAATACTGGAACAAGGACCGACAGCGATAAGCTGTTTAAGTGCGACACTGGTGAGACAGCAGCGAAGCAATGTCCTCGAGGCGAAACAGATGCGGGACGATGCGGGGTACGGCAGGAGAACGTCTAAGTAAAGACTTCACCAGCCGGTCTGAGGAAGTCGCGTCGAAGAGCTATCGATAGAGCGGAAGGAATGTGGTCGTGTGGCCCGTACCTAACTATCTCTCCCTCCAAGGCTCGCAGCTGCTGCCTGAGACGCCTTTCTATGAGAAAAGGGTCGCGTCAGCAAGTATTCCCACCACACAATTCAGGGATTCTCACCATCACGAGCCCTATTCTTGCGTGCTCTCTGCAATCACGGTCCACCGGCAGACTAAAGATAAGCCTTCGTCCTTCCAGCACAAACCTCCGGCTGCGCCGTTCCAGACTGGGACCCCTCCAAGAAGGCATATATTTCCTCCGCTATAAGGACCGTACATATCGATGGTACAGGAGACGTACGACATTCGTCCATAACACATCATCAGCGGAATTCATGGCGAGCACAAAAATACGGCTTACCGACTTCTCTCGGCTTTTCTTGCACGGCCTGTTACACAAATCAAAGATGGAGCCAATGAGAGTAATCAAGTTGGGTCATTGTATCCCAAAGGGGCATGGACGTTAACAACGAGGTGTTGATGTGGATGTGGGGCCAGGTTCGGGACGTAAGCAGGTTTCGGTCAGTTATAATCTTCGGCCCAGCCCGTAGCGACTTACGAGGTGCCCAGCGCCGGCTATCCTGACGTTCGACGCATTTCGAGGTCTGAGCCAGACGCGCTCTTGAGCCAGTTGTTCTGTACCAATGCTGTACCATCATGATTCAATGATCGACAAGGTTAGATACGACGTCGATGACCAAAAGGAAACGACCGGTCGACATTGAGATCAAGAAGGATTGATGATGTGAGTTCGTAGCAGTAGAGATGGTTGAGAACAGTTGCATAAGAGCAAAGGTAGGAATGGAGCGTACCCGCCTTCACCCGGCATAATCCACTTCAATGCGATCTTCTCGTCGAGTTTGTCGAGCACCGCCCATGCCTCGTGTGTAACGAGTGATTCCGCGAATACGACAGCTTCCTAGACATACCGCCACAACATAAGTATATAAGTCGAACTTCGCCCACTGGGATGCTGACATGAACACATGGGCAGTAGGAGAGAGGATGGAAAGAGAAAAGGCGAACATACCTGGACACCAGTCGTCTTCAATCTCACGCTCCCGTTCGGCGTCGAATACATTCCATGTTCAACATAAGAATCTAACACGGCCGGGTCCCATCGTGCGAAGAACGGAGCATTGAGTAGGCGACGTGCTTCCTCCCTGCGAATCAAATCAACAGTAAACCTTCAACGCCAGAAAAAAAATGGAAGGGAAAAGGGTAAGTCCACAATGTAACTCACCGCGAAGCCCATTCCTGCCTCCTCCCCAGTGCACCACTAAGGTACACCTGTAAGTCTTCCGAGCGATCGTAATCCCGCGGAATGATAACAGGATCGACCAACACCAACCCAGAAAACAGGAAAGGATGATTGTACGCTCCTAATACTCTGCGTAAGGACGCCGCCAGACGGTCAGCGTTACCAGCTAAGTTCCGGGGAGGGTGGGGCCTACAAGCTTGCGCCACCGAACGAATGGCCTACACAAATGATCTTGCGGTCCGCAAATCCCTGCTTCGTTCGAAGTTGTGATATGGACTCAGAGACGCGCTCGAGATGTACTGGCAAGTTGAGAGATCCAGGAGCTGAATCCTCTGGCAAGTAATTGATGAAGAAATTGAGGATGTCGCGGGTGTTATCTGCCCAGTCAACTAGATCCGAGTGATACACAGGGTGAGACGGGATGAAAGTGGGTGGAGGTGGAAGGTTACCCTGACATACATATTGCACGAAGCTTTGAAGCGTTGATTTGGGCTGAATCTCCGTGTTGGACTGCATCCCATGTCCAAATTTCGTCAATCTGGTAGGCTGAAGTTGACTGGGCTTGAGATAAAAGGTGAGATAACATAGGCTCAAACGTCTATATTGACAGGAAGTATGAGCGTTCGTCCCCGAAATTAAGCTGAGGAGGACGCTCGAACTTGAATCACGACGAAACATGTTCGTACAAACGCCACACGGAACTTCGAAGGCCGCTGCTAGGCCACAACCCAAAATGATGAATGTACTTGCCTCCTTATGCATCCCATTTGCATGGGTACAAAATAGGGTCACGCCCTTGCCTCTTTCACTTCCGCCATTCCCGCTCGTATTCCTCACGTATCTTCCCAAACAATTCCATAGCACCTCACGACTCCCCTCGCCTAGCACCTCTCCCCGCTCCTGCTTCCACTTCAACTGTAATAGGTCCTTCGTCCATCTACCCACTCGTTCCTTCCTCTCTTCCTTCGTCTCTCCGTCTTTCGGAATAGTTGGTTCTGGTATGTCCGGGGTCTGTCGTGGATAGGCTGAGGGTATAAGGTGAGTTGTGTAGGTGTATCCATATCGATGCAATGGTGTAGATGACGATGCACGTATTGGCGAAGGAGGCTGGGGTATGGGTAGAGACTGAAGGAGGGCATATGGTGGCGGTTGGATAGGGAGAAGACGCCGGGGCTCGAGCTTAGGATGCTGTTCGAACGACGTTGGTCTCAGATAGGTGAATTTTGACATGGATTGTTCCTTGAATTAGTGTGTCGTTTCGATGACCTTACTTGCCGATATTTGGGTGTATGAAAAATCAGACAAACAAGGAGCTACTGAGTACGCAGAATATTGCCTACGTCGGTTGACATAAATCGGAATACTTAGGGGGAAACACGCTCACTCTCCGGGTCCGGGACTGTCCGGGACTCCGGTTACTTGGGGTTTCAAAGTCCGCCGCTGTCCGCCGCCACTTCAGTCGCCAGGACTCAGTACTCAGCGCTCAGCGCTTCAGCGGCCTGACGATGGCTCACAAGATAGCTTGCAGATCTAGCTTCACTGCTTGCAATTCGAGAGCACAGAAGATCGTCTCTAACTAGGTTTTGGATCAATCCCCCTCTCCTGAGTACATTCGACCCGAAACATGATATAACAATAAAGTCGGTCGGACATCATCACCATCTTATGGGAAGCCTCATAGCCATCTAATAATTTCCTTCCTCCTCTGCATTACTGGTCTAGGACTCCTGAATCTTCTTATTCACTCAGATCACGTTGTATCTGCTTGAAGAACGCTTATCAAGCGCGCTCATGCCATTGGAGGAAATGCTGCATTGCTACCCTGATGTTTACTTCCTCCTCGCGCTCACTGACCTGAAAGGAAAGGAAGGCATCGGGTACGACGGACATCAATCTTTCTTTTCTCCTTGGAAATCTTAGGCGGAAGTCTGTTCGGATAATACTCTTCGGGAGAGTTACACCTGTATGTGTCCCGTCCTTTCTCCGCAGGCAACACCGATAACGTCGACATCGCCATTTGCACTTCTCTTGTGCCTCACATGATGATTGAACCAGGCTTCCTGGATACCACGAACTATCCAATTGTATCGTAGCGGATCTTGTCTCCTCATCGGCAATTCGTCGACTCCTGCGGAAAGCATCTACATTTGTTGTACTATCCAGTCTCGCTGTGGGGTACATCGAAGTCGGCGACTTAAAGATACCAGAAGCGAACTGGCTTTTGATATCATGAAGGGTAAGGCTTTTGCCGCCTCTGTCACATCCATACTAATACGTCGATTCAGGGCAATTTAACTAGGGGAGCTTCTTGGCTGGGTCTGCTTGTGTCCCTCGACAGCACATGGAGACTTGATGGATACGGTTGCGAGTTCTTCCGGACGTTTTCTGACGACTTCTGACGTATAAAGCTCGACTGCTGAGTTCATCGAGTCCGACCGACCCCCCCACTGTTGTCTTCGATATCAGGCAGACAAGCAGTATGCAGTCGTTGGCTCAGGCTACAATCACATCTTCCGCTCGCGTTCTTCTCGGGGCTCTCACGGTCGCTCAGGCTTTGCAACCGTCTTGGGCTGCTGAAGTTGTTAGATCTGACGCGTGTGCTTCGATTGCTGGTCTCGCATTTGCGCCACCTGCGGACGTGATCGCGTGCCAGAAGTCGTTTCCTTTCAATGAGACTTTGAGGCAGAACGTCTTGGCCAATATCGCTGGTGTATTTGACTTTTACACGTTTGAGAACTACTATCTGGACTCTCCGGCGCCTTTTGAGGAGAGTACGGATCCTATCAGGGAAAACATCGCGAGGATCAACTCCACTACGTATGAGGTACTGTAATTTGCTCTACGTCAACGAGTGAGTGGAGCTGAGCGCTGAACACTGGTGGTTGAACAGACCGATTACGATTTCAACTTCGACTTGTGGAACTTCACGATAAAGCTCAATGACGGTCACACCAGTATGTTATATGCATTTTCTTTCTGTTGCCACCGCCTCATAAGCGTGCTCCATAACAGGGTGGTATCCTTACTGCTACACCACGTACCAGAACCTACTTCCCGCCCCCGTCGTTTCTCTCGACGTCAATGGAACGCAAAACGTCTACATCGTCCCCGACCTTGTCGAATACATCTCCCTCATCGGCGACGGGTACACCTCCTACTATGATTCCATCGGTTTTGATTGGAAACGTCTTGCCAGTGCTAAGGTGCTCCAAATCGGAGGCATGGATGCATACGATTACGTGGACTACATCGCCAGCACTGTTTCTGGCAACTTCTTGGACCACGGCGTCAGAGTGAACAGCGTGTTCAGTGGGTACAGGATCTCCAGCGACGCATTTAGCCAGAGGATTGGCGACCTGGCGGGACCCAGTTGGATATCGCAGACGGATTTAACGTTTGTCGTGGTTCTTGCGAACTCGACAGAAGAAGAAACGGTGACCGTGCCATATCTTGCGGATTTCGCGGGCACCGACTTCACGGACGCTGCCAGCTAGTATGTTTCTCTTTCCAAATGCGATCTGCTCCATACGATCCCTTGCTTATGAAAGTGGCTGACGATGTAGCTGGGAGAATAACTGTGCTGCGAACGATGAGACTAATGGTATCGATTACAAGACCTCCAGTGCAACCCGCCGCCGAGGTCTTGAGAGGAAATTGGCGAGAGGAGACATTAAGGACTTGAGTTTGACGAACGCTGTCGCACTCCCCGATCCCTAGTAAGTCCAGTCTCTCATATACTTTTTCACCAACTTTTTCAATGTGCTTTTTGCTTTTGTAGCCTCCCAACCCTGCCGGCGCTCAATGGAAGTTCAGGTATCGTTTATGGGTATGTGTTGCCCGATAACAAGACTGGTGCTGTATGTCTCGGTTTCCCCACCGTCTGTTGTTCATGAATTGACGTCCTTGTAGCTCCTTGTCGGGTCATTCTCTCCGGATGACTTCGATGGGTTCCAGTCACAGGTCGACTCTATCATTACTGCTTTCACGGCCGCCGGGGTGACCCGTCTCTTGGTCGACGTCACTAATAATGGCGGTGGATATGTCTGCTTGGGATTCTTCCTGCACAACTATCTCACTGGTAATAAGATTGGGAATCCGTGAGTGGTCGCCTTTCAACACACTTGAATATATCTCATCTCATCTCATTGCCTCTGTCCTCGCATTCACTCACTGTCTCATCTCATGCATGCAGAGGCTTCCAGAGTTCGGCTCGCGCCAATCCTCTCGCTCAGAAAATCGTCGCATCGGATATCGACCTCGGCTTGGATGACACCTACACCTTCTACACTGCTGACAACTGTGAGATATTTTCTTAAGTTTCTTCTGCACATCCGTAATGCGCTAAACACGGCAATAAATTGTAGACGCGTTTTTGAACAACACGGAGATGCCTGCATCGTACAACTACATGGACCCCAATCTTTCGGAGGTCGTCAATGGCGAGGACGACCCACAGTCCCAGAGATTCTTTGTACGTATTCCTGTCTTCGAGCGCTACATACGCTGGTGACTTATAGGCGAGAAATAGGATACCTGCCAGTTGACTTACGTGGTCGATATCCCGACTTCGCCACCTTTCGCTCTAGAGTGAGCTTCGATATACTACTTTTAGCTAATACACATACTGAATTGCGACACGCAGGAATGTTGCCATTGGTGCGTTGAATTCACTTTCTAGTATATAGGCTGCCTGGAGTACTGACCTTGTGGCGCGCCACATGTTACAGTCACCAACGGCTGGTGTGCATCGACCTGCGCCTTGTTCACTACCGTCATGAACGAGGTATGTGTTGTTTGCATTCACTCCCTCCGAGGTTAGTCACTCACTCAGAACACTTTGATGTAGCGCGAGAACGTTACGATCGGTGTCTTTGGCGGGAAGCCAGGAGAGGACGTTCAGTTCAAAGGTCGTTCAACCCCGCCTTCGACATTTGAAGTCGATTGTTGATCTCATGAGCGGCATAATAGGTATGGCTGGGAACCAAGTTCTTGAATGGTACGACCTGGACAGTGAGATCAAGACGGCCAATTTGGGTAATGTAAGCGTTGTCGTTGTGCCTCTCGTTGTCCGCACCAAGATGATTAATTGCTCATCCATCGTAGGACTCGTCGTCTCCTCCTGATCTGTGAGTGAAGGTACAAGCCGCATTCAATAAAACAATGACTGATGCAGACTTGGACTCTTAGCCTTATTGATGGCGACATGCGGTAAGTTTCTACAGCATGCAGTAGGTTTGGATGGGTATCCGATTCTGACTATGCACACCCGTATCATTTTTCCAGAGTAAATTGGCGGACAGGTAGTCTTCTTCGATATTTGATTGCTACTACAGCGCTCTGATCTCATCTTGTTCTCCACAGCTTGGAGCTACTTCGACGAGTCCAAGCCCATTGGTGAGTGATTTCTGTTCCGACTCATAAACCAGACCGGACTAAGTTCCTCTCTACTTTTATCAGCATACGTCTCCGAGCTTCCGAAGTGTAAGCCTACATTTACCTGACACCGAAATGAAGTTATAAAGTGTTTGTCCGCAGACCGCTGGCCATATACCGCCGACACCTACAACAACCCTCAGAACCTCTGGATTTTCGCGTAAGTCTTCATCCACCCAATGAAATGGATTCAAACTAATGCAGGACGTGTTCGGTTTCTAGTGCCGGTCAGATATTCGACTGAGATGCAGATATCTAGGGCTCGCACTTGATACCCAGGGGATGAGGACTACCTCACTTAGGAGGGTCATGTTACACAGTCCGACACATGGCACTGGTAGATATACGCGGTTATCTAGACCAGTGATCAGGCATGGTGAAAGTTATACCCCTCTGTTACCGTTATTTATCAGTAATACACGTATTTGGGACCATATGATGGAAGTATAGAGGAGGATCCAATCTGTGCGGTTGCGATCATGCGGGGTCCAATGGTGTTGATAGCGGCAGGATGTGTTACATAGTACACTAGCGAAATGGAGAGGTGGACCATATAGAATAAGAAAAATTGACTTTGAGAAACCATCCGCCGACTACTGGTAGGGAGCTTCCTCCACCGTTCCTCTCGCGCCACATACAACTAGCGTTACGCCACCCCTACGCGATCACGAGGCTTCATGGAAGCCAGTGTTTCACAAGATCCGTCCCTGTTGAACGTTAAGCGCCAGCACACTCCTCACCTTTCCTCACCTTTCCTTTCTGCTCATATTCAGAACTCCAGGAAAGCATACTGGAGTTGGTCAATTCAACATGCTCCCCCACAGAGCAGGCTCTTCGTCTCTCCGTCGTTCACTCAGGACTCTGAGGGGCTCTCGTCTTGCTCGTGATCTTTCGACTAGAGCATCCGCCGTTCTTTCTGCTCTTGATATACCTACGACTCCAGTCGAACTTGAAGGTGTCTACGATGGGACGTGGAAAGGTTCTGGAGAGGTCATTCAGTCGCGTTGCCCGACAACTGGTGAAGTCTTGGCCAGAGTGAAGACAGTGAGTCGTCGGCTCTGTCGTGACGTGCTCAAGCGATATTGCGAAGCGTGGAGTCCTCCATGAAGTTACTGACTTACGGTCGGCTGCTAATCGGTATAGGCTAGCCCTGAGGAACTGCACACTGCCCTTGACAAATCGCGAGAGGCTTTTGAGATGTTCAGGATGGTGCCCGGGCCCCAAAGAGGCGAAATTGTTAGGCAGATTCGGGAGGGCCTGTTCGCGAAGGTGAGTCTCGTCACCCGTTGCTTTTACTCCGTCTCGCATTGCAGAGTCTAATTTCAACATGCACGGTTTCTTAGCGAGAAGCACTTGGCGCTCTTGTGAGCCTGGAGATGGGCAAGATCCGGACCGAAGGTGTCGGAGAGGTCCAAGAGTTTGTGGACATCGTACGTCCAACTATTATCCACTCAATTTCCCTCCCTTCTGAAGTGATGTAATGGTATTTGATGTCCTCAGTGCGATTATGCCGTCGGTCTTTCTCGTATGATGAACGGACGAATTATCCAGTCTGAGAGACCTGGACATTCTATACTCGAAGGTATGTCGTGTCACACTCTCGAGCTGTGTGGAACAAACAGCTTACAGAAGGTGTCGGTATGAAGTCCCAAATCCATTAGGTATCGTCGCCGTACTATCGGCATTCAATTTCCCAGTCGCGGTCTATGGCTGGTAGGTTCGAAGCTTGGGCCACAATGAGGCCACAAGGCCACGCCACAATAACACATACTTAGCCCCTATTCGCTTACGCCTAGCCTTCTTCCACAGGAACCTCTCTCTATCCATGGCAGCAGGTAATGCAACCATATGGAAACCCTCACAGACCACACCCCTTTGTGCTATTGCTGTGACCAAGATCGTCTCAGCGGTGCTTGAGAAGAACGGAATCCCGGGTGCTGTTGCTGGCCTGGTCATTGGTGGCAAGGATGTCGGGGAGGCAATCGTGGAAAGTGAAGGTGTTGATATGGGTGAGCCTCCATAGTATTATTGATTCTCCATGAAGGCTCTTGGTTGATTCTGACGTTATGAACTGGTTGTTAGTCTCATTCACGGGAAGTGAAGCTGTTGGTAGACAGGTCGGCAAGAAGGTTCAGTCACGGTTCGGCAAAGTCCTCCTCGAACTCGGAGGTAACAACGGTCAGTCAAACCTATAATTTGCAGTCTTTCTATACTCAAGCCGATTTTGGGCTCCTGGCAGCTTCTATCATCGCTCCCTCGGCAGACCTCAACTTGGCCCTCCCTGCCACCTTCTTCGGTGCTGTAGGCACTGCTGGCCAACGTTGTACATCGACCCGCCGTCTATACCTCCACAAATCCATATCCTCCCAGTTCCTCGAAAGATTGACCAAGCTCTACGATTCGCTCCTTCCCGGTGACCCCTTGCATCCTGCAACATTGTTAGGGCCTGTCCATACAGCAGCCGCGGTCGATCTTTACAATCAAACCGTCTCTAGCCTGTCATCGCACTCTTCCGCCACGGTCCTCACCTCTCGTTCTGGACAGCGTTTCTCCGTATCCCAGCTCTCATCCAGCGAAACAAGCGAAACAGACCTTTCATCAGGAAACTTCGTCCGCCCCGCACTCGTTCAGCTCTCCACCGGCTCGCCTGCCGATCCATCTGTATCGAGCATCTGGAAGACCGAGAAGTTTATCCCTGTCCTTTGGGTGGCTGAATATGACGGTTTGGAGGAGGTTATTCAGTGGAATAATGCAGTGCCACAAGGCTTAAGTAGTAGCTTGTGGACGAGGGATGTGGGAGAGGTGGGGAAGTGGGTGGGTGCCGGGGGTAGTGATTGTGGGATTGTTAATGTGCGTGTTTACCTCTCTTTCTCTGAATATTTGAACAAGTAACTCACAAACGAACTGGATGTAGGTCAACGTCGGCACGTCGGGTGCGGAGATTGGGGCTGCATTCGGTGGGAACAAGGTTCGTCTTCAATCTTCGTTCCACATAATCTATGTTTCCTTGCGTCTCAACAACAAACACTTTAACAACACAGAGTACGGGCTGGGGACGCGAGTCGGGCGGGGATGCGTGGAAGCAGTATGTTAGATGGAGTGCGTGCACGATCAACTACTCGGACAAAGCGCCTTTGGCTCAGGGAGTGGATTTCTCGGCGATTGCTTGAATATATTGGTTTTATCGGAAATGTACGATAGCTCGGACGTTGCTTGTATCATATACAAACGTACATCGTTTCTGAACATCTATCAACACATTGTGGCACCCTGTTGCCCCTGTGGCGGAGCCATGCCTGGTCATGCTCTCACACCACAACGCTCTAAGCCTCCTGCGCAATCATCTCCTGCACCTTCTCCCTCAGCCCATTCTCCCAGTCATCACAACAAGCTGAGAACAAAGCTGTGTCCCTTTTCAAGTTTTGTGCTTTTGTATCACCTTCTCTCGGGGCGTCACCCTCCTTTCCCTCTGGCAATACGATGTGCCACCTCAGTACTCCCTCATCCTTGAACCCAATCCTCTTCGCAGCTTTCTTGCTCGGCTCATTCCTCGAATTCGCCCTCCACTCAACTCTCCTGAGGCCCAAGGCGCCAGGGAATCGTGATGACAATTCGAGCGCATAACGCAAGAGAACGCAGACCGCATTCGTCGTCACATATGTCCTCTGAAACTCGGGGAAAGTGACGACGAATCCAATCTCCGTCGTGAGGTTGGGTGCATCTGACTTTATCAAACCCACAACACCAGCCATCGTCTCCCCTTTGCCTTCTCTTTTCTTCGACGTGCCTCTATCGAGCATGGCGAAGAGGCACCAGTTTCGGTCTGTGCGTACGCCGTGTTCGAGGAAGTGCAGGAATTCGGCGAGAGTGGCGAAGTGTGAGGGGAGGTAACGTGCGAGTTCGGGATGAGCGGTGAGCACTGTGATGTAAGTTTGGGCGTGCAGACGTGGGATGAGAGGGGTTAGGCGGACGCGAGGAGTTGAGAGAAGGTCCGGGTTAGAGGTGAGGTCGATGGGGAAGACGAAGTTGATGTCGTAGGGAGAGGGTCCGTAGGATTCATCGGAGATTTCGGCTGGTATTTTGGTCGGTGGGGATGGGGTATAGGTGTTGACGAAGGTTTCAGACATAGCAAGCTGACTGGGGGACACTGGGATGCGAATGATAAAGTGTGCTGAAAGTAACGCTGAACAGAGATCAGCTTCGACGTCAATTTACTATCAGTACGTTCCTTATATAACGCAATACAGGGTTTCGTCGAGTCAGAAATCGAGTATCCTATCTGGCAATGACTCGACTCATAGCTCGCCGCAGCGGTGGACCATGATGTACTGTCTAGTACACGGAAGCCAGCGAAAATATATCTCTGTCGACTACCTATACATACATGCGACACGCAGCTGTATCTTGATCTTCATACTGATGGATAGTATTAACTCATGCTACAGAGCAAACTACAGGTGATCGTGGTTGGAGAAACAGACGCGACGCGACGCGTCATCCTGATATTCTCACACGTGACCGCTCTTGCCTCGGAGCATTGAATTTACTGCTCGTTTACTGCTGTATTTTTCTCACAATCCTCTCATTCAAATAACAAATAAAGAGTAGCTGGGATCGGACCTAGGCTCTCTGTACTATGGAGCTACACCTTACCAACGAGTTCCTATGGTGTCATGCTTAGGCCTGGCCGATAGATTTGGCAGTGCATGCATTGTTAATGTTGACCAACTGTTGACCTCCCGGGTACGCACAATGCACCGTACTTACTCCTGCCAAACTGGTCAACATCAACCACTGCCTTCTCGAGATAGGTTTATGTTGACGTTGTAATGCTCGTAGGCGAACGTTGACGACTGCCTTGGTTCCCGCACCGACGGGGATCGCACTGTTCTACAAACCGGTTTCGAATTCGGACAAGACACGAGTGGGGGTATAGATCGCATTTTCAGAAAGCTAAGTATATGAGTGGAGAGAGTAGTGCTACCAATGAGAGAACGGATTGATGAGTGGAGTCTGGTAGCAAATTTGAAATGCAGAGTACACTAAAGAATACAGCAAGAATACAGGAGGAGAAAGAAGGACTTATAGCAGCAAGTACATTACTTTTAAACGCTGTCAAATACCTTCGAGAAGTATTGCTGAACACCCTCGACGCCGCGTGCGATAGCTCCGACGTATCCATCCGGACGGACAATTACAATCCTACTCTGCCCCTTATGGGAATACGCATCAAACGCATGACCTAACCTATCCTCCAGCATTAAGTCTGCGTCGATGACGCTCGAGGAGGCATGGGTGCCTTTAGCGTAAATAACCACCGTTTGAAGGACGCCATGGGGAAGGTTCCCAACGTACTTGGAAGTGTTCCCGACATCGGCGTCGTCGCCGTCGACAGTTTTGAGAAGGAGCACGGTGTGGAGGAAGGGGCGGAAGATGTCGAATACAGCCGTTTCCTTCTGAGTACGAACATTCAGAAGGTGAGGAGCGTCCGGAGCCCTGTCCCCGGCTCTCAAGACGCCATCCGATTCGTATGGGCTGGTAACTGTAGCTTTCGCAGGATCTTCCTCTTGAAATTCGTCTAAAACGATAGAGCTCGACCTATAATTGACGCCAAGTTGGTATAAGATCGATGGTCGATCCATAGAGGATCCTTTGCGGTTGGGATCGATTTGTTTTTGCAGCAAGCTAGCCGTCAACTGTAGCATATGCTGAATGACGGGGAGACGTTCTTCGGTGTAGGTGTCGAGGAGGGTGGGAGGAGAAAATCCTTTAATGACGAGGGCAAGTTTCCAGGCGAGGTTGAACTATGCAAGCAGTGAGCCGAAGATACTTCACCAAGCGAAAATGTGGTAGCTTACGGAGTCCATGACGCTAGAGTTCAGACCTTGATCCCCGGTAGCGCTGTGAATGTGTGCAGCATCTGGCATATGATAATTGCGGGTCAGTACCAAGTCTGCAGAGCATGCGGCATACCAACCTCCTGCAACAAATATCCGTCCCTTCCTGAACGTGTCGACCACACGGAAATTGTTCGGTCTGGAAACAGTCATATGTGGATCAGCTCGTTCTTCTTGACTTGGACGGATAAGCGTAGGAGGAGTTCACGCACTTATAGCTGCTCAGGGTCTTCACATCGCCAAACTTGAGGTCCGGAATCTTTGTAGTCTTGCGTATGAATTCGAAAAAGTGTTCATGGTCGACCATGGCTCTTTCGACATCGAGTCCAGGACCCGATGCCCTAAACATATAGACATCTTCATCGAGAGCGCGTTGTGTGGGCAGTATAGCGATCCTGAGAGATATGGCGTGGTCAGAGCTAGAGCAAGACTTTCAAGTACGGAGGGCAGATATAACACTGACATGTCGTTAGGTGGGGCCCCAAATATACTCCCGTACTGAATGAATGTCCTGTCATCAGCCAGAATTTCACGAGAATATGTGTACTGTACAGCAAATACCTCTTTGTCCACGCTTCCGGTCATCTGGATGTCTCCAACAGCCAAGACAAAGTCATCTTTGCTCTCTCCGAGGAACTTGAGGCCCAGTTGTCTGCGTACAGAGCCTTATATGCCCAACTACAGGTTAACGACGTCGTTGCGGTACCGATATGAGGAAGCCATATAAAACAGGGAGAAAGCACACCTCGAGCTCCATCAGCGCCGACGACAAACAGACTCTCGACGGACTCTGTCTGATTTCCTGTCTTTATGATCGAAATAACATCGTCGTTGCGTTGTTCCGATGACAGAAGCTCCGAGGAAAATTCGACTTCAACGTTTGAATTTTTTAGATGTTCCCTCAACACACGGCAAAACCGTTCTTGGCCAATCATATAAGGCGTCGCCTGGAGGAATCCATGAAATTTGATGTTAGTCCAAATGTCAATGATCGTGTTAGACTCTGTTTGACCCGATGGAAACCTACACATTTAATCTCTGATCCTCTATTGGGAGAAAATTAAATGTGCTCGCTCACATGGGCTTAAACATAGTCCATCAAAGCAATGGAGTATACGCACGAACGGTCGATCTGGTGTGGGTTTAGTATTCTCGGGATTAAGTGGCTTCACTGCGACTAGGCGTCCTTCGGAGTCATAGTGCTTCATGTCTAAGACCGGCCTTCCAACCGTTTGGAGATCGTCCAGAATGCCCAAGAACTTGTAGATCTCGAGGCTTCGAGGCTGTGTATCAAGGGCGTGAGGAGAGTGGGATGTACGAAGAGGATTGAGTTACCTGAGCCCCAACACCGCGTTGCGCATCAGATGGGTTGTCGAGTTTCTCGATAATACGGACAGATATGCCGCTCTGAACCAGACTAAGAGCGAGTACAAGCCCAGTAGGTCCAGCACCGGCCTGAGAATGGCAACATATAAGTCAGATTCCGGATGGGTGCCGCATGGAGGAACACAGGGAGAAAGAGAACATACAATCAAGACCTGAGTATGTGGCATTCAGGTATGCGGAATGAAGCGAGTCCTTGAAGAGGGTGTGTTAACGCAGAAGTTACTTTTTGAAGGGATACGCCACGGGTATTTATACCTTAGCGGAGGTGTCCAGCCGTAGTGTCAGAGAGATGACTTTGAATGGGCCGATGACTCGACTCCAAAGGATCCGTACCCTTCCCATCTGTACGTAGATGAACGGGTTCTGATCTAGCCCAATCAAATCCCAACGACGTTCGTAGTATATTGCAACCGGAGATGTTTTGGACGACCTCGATGATATGTTGAGTCGGAAGGTTGACGCGTCTGCCGGCCGCATCAGCAAACGCGCTTGAGTTCGATGCATCTGATGATTCGGGCCGTCTGTTGTAAAGGTCAGCTATTACTGTAATAACTCATCTCCTCTCCAGACACTCATTTTTGCAACAGACTCGTTCCTTGTAGCCTTTTTATGTCTAGTTCTCGTTCATCAATGATTCGCAGGTCGACTGACTGTCATCTCTCGTAAGCTCGATGAGTTTGTCGTTGTCAGCCGCAATGGTGGATGCTTATCCTCGAAAGAACCTTACAAAACTCATGGTGCATTAAAAGGGTCGACTTGATCCTGCACCGCCGCCCATATGAGATGCCGAGAATGATGCACCGCGACCTGAGGCCTGAGACGCCACCTCTGCTAGCCCAGCTTCTAGATCCTTCTCCTTCGGGAGGCCTTTGCATAACATGCCTTCGAGACTGAGATAGGATACCGTGGGGCTGCGCTCCTTTCAACCACCGGCTGCTGCGAGTGCAACGACGGGAGATCCGGACTCGGAGGGTGGATATATAAGAAGGGTATTGCATATATTTTTGGACGCGATGAAGTACAGAACGTGATGCATGATAGACCGAAAGAGCGAGAGGCGAGGGGTAAGAGATGGGAGAGAGCGAAAGATTTATGTCGGTAGACTTGCGAAAACGAGAAAGGGAGTGGAAAGGGCATGGAGTTCCAATGACGGATCATAGAGATTATCTCTGCGCCATACAAGAAAAATGAGGCAGAGACACTCTTGCGTTTCACGGCAACTCGTGGAGTACGTTACTCACCGAGACTGGTAACCACCTCATCCTCTGAGTCTCTCAATGTTGCAGCTCATTCGTTGTCTCAAACAAAGGTAGGTGATCGTCTAGGTCTGCAGTCACCATAGACTTCATTTACGGCCTCGCTCAGCATGTCGTCCTTCAGGCTCATACTAGTCCAAATTCGTTACTAGAGGCCAGGTGGGTAGATCGGATTGTATTACATGCCTCACCAAGAATGTTTTGCAAGAGATTTTTGACCCTTCCAGAAGATCTTTCCCGAAATGTGGTCTGAGAGAGGTTTTCCAGGATGTGACCTGAGTGAACGTTTGCTCATTTCGGTGGTCACAAAAAAAATGAGACAGAATCAAAGAGAATCCAAAGCAAAGAGAGGTTGAACGTGGCAATGGTAGAGGCGGCAGCAAACGGCAAGCAAAAAAGGAGGTACACGGTGGCGTGGAAAGAACGCGACACGACCACGTGCTCACGCTGCGCCGAAGCTCGCCACAAATTGGAATTGGTCGTCGCCTGTCGTCGCTCTTGTCCACTCTCATCTGCTTCAACGGTCACTCAGCCTTCTGGTTTCAGGACCGCCATATTTATACCCCATGTCTATTCTTCCAGATGAAGCGGTTGACACTTTGGAACAGCTTCGTCTCGAATTTGAAGAGCTCCGAACGAGTGGCGATCGCGATGACAAGAAGCGCCTGAAAGATATCCCTCGGGAGGTCTGTGAAACTGTCCGGGCGATGGCGGTTCCGTCACTTGATGACATTCATGAGGCGTTGACCGTCGCGGATGATGTTCTGAACGAAATTGTCGATGCTATATATCATAGCCATTCCTGGGACTTTCGTGACTTTTTGCCTTCGTTTGCGGACACCGGGGAGGATGGGCCTGCTCCTCTTTTGAAAGATACAGAAGCGGGAGAGCTGCATTTTATGGGTGCGTATCCTATGATTTCTCTCAGACTGCGCAACGTATGGTGTCCTCCGACGTAGTTTCTACACGCGCGAGTTGTGATGGCACCTGCTGGTCTCTATGCTCATGAGGCCGTATCCCTAAGTGAATATCTGACCTCGCTAAAGCTCAATGGCCCACGACGATTGGCTTGATCGTTGTTTTGAGTCGTTTTAAGCGGTTGCAGATACGGTCTATCGTGTTTCCATCTACCAGAGGAACGATTGCTTATCATAATTTAATGACCACCGTTAAACTGGTTCTAGGGACTTTACATCTACGGGAGTTCCAAAGGATTGCGGCGGACATGTCAGTAGTACGCGGTGTAGACCCTGAAGGTGAGTATTTCGATACGCTCAATGTGTAATGTCAACTCTCAAATTGATAATCTTGACTTCTCAGTCGCAGCAGAAAGAGCAAAAGAGTTTGGGAAAGACCGTACCCCCTATGATCCTTCTACCAAACCACACGGCTTGACAAGCCCTCTTGCTCGAGCTCGAAAACCAGATACCATCAACCCCTCGCTTTCCTCCATCCCATCCACGCCTCCACTCACACTCTCGTTTTATCAGGCCCGCTGCTCCATCACCGCTCGCCATATTTATCGCCCTCTCCCCAGTGAAACTTTGCATCTCGCCACAGGGTCACCTTTCCTCTTGTACACAGCTGCAGGTGGTTCTGCCGGACTGAACCCCGACGTCACTTTCTGGAAGCTTGCGGATTTTAAACCCGACGTGTTCGAGCGAGGTAAAAGAATCAGAACCGAGCTATGGGGCCCCGCGACTCACCTCGCCGTCGATCCCATTCGCGAGCTCGTATATACTGCTGACAAGCGGAACATCGAGTCCTTCAAGTATACCACGAGCCCACATGATCTCTTCGGGGGCGACACCAGCGACGTAGATGAGATTAGCGGCGAAACCCTAGCTGCGGTTCATACTCTCGATTCGAGGCCTTCCACAGGGCCACTCGCGCTGGCCGAGCGTGGGAGCAAGTTATTGCGGGCTGGGGAGGGTGAAATTTACACTTGGGACGTCGATGGACTCTTCCGACAGAACTCAGACTCGGACTCAGATGGGGATGAAAGGGTACGACAAAGGCGTCGGAGAGGTAGAAGAGGAACACCGGATCCGTTTGAGGACCCAGAACCGGAGGATGAGGAGGATTGGCAGGGCACTCCGGTGACGAACGTACTTCGGCTCGAGCAGCCATTGGCTTCGTCGATTGACATCGCGTATTGGAGCGCATCGCCCAATAATCCCAACATCATGCTTTCGACGTTGAACAACACCTTTTCTTGTCTTGCACTCGATCTCCAGGCAGGCGGAAAAGTTACAACGAGGTATCTGGGGCACGGTGGGCAACCTACTGGCTTTTCAACCAGTCCTGTGGCGGAGCCTACCCAGTTTTTGACTTCAGCAATGGACGGTGTTGCGAGACTATACGACGTTAGAGAGCCATTGCCTGGTCTCTCGATTCAGGACGAGATTCGGACTGCTCTTTTCGTGCACATACAAGGCGTACCAGGTACGCCCATTCCCTCCCTTCCCTCCTTATATATTGTCGCCCTCATGAAGTCTGGTGCATGTATCGTATTACACTTCTAGCAATCATTACCGGCTCTGATAAATACGAGTGTATCAAAGTCTGGGACCCTCGCTCCAGCACAAGAATGTGCGTCTATGACCTCTCGACCGGCAACAACCCCACGACTTCGCTCGCATGGGACGCGCCCCGTCATACACTCTACGCCGCCACAGAATGCGAAGACACCAAAAGCTTTGAGTACGGCCGGAAATATATAAAGAAGAAAGTACCGAAGCCCCAACGCCCGAGAACGCAGAGCGAAATGGATGATTCAGAGTATGAGTCAGATGATTTCGAGTGGCGGAGGTGGCCTGCGAATGCGTATCATGATGATGAGTACTATGGATATGTGTATGATAGTGGTGGGCACAGAATCTGTAAGTCTCGGAGTGCTCTCTCTCCTAGGATGATGTTGTTAGTCTTTTGACCATTGCTGATCTTGATCGTTTTGCTTTTTTACAGTCCGTTATATGTTTGGAGAGAATGCGGACCCGAAGATTTTACCGAAAGGCGGTCGGTCTTGGGAAGATGTGGAACATTATTGAAAGTATAAACATACTCACTCTGCCAGATTATATACAGTTCTCGGAAACGATCAGATACGATTACGCTCACTTGTCATCTTGCCTCCGTACATAGGTCCATATCGTGCGTATATCAGGTGTTTCGATCAAGAAATCCCGACGCAACAATAGGTAAGTTACAATCCCATGGAGAGCCTTCGGCCCGGAAAAACCATAGTGTAATCTGCAAACGGGGTTCGTATATACACCCTCGCCAGCTTGGCTTTCTCCGCGGGATTATTCCTCCTTTTCTCCGCTGCTCTCTCTGCCAAGCGACAAGTCCTTGGCTTCAATTTCGATACACGACCAGCGGTGTCGTCCTTCAGGGCAGTCGCAGTTTGAACCTATATCTTACGATGCTTTGGTCTTCGATTTGGCTCCAACTCCCGATCCACGGAGGTCCTGAGCTGAGCGAAGGTGGCTTCCATGGGGAGGACGAATGTTTGCTTGGCTGTCTAGTGCAGGGGCGGCCAAGTAATAATACGAAAGAGGGGTGTTGCCAGTGTACTTGACAACGAGGCTGCCTTGTCCGCATCCATGCCATCAATGCGATCCAATGCTCCTAACCGCCACACAGAAGTACCTTCAGCGTTGTAGTCCGAACTGCGTTGCTCTACGCCTCGTCCGTCACAATCAGGGCACGGTTTCGGTGCCGTACATATGTATGATGTCCTAAAAACCAAGTAGTTACCGCGGCAGTACTCTTGTATTGAGGTCGAGCTTCCTTCCATCGCAAGTTGTCAAGGGGTCTTCAGCTTGAATATGTGATGCTACTAGGCGACTCCAGGGTCCGTCATCATTTATGGAAAACTGAGACTCTTCCGAGTCGCCGTCCGAGGTCGACGAGCTCCGCAATTAACCAGCTCACAAAAAATGCAGCCATTCTAACGTATCAGCGTGTATTCCAACTACAGAGACAACATATTCATCTAGACAGTGGTGATGGCGCGCGGCGTGCAGCACTCAAAATCGCTGAAAGACCTGAATCTCGATCGCTTCGGTACTTACCGCGCTCTCAGCAGCAAGGGACCGCTTCGGTCAACTTTCCTTGTTCTATCCATCACTGACAAACGTCGACGCTCCTGCCTTGCTCCTCCGAATGCTCGAATCTCCGTATGAACCTATAAATGCCAGCCTCGCTGTGCCACTACAGCACCCAATTCCAAGCCACTACCTTCCAACCTCGAGTCAGCCTGCTTCGACACGGCTGACAACGCGCTATCAATGGCGGGGGAGACTATGCCATCAATTCCTCGATGGCCCCGGCGGCAAAGACAATACTTTCCTAGCGGGTATTGGCTGAGTTGGAGCACAGAATTTGCATGAATGATCTTTCTCAGGATCAGCCCTGCTTTCAGGGAAGTTGAATGACTGTAAGCTTTCCCTGATTTTCATCTTCAGAGGTACACTTTGAACGACTCGGACCCGGCTTAGACTAAGACTTTTGAACTGGTCAATGATTTACTATCATTAGCATCCATCTTTACTATTATGGACATCGTGCGGACATCGTCGTGGTGTACACCCAGATACTCTTCGCTCACACAGTGTAGCGTATGCATTTGTGACCTCTGAATTACCAGAGGCGATGATACTTTTAAACTGCCCCTTAAATCCACCATGCAAGGACGGAGCTCTCTCCGAATATTCTCTGTGACCTTGCACTATATGTCCATTTCTTGTTCGGTCCTAAGAAGGACACGTCTGGGAATCGTTGCCGTCGGTGCCTGCCTCAGAATCCGCGAGTCGGGCCCTCACCTGCTCTCACGGGCTCTTATCGTTCATTCGACCGAGTACAATCGTTATTTTTGGTCTCCTTCCAGCGAGACCATTCCCTCATGGATCCCTCGTTTCTCGATGATGACAACGTGCCGCATGGTCCTGACTACACAGCGATGATAGTAATGGTCACTTAATTGGACGCGATGCGACTTTAAAGCTGGTTTCCGGTATCCTTTTGGCTTTCCCCAGGTCAGACCAAAGTTGGTACACTCCTCAGCAAGTCCTCATTGTCCTCAACGACGATGGCACCTTCTCTTCCACCCGTCTTCATGCGCATACTTATCGTCAGTTGCGGGGCACTTCTCCTGTCATCTACAGCAATTGCGACTGCACTGGACCCATGTGCCAAGATTGCCGGACTCACATTCGTCGCCACCGCTGATGCCATAGCGTGCCAGAAGTCGTTCCCACTCAACGAGACGTTGAGACAGAATGTGCTGAGCAATATCGCACGTGTTTTTGACTTCTACACCTTTGAGGACTACTATCTGGATTCTCCACCACCATTTCAAGAGTCGACGACCAACATCAGAGCGCAGATTGCTCGGATGAACGCCACGCACTACGAAGTTCGTCTTATTTTCATACGTGGATGACGCGCATCTCTGATAACCGGCGTACATCCTCATGATTCTGTAGACCGACTACGACTTCAACTCCGATGTTTATAACTTCACTACCCAATTGAACGACGGTCACACCAGTATGTGGCGTTTACTTCCTCGGACTATTCATGCCATTGATGGCTGAACGTCTTCTGTTTCTTGTGGCCCGTCGTTAGGGTGGTTCCCGAACTGCTACAACTCCTTTCAGAATATTCTTCCCGCTCCTCCCGTCATCCTCGAGGTCAATGGAACACAGAACGTATTCATAGCTCCCGACTCCGTCGAATTCCTGTCGCAGCTTGGTTCCAACTTCACCGACTTCTTCGACAGCCTCGGATTTAATTGGCAAAGACTCGCCGGGGCCAAAGTGCTCGAGATTGGCGGCATGGATGCATTCGACTACATCGACCTCATCGCTAAGAATGTCTCCGGAAACTATCTCGACCATGGTGTGAGGGTCAATAGTGTGATCAGCAGTTACAGAATCCAAGGGACAGATTTCTCACAGAGGCTAGGAGACCTTGCTGGGCCCGAATTATTGACCTTGACCGAGTTGACATTCAAGTTGATCTTGAAGAACGGGACTGAGCCAGAGACGGTGACTGTACCATATGTGGCAGACTTTATAGGCGTACCCTTTATGGATCAGGCATCCTTGTAAGTTCTCCTAATGTTATTGTACTTCATAGCAATTGACGGGCACAAATAGCTGGGCAAACAACTGTGCGGCCAACAATGCGACGAACGGTATTGACCTTAACGCTCAAGGCCTCTCTCACGCGACCACACAGTCGCCTCTTCGCGCACGAGGGGCGCTATTCGCTAACACTAGGTCAAACGCTATCGGCCTTCCTCGTCTGTACTGTCTTGGAGTTGAGCCAAATTAGTAACATAACTGATCCTACTTTTCACAGAGCCCTTCCTTCCAAATCTCCCGCCCGTCAATGGAAGTGAAGACGTGATCAAATCATTCGTTTTGGATAACACCACCGGCGTGGTACGTTCATCCTCTGAACATTAATGTCTTTGGATCTGCGTAGTCTCATTTTGCGTCGGAGCGCAGATGTTTGTTGGATCATTCGAACCTACAGATTTCGACCAGTTTCAGTTCGATGTTCAGGCTGCAGTCGAAAATTTCCAAGCTGCCAATGTAACCCGTTTGCTCATTGATTTGACAAACAACGGAGGTAAATACAGTCTGCCTCCATCAGCTCGCGAACAATAATGGCCGATCAGTCCATCTACCTTTAGGCGGATTCGTTTGCTTGGGACTATTCCTCCACCAGTTCTTAGCCGGGCTCGACAGTGGATATCCGTACGTGCTCTGAATTCTCTGTCCATAGACGCTTCGCTAAGCTTGTAATGACCTTGACTAGCGGTTTTGAATGTACCGTTCGTGCGAATACCTTGGCTCAGAAGATCGTCGCGGCCGACATTGCGCTTAACGACAGCAGCACTGGTGTCTTCTATGCTCCACCGAATTGTAGGCGGACTTCATTTTTGAGAGAGGCCCGGTCGCTGAACACTCGTACTTCTAGGGGCTTTCCTCAATGACACGCAGTTTTCACTCAACGAAAACTTCGAAACCCCGGATATACAATTCATCGTGAACGGACAGGATCAGCCTACTTCACAACGGTTCCATGTATGTTTTAGTCTGCTAGTTCTCATCCCAGGATGGTACGGCTGCTGAATGATGCGTACATCAGGACATTTGCACGCCCTACGCAGTACCCATCCCTGCGACTCCTCCCTTTGACCTCAAGTCAGTATCTCAGTACTGCCGTTTCTATGCCTTTTCTGATGACTATTACATTCAGGAATGTCGCTATGGGTGTGTACTCCGTCCTCCAATATAGGTTCAGCTCTCTGAAAGTCGTCGCGTTTAGTCAACAATGGAAATTGCGCTTCGACCTGCTCTCTTTTTAGTACCGTTATGCACGAGGTAAGCTGGTTTTCAGTCTCGAAACTCTTTGCCTCAGCAATCCTATATTTCCCACAGAAACACGGGACAAAGATAGCGGTCTTTGGAGGCAAGCCTGGCGAGGACGTTCAGTTTAAAGGTATGTACATTTGTCAAGTTTCTGGCCTTTTTATCATACACAAGCTAATGATGCTATCCCGACCAGGAATGGCTGGCAATCAAGTTTTGGAATGGGCTGACCTGGACACGGAGATCAAGACAGCACAGCTGAAGGATGTAAGTCCAAGGCTTTGCCCCCATATATGCGTGCAGAGAACTGATACTATCTCTGTTTCTGAAGGATCCGCTCGCCCCTCCGGACTTGTGAGTATCAGAATCTATTCGTACTGAGATTAGCAGACTGATGCCTTAGGTAGGATCGTCTCTGCTAACATGCGGTGAGGGCCCCTTCGTCTTTGTAGAATTTGCAGTCAAGGAGATACTCACTTCTCTCTTCCACAAGTCACAATTGGCGGACGGGTACGCTCTGTCCATCTCGCTGTCTGTATCGAGACGCTTACTGAAGCATACAATATATAGCGTATAGTTTCCTGGACGAGCACACTCCCATAGGCAAGTTTTCCCGAAGGGTTGTTGATTTACTCACCACTGACACTTCCCCCCTCTCCACAGCCTACGTTTCAGAACTGCCAACTCGTACACCATGTCCCTCTTTCATACAGGAATCACGTTGGCTGACGTGGTCACCATATTCACAGTGCGCTTCCCCTACACGATGGATACATACAACAACCCCCAGAACCTCTGGAAGTTCGCGTACGTTTGCATCTCTCCTATTGTTTTGCGAGGCGTCGGTTGAGCATAATTATATTTCAGGGCTAGTCAACTTTTCGACTGAGGTAAGGATCGCAGTAGACGGATTCGCAGGAGGTGCAGGCGACATCCATCAGGTTAGAAAAGGATATGTATTGTTGTTCGTTGACGGTCGGACGCCAATGGTATATATACATGTGGCCCGTGTGACGTGTTCATAATTCACGCGTCCAACAACGTTTACCATAAAACCTATGTTTCATCTACAATACATACATCCGAAGGGCGCAACGACGAGGACGTAAGTAGAAGGGGGCTACGCGAGAAGAAGAAAAAGCCTCGATGAGCGTAAAGGGAGAAAGGAAAGGGCGATATGTATACTACACATAATTGGCAAAAAAAGACAAAAAAAACATAGAAAAAGAAGGACTGAGAAGATGTTACGCATCTGGAAAACAAGAATAAACAGGGGAAAGCGGGAGCGTTCATAATCAATCGATAGAAAAGATGAGAATAACGGCAACTGAGGAGTGGAGAGTTGAAAAGAAAAGTCAGAGGATAAAAGTAACGGTATATGAAGACATCGGAAAGGCATGAGCTGAAGGGGTGCATGAGACTCGGGAGACGAAGCTCGAACGCAACTAGGGAACTCAATAGGTCCCCGTCGAGCCCGAACCATTCACCGGCTGATGCTGATGCTGCAAGGAAGGCGACGACATAATACCCTGGCCCGGCCTCGGTGGCGATTGCTGTCCCTGTCCTCCCATTCCAAGTGACACGTTCGCGGGACTCCGATTCTGCAAATGCGGCGACATCGAATGTGACATCGAGATCCCATGGGCTCCGTGGGCTGCACCGGCAGCAAGAGCCGCAGGTGAGACTCTGCCTTGCACCTGTGGCGTAAGGTGCGGCGACGCCGAGAGATGTCCATGACTGAGGTTCCCGGACGAAGTCCTCCTCATCCCACCCTGGATCCCATTGCCGTTCATATCACCCACAGGCGCAGACTGCTGGGGCTGTTGCGAGGCCGCCCATTGCATCTGGCGAGAGGCAGGAAGCTTAAGGTCCAAGTTCATCCCGGCGCCCATCCGCATTCCCTGGCTCTGCTGCTGCTGTTGCTGCTGCTGAGTGAGGTTATGATTCGTGTTGACGTTGACTCCGTGAGCCAATGGAAGGTTGTAATTCGCCCCGTTAGGAGCGACGTGGCCCATGTACGCCGCAGGTCTCGATCCATTCGTCGACGGCATGCCCGCAGCGCCACCATTACCTCCTAAATCCTGCTGCTGCTGACCCCCATGCGTGGCTGCGAACTGCTTGAGAGCCTGCATCTGTTGTATGGTCAGACCCTGCATATTGGGGTACGCGGGGTAACTCTGCGCTCCATTCTGCATAGCGTTCGACGAGAACCCGTTCATATGATATCCGTTCGGCATGGTAATGGCGTGGTGCGGGTTTGGTGGCTTGAGTTGCATAGGGATATTATGGGCAGGGTTCGCGTGAGCGGAGACGGGTGACGCAGAGGAGGCGGAGGCGGGGAGGCTACCGTCAGCGACAGGAGCTGACGATGTGGACATGTCGTGAGAAATGTGCGTGGGCGTGTGGGTGGCATTGTGACCGTTCACCATCGGAGGAGCAGAAGCGGAAGAGGGATGTGGCGGAGACAATTGGGCGCCCTGGCCGTCGGATTGAGCGATGCCAGGTGTTGAACCGGAACGCATCCCTCCATTCGACGAGAGGCGAACTTGCGGAACATTCATGGATTTCTTCATTTGAGCCTGCATCGAGATTGGCGTTCCGCCAGCCTGCGGCATAGACAAGGCAACACCGGCTTCGTGAGCTGGTCGAGGTTGCTGCATCTGTTGTTGCTGATTCTGGTAGGCGGTATTCGGGACGGCAGGGGGAGCCATGGGACGGCCGGGAGCACGGGTCATGTTGTAGTTCGCGAATCTAGTAATTGGCGCAACGGCTTGTGTCTGGCCGTTGGCACCCTTAAGGAAGAGCGTTGAGTCGGTGCTGAGCCTCTGGTGGTCATCGGGACGTAAAATCGACATAGTATGACGCAAATACCTATAATGGTGGATATATCGTTAGGGTTGGAGAAAGCGATGTGAACTAAAGAGACTTACTCGGGAGAATAATTGTCGACCAGTACCCGGTCTTGCTCGTCAGGGCCATCAGGACCGACGGGCGGTTCGTCGTCGTGATCATAGCGCCACCGTTCAGTTATCCTTCGAGCACGCTCTCGTTCCTCCGCAGAATCTTCATCGGACGAGTCCTCAGAGTGTCGCAGACGAGGTCGGCGCAAAAACTCCTCCTCGTCGTCTTGTCGAGACCCTCTTGGAGGGAGCCCTCGGCGATCCACTCGTACGACGCCACCGCGACCACGTCTCATCCGTACTGCACGATAGTGTCGCGGCGACTCGTCCTGGGAGTCAGAAGAGGTTGGAGGAGTGATAGTAGGACACCAATATCGACCTGAGAGTCCGACGGGGTCCGGCTGGTGAGGATTCTGCTCAACGAGAAGACGTAAGTACACTGTCATAGAGGGAAACCAGAAGACCTACGTCGATACCGTCCTCCCAATACGAATTGGTCGCCTTGATCTGTAGGACTCCTCGTTCGATTTCGCTCTGAATGGCCGCCACCCGGTCCTTCGGTCGCATAGGAGTCTCCATGGCTGGAAGGTTGTCTGCGGCAGAAGGCTTGATGCGAATCGAGCTGTTAAGGAAGTCAGGATTATATACGACGGAGAACAAGGTGGACTAAAACGGACAGTTGTGCTGGTTTTGGTTTCTTCGGTGGCTGACGTTCCTTGTCGAAAAACATTTCTTCATCCTCCTTGACGCCCAGAGCAGGAAACTTCCGCTTCATACTAGCCATATTCTCGCGTATCTCCCAAACTGCCCTCCCGTGGCGCACTGCTTCTCGTTTGATGGTTTCGCGATTATTAGTCGCCACAGCCAGTTCTTGGGTCATTAGAAGCTCCTGCTGAAGCCTTACGAGCTTCTCTGATGACGAAGCCTGAGCAGCACGAGTTTTACGAATGGCCTTGACGTCTCGTCGGCGGAAACAAACATAAGATTCGTTCTGTGTGTCGGCCTCGTCGTACTAAAATACAAAAGTCAGGTAAGCCTAAGAAAGCAAGAAGAAGAGGAATATCTTACATTCAGCGCAGGGATAACTCTGTGGCCACCGCGTTCGATCCGGCGCTCTTTCCAGTAAGAGTAGACAAGCTTGGCGTAACGGAGCATTTGTGGTGGCGGAGGGATCCATGACGGGACAACAAAAGCAGCAAAGGTATCGGGGGGTAACGGCGATGCGAAGGTGTCTTGATAATCTGAAAATGGAGGGAAATGACCTCCGGATTCGAGACCCTGTAAACCGAGATAATCAGCACTCTGAGGGTCACACTCGTCGCGCCTACTTACATGATGGAGGTAGGCGGTCTTTTCGTTAGTTACCTTCTCGAAGAGGCCCATGACGAGCTCAAGCTCATCCTCTGTCATGACCACTGGCTGTGGTACATCTGGTTCCTTTCCCTTTGCCTTTGCACTCCGTTGGGACGTGCGTGTGGCGGTCCCAGCCGTAGAGAGAGCGCCCTGGGCAGAGGTGCCCTCGCCACGCGCCTCCTCGTTGTTCTTGTCTAGCCAATCTTTGTCTCGCTCATCCATATAATATGTGAAGCCATTGGCAAGGGCGTCCGAGATGGATTCCTCGACGCACTCCGATGTCTTAAGATAATGGTGGGGATCTGTCCATTTCGAGGTAGGATAGAGCTCTTCGTAGTTATCGACCGTGCCGGTGCTGTCCGGGATGGGAATGTATGCTGCCCTGTCTGGCGCTGCCGGGGCCGATGCCGCCGCTCCTCGCGTGGGGCGCTGCACCGACGCTGAATGCCGGGCGGCAGCGGAAAGCACAGCTTGGAGATGGTGTTCCTAAACGCAGAAGCTTAGTCAGCATGCTCCGGGGACACATCGCCGGACCCGCCAGCCAATCAGAAGGCGACACGCGGGGGTCCGCCAACAAGGGTCGCCACGTAGGAGAGGGGGTCGACGACAGGACTCACGTTGGCATCCTCAGCATCGACGCCGGCAGTCGAGACGACACGGACCTTCTCCTCGTCCTCGTCGAAGCCCAGGGGATCAGCATCAATGGATCCCTGGACGATGCGAAGACGAGTCTTGTTAGTGACACGGTTGCGGTTTCGAAGAGTCGAGGGGCCGCTGGACGAGTTGGCGCGGGGCATTTCATGGAGGAAGGTGAGCGATGCAGAGAATAAATTAGCAGTGGGCGGGGCTCGAGAACGCGAAGGATGTGCTACGGCTCGCTCGCTGGGCTCGTCGACTCGTGCGGCGCTGGCGGGGCTCGTTGATTGGGGCGACGCCGGAGAATTTTGGCCGAGATCTCGGGCCGGTAACACGAATTGTAGGTCACCCGCTCTATTTGGTCGGGGTAAACACCGTCTGTCCCCTTTCGTCCTGCCACCATCTCCTCCCTCTGCATCTCAGAAAAATACATCCCGCTTTGTTCTCAGTATCTGTGTCAGAGAGAACTTTTGTTCTCGTGCTTGCCGCAGTTCTCTGGTGCCCGCATACTAACGAACCACTCGATCGGGGCACGCGCCACCGTTATTGTTTCATCGTTGTTCAATGTTTGTGCCATTCTTGATGTGGCACGAGGCTTTGTGGGGCCAATTTCGTCCTTTTTTCCCAATGTCCGCAGGTGTTTTGCTGATACGCATACACCGTTGGCCCCTCACCGCACCTGAATCTACTGGAGGGTTCACGACGGCAGTGATACGCACATAAAATATTCTCCAGTCGTTATCGATGTCACCTCTGTTTCGGTACGGCTACTCGAATTCACTTCGCCTTTTGTGTTCATGATCTCAGGCGTGCCGCGTTATCGGTTATAGAAGTTGAGCTCCGTATGCCAGTATCCAGGGCTATTCACATCGTATCAACATCCACTGCTTGTGACTTTCCTATCAAGAAGTACTCCCACCGACAATTAGCTCGAAAAGATCGCCCTTCCGACTGAGGAGCTCGACACTATGAACACCGACGACAGAGACACCATTCTCGCCATTCTCCTCACAGATTCCTCTTCATGGCAACAGCTCGTCGCGTTTGCTCCTCGCACCTCGGATGCCGCCACCGACGCGAATCTACGCAACCGCTACATGGCTCTACTAGCGCTACACGTTCGACACCAATCAGCAGACAAGGCAGAAGACCTGCGCCTCGTCATGTATCTCCTTGACCAAGAGGTCCTATATCACCGTCAGGCGGATCATTACCGCTCATCCATCTCCCTCGCCTGCTATCTCTTAGCGCGATACCGTCAGCCCTCTCACCTGTGGGCCATTTGGGCAGCTCGCGAAGCCAACTTTGACGCGTTAAAGAGCGTCGACTCGCATTATATGTGGTACGCCACATCCGGAGTAGAGAATGCCAAGATGTATCTCGAAAGATGTGGAATGGGCGATGTGGGTGAAGGAGCAGCTGAGGATGGAGGCCGTGTGCGATGGTGGCGAGAATTGGTGGAAGATGCGGGAGATGAAGCAAAGGCATTCGAGGAGTTGAAGAGACAGGTCGTCGAGAGGATCAAAATGGACGTGACGTGTGGAATTACGGATGAGACGGTGGAAAAGTTTGTAGATGATTCATGGCGGTCGGAGACGAAGAGGTGGGAAGAGTCGCTGTTACCTTAAATCATCCTCTTCCGCCACAGTGCGCCACCCTCTCCAAAGTCATAACATCGGTGTAGCTGTCCTAGGCCATTTTAATGTGATAACTCCGACAATATCAGACTGCATACTCTGTTGCTAGTTTCTAGTGGTCTTTGTTCACTATTGCCCGATGGAAGCGGTTGATGCGCTTACTTCAGACGGAAGGCGTCCTGTAACTCACGCCGTAATCCAGAGCCTATATCCCAATTCCAAGTGGGGTTTGTATGTTCACAGTACTGAGCGTACTCTTAACTTGAAGAGTTTCAGCCGATGCTAACACTGATCTGGTCTCTGGCGAGGAAGTCGGAAGGATCTTCTGGACGTCAGAGCTGGGCACTCAGTAGGGAAAATCCCTGGAGGGCGACAACCCCGGACGAGTCATTTCCATTACTGACCATGATCATGAGCACATGCGTGCTAATGGGGCAAGGCTGCATGTGTAAATACTGGACTCCAAAAACGAGTCAACACGCTAGAGGATTCCCCGCATTCCCAGTGCACGACGACCGGTAACTTCACCATGTCCTCAAAGCCACTGTACACGAATTCCTACAGCGAGCCTGCCCCGGAGGACCTCAGCAACTGCTATGGTCCCGACCCGTATGACCTCAACTTCATATGGCCCATCGACTTCTCACTCCTCGAATCTGAACGTGTGAAGCTCGTCCCGTTCATCCCTCGTCTTCATGCACAAATCTACGTCGACCACGCAGCCTCTTCTCCGGATATGAGTCGGTGGCTGCCTTTCGATCTTTCTAAACTCGAAGACGTGCTGTCGTTCGTCGAGTCCTTCATACGCAGAAGTCCGAGCTGCATCGCGTTTGCAGTGATGGACAAGGGGAGCGATGGGAAGGATGTGGAGGGGAAGATGGCGGGTGTGATCGCGTTGATTAAGAGCGACAAGAATTTGGTGACGGAGTTGGGATGGGTAGTGACGTTCCCCGAGTATCAACGCAGTAAGTGATGCTTCTATGCAAAGCATCTCATGATTTGTCTGGGAAAGGACTCATCGTGATTCCAAGCTTATGTGACGGGCAACGCGATCGGAATCCTGCTGAGATTCTGCCTCGAACTTCCGTCAAAGACGAAAGGCGCGCTGGGACTTCGGAGAGTGCAGTGGACAGCAAATCCACTGAACCTCAAGAGTATAGCCGCCGCAAAAAGGATGGGTATGAAGGAGGAAGGGACGCACAGATGGGTATTCGTGTTGGCGGAGGGTAAAGAAGGCCATGCGACGAGAGAGGGAGACCCGAAGCAGAGTCGGCTTGGTCGAGGAAGCACGATGTTAGCAATGTGTTGCGATGACTGGGAGAATGGAGGAAGGGAGTTCGTACAGAAGATGATCGACCTCAGGCGGTGAAGTGTACCGTGATGATGTATGTAGAAGCCTGAGGTTGGCCGGTTGGTTGAAAGTTGCCCAGTGTTGGGGCCACATGTGGCACCGCAGTGACACGCTGAGTTTGAATATCTACACCCGCGCTGACCATGTTTTAGGCCTCTTGCGCGTCCTGCAACTGATCTCCCACCATATTCTTTCCAATTGGTGTATCTTCTTTCGCCTCTTCATCTTGTCGTATACTGTCCACTGAGAGTAACAGGGCTATTTGTTGTACTCTTCAAGCATGGCATCCCAATTCTTGAGCTGGAATATCCAGCCAGTCGAACACCCCACCCTTTCTATGTGGTTGCCTATGTGCTCTCGACGACACCCCACCTCTTCTGGAATCGCTTGAACTCAATGTTCCTTGTGATTCAGACCCGACTATCGCCTACTATCTCACGCCATCTTGCTTTAGGACCTCTAGGATGTCGACTGCGCCATTGAGGGATATTGTCCTCGCTAATTTCACCATTCCTTGGTCATTCATTCCTACGGCCAATCTCACCCGTTTATCCATCGTCTTGACGGCTAATCACACTGCTCATGGTATGCCGAAGAAGATCACAGAGCTCGTTGGACGACTCCAATGCATGTCAAACCTCGAATCATTGATCCTGACCAACGCCGTGCGCATCCGAGCACCAACTTCCCTGCCGACACACGACCAACTCATGTCTCTCCCCTCGCTTCGTTCTTTGAAATTGCGAGGTCGTGCCATTGACTGCGGTTGCTTGCCCGCGTTTTTCATCATCCATCCGACCACCAACTGCGACCTGGGGTTTTCTGTTCTTGATCAACGCGATGTCCAGGCGCTGCAGCTTCCTTATTTTGATGCTCCCGACCATGCGTCCGCACTCCGAAGCCGAGCCTCAAACCTTGGTGATCTGGAAATTTCGTTTCCGATGTCAAGGGAACTCATAGTGTCTTCAATTCATTCCTCGACGAAGCTCGTTGTGTCCATCTGCATAGTTCAGGACACTCCTTCGTTCCGCGATAGGTGCTTCTCACTCCTTCCCTTTGTGCATCAATTGGCACACTCTGTTCAGGAAGTTCATCGCTCTGGAGTCTGTCCGATATACAGGAACGGGCCATTCATTCTTCACGGCTCTAGCTACTCTATGCCCCACACTTAATTCTGCCTTTCTGAATATAACCTACTCCCTTCCTGAGCCATTCTTTCCGAAAATGAAACGCCTCATCATCTACTGCCCGAATTTGCCGATCAAGTCGCTTTTGAATTACATATCTGTGAAGCGTGAGCGAGGCTATACTTTGCCTTATTTAGTTCTCTATGTAAACACTATACCAGATCTCCAGTTCGAGGCCTTGAAAAACCTTGTCAATGTACTTATGGTATTCAATTTCGGATAGTTTCTTATATATACATTTGGGAGGGAGGTTCTGATCATCCAGGAAAACCACCACAATTGTATTCTTACTCTGACTTTCCATCAACCGTCTGAGTATCAGGTTGAGAGCTGTTGAGAGCCACCACGGGCCACGCCACACGGAGAAGAGAGTAACAAGAGATTAGATTAGATTAGATTTCGTCATTTCAGATCAGCCGCCCTGTGTTCAACTAAACTTCGACAGCTTTGAATAATCGCCATACCATGGATATCTCATGCTGTCCTTGTCCGCCCTTACGGTCTGAAGACGTTGGTATATTCAGCTGTACTCTTTCCTTCGTTCTTTCAGATCGCTGTATTATAGTGCTATTCAGCCCGAGTCAGTCAGGATAAGGTCGCATTTTCCGTGATAAACACATCTTCCCACCGAGGGTCGACTCGGGAGTTATCAGAGTTAGGTGCTATCTCAAGACGATGAGAGCATATGTTATCATTATGTTTAGCACGGGACCCATACCTTCTGCTCTCTTATAACTCCCTACGGCTACCCCGACTTCGCCTGTCATTCAGCGACTGGTACTATGGCATTGATGCCGTCCCTCGATGAAAAATCTGGCAAGACCGAGCTTCTCCCATCTTCTTCGTCTAACTCACCTCCTCCGAATTTCGAGGGGAAAAGGTCGAAGTGGAACTACCTTGCTTTCGCTGTCCTTGGGTCTCTTGCCCTTGTCCAGACCGCAAATCAAGCAGGCTTGTCGGATACTCTCCTTGCCACGATCGGATCATTCAGGACGGAGGCATCAAGAGCGGAACTTTGTCCGCAGGAGGGAGCTCTGTATCCCCACAAGGAGTATGCGCTGTTCCAGACGTTGACGGATAGTTATGGGACAGAAGAGTTCAAGGCAAGGGCCATAGATTGGGTGAGTTCTTTGCGTTAGTTTTGCTGTACCAGGGGCGGTTCTGAGAGTTGTGCATTGGCGCTACAGATTGCGGGGGCAATTCAGGTTGAGTGAGTAGTGTTCGTTGATTGGCAAGGAGTATGAAGAATATTAACGACTGAAGATGAATTAGAACTGAGTCCTATGATGCAATGGGTGAGGTTGGCGAGGATCCTCGATGGGACAAGTTCGCCGACTTCCATGATTACTTGGCAAAGGCGTTTCCCTTGACGCAAGTATTATTTATCGCAATACGCAGCTCGACATTCATCACTCGCTTTTTTCTTACTACAGACACGCTACCGCGAAGCTCACGAAAGTCCATACTTATGGCTTGGTCTATCATTGGCAAGGCTCCGACAGTTCGTTGAAGCCGGCGCTGCTGACTGCTCACCAAGGTACGCCGAATCATTGTCTTTCGGGCCAGCATCAAGCTGAACTTGAACGTAGATGTCGTTCCTGTGCATCCCGATACGGTGGACGAATGGGTTCACCCGCCCTACTCTGGCTACTACGACGGTATGTGCCTCAATGTATTCTATCCGATCGTCTGAATGTTGAACGTACCCGCTGCAGGTGAATACGTCTGGGGTCGAGGATCCTTGGACGACAAGAGTGGTCTAGTGGGACTGTTGTGAGTTCATCTTTCCTGTCCTCTGATGGTCCAGTATTTCCACTCATGTCTCGCAGGTCGTCCGCAGAAGTGCTTCTCGAGCACTCTTTTAGGCCTGTCCGAACAATCGTCTTTGCTTTCGGGTTTGACGAAGAATCGGGCCCTGTTCATGTCAGTCTTCGACCAAGTCTATGTCTGCTGTGCTCAACTAGCTCACTCTTCGTCCAGAGCGCTGGTCACCTTAATGATTACTTGCTAGCCACATACGGCAAAGACGGATTTTCCATCCTTGTAGACGAAGGAGGTGTGTTCTTTTCACTCTAGCTCCACCCTGCTGGATACGTCTAACGGCAAGCATGGTAGGAGGATGGGGTGAATCGTATGGGTCTGACATGGCTAGTGTCGGGATAGGAGAAAAGGGCTCTATCAGCGTAAAGTTGCAAGTCGCCTCGCCTGGGGGACACTCCAGCGTCCCACCTCCACACACTGTAAGAGATATTGCATTCCTCTTTATTTCCACACCACTAACATAGCATCATCCCCACTGAATATCAGAGCATCGGCATTCTCGCTGCCCTCCTTGTGACCTACGAAGACAATCCTTTCCCTGTTCAGCTTGCTCGCGACACGCCCATATACGAGACTGTTCAATGTCTCGCCATGCATTCAAAATCAATCGACTCAACTCTGCGTAAATTTATTAAGGAATCGACCACGAGCGATAAGGCGTTGAAGAAAGCGAGCGAGCTACTCGCTGAGAATATAAAGATGAAGAGCCTGATCAGCACCACGCAGGCAATCGATATCGTCAATGGTGGAGTAAAGAGTACGTCCTTCTCTCAATAATGTTGTAAACGTAACTCCTCACGATCTCGCAGCGAATGCGTTGCCTGAGCAGGCCTACGCCATCGTCAACCATAGGGTCGCCACTGATAGGTACGCCTTCACCTTCGTAATCATCAATCCCACATGCCATCCAGTTGACTGACCGTTCTGTATATATACAGCTCTATTGCAGCGACTCAGAAACGCGACACCGATCTTCTGATACCCCTCGCCGAACGCTTCAACCTCTCGTTCACAGCATTCGGGTCTCTCGTTTCAGAAGCAGATGTCCCAGCCTACGGAAATCTCGCTCTAACTGGTGGAGGGATTGACCCCGCACCGGTTTCCCCTATCGATGCAGAGCCGTTCAAAGTGTTGAGTGGGTCCATTCGTGCAGCGTATAACACACATAGAGGCATCGAGGATGGGGGACCGAAGGACGAGCTCGTTGTGAGTCCCGGGATCACAACCGGGAATACTGGTGCGTTCAAAGTCTTTCTTAGTCACATCTTTCTGGAGCGCGAAGGCAAGGTGGCTTATGGTCAACAAAGATACAAGGCATTACTGGGGCTTGACGAGGCATATCTTCCGCTATGCGCATATGTATAACGGTAACGCCACGGCTGGAATACGCACCGGTGTACACACTACCAACGAAGGTACGCATCTGCTGCTGTATTGAACTCCTTAGATCGATTGACGGATTTGTCGTAGCCGTCCGTGCGGTCGACTTCGTTGAAAGCATTAGGTATTACACTGCGTTGATCATGAACTTGAACGAAGCGGCAGACCTCTAGAGAGCCTGCCTTTATGTACGCTATATGAGATGTACTGTTCGCAAGGATCCACGGCTTTGCAACCGAACGTTTGGATGGCAATGCCACCACGAAGGTGGCGAGGCGCCAATGTGGCGCAACAGGGGCCTCGGAGCTCGGGGTGTGATCGGAGCTCGTTCCGCTTCCTCCGCTTCGAGTGTTGTTCACAATCCACTCGAGCCACATGGGCCATAAGTATTTTCCTCGCCTTTCCCAAGTCTTTCCTGGTCCATGAGCCTTGATCTCAACGCAGAATAGGACATGATTACTCTTAGCTTGAACAAAAGATTGGGTTACGCGCAAAAGGCTTAGTTAGACGCAATGCTCATAAGGCCGCAAGCGCTCGGCGCGTTGTGAATTCCATGTGAACATGGTGTGCTATGACTGTGCTATAGGCGCCTATCAGCCGTCTCACATAACTTATAACCTCGGTAGAATTACAGCTCTCGTTGACTTGATACCCGCCGCTATGGTGCCAATGTTGAAACCAACGTCTGTCGACTCAAAGGACGAACTCTTGCCGTCCATCACGTCCATCACACTCTCCACAGGATCTGCTGAAGAGACACGGTCGACGAAGTGGAAGTACCTCGCCTGTACCGTTCTAGGTTCCTTGGCCTTGCTGCACATCCTTCGTGGCCTCAATTTATTGCCTCTGGACCCTCTGTTTTCGCGTTTCGACGCGGCACCAGCACTCTGCCCTCAGGAAGAAGCTTTATACCCCGTGAAGGAGAAGGCTGTGTTCCAGAGTTTAACAGAGATTTATGGGACGCAGGAGTTCAAGACGAGGGCTATTGATTGGGTGAATACTTTTGCTCCTTTTACATGTGACTATCATCTGACAGTTTTCTGATTATAGTTGGGGGGCGCTGTTCGTGTCGAGTATGTTCATCCACGAGCCTGATTGAGTATTCACCTTGCGACGTGCATAACTAATATACCGTACATAGGACCGAATCTTACGATGTGATGGGTGACGTTGGCGAAGATCCTCGCTGGGACAAGTTCGCCAAGTTCCACGACTACCTGCTCGAGGCATTCCCATTGACGTCGGTGTTTCTTTGCATTTACTTGCACCGTTGCTCTGCTCCATCTCTGACAATTTTATTCTCCTCTAGTCACGCAACTCTGAAACTCACGAAAGTCCATACCTATGGCCTTGTATTTAATTGGCAAGGTTCAGATGCTTCGTTGAAGCCAGCGCTTTACACTGGACATCAAGGTTGGCCGGGTTCTTTTGTACATGTACATCACGACCAATATATAGTTGAAATCCCTTATATTCCTTCAGACGTCGTTCCTGTCGATCCTGATACCGTCGATAAATGGGCACATCCACCATACTCTGGTTATTATGACGGTATATCCTTCCTCGATCGTTCTCTTGCTTCAAGTTAGTTGACCCCGTCGGAGCGCCTTCTAGGCGAACGGGTATGGGGTAGAGGCTCCCTGGACGATAAGTGTGGTGTTATTGGTCTCTTGTGATTGTTCCACCTATCAGGATATATATCCATCAACAACTGACTAGATCTTTTCAGGTCTTCTGTCGAGTCTCTCCTGGAACACTCGTTCAAGCCCACGAGAACCGTTATTCTCGCGTTCGGCTTCGACGAAGAATCAGCACCTATTCGTGTGAGTAGTTCCTGTAACCTGTTCCTACATTTGTTCTCATTTACCGACGGCGTGGACTACTAAGAGTGCTAGCTATATCAGAGACTATCTCCTCTCCACCTACGGCAAGTATGGGATCTCTATCCTCGTCGATGAAGGTGGTACGTGTCATCACTCACACACTGATCGACCTCGCCCATGATTGATCGTCTGGATACACTTGACAGGGGGTTTCGGAGAGCAATTTGGCTCTGTAATAGCTACCGTTGGAGTGGGAGAGAAGGGTATAATCAATCCTCGGTTAGTTCGCTCAGCAAAGTTCGATAGTTCCCTCATACCTTGAAATTGATCGTTAAATCAGGATCCAAGTCTCTTCTCCGGGTGGCCATTCTAGCGTCCCCCCGTCACACACAGTAATCCATCTATTATACTTGCAGTCATGCGCTCGCTAACGCAAGCTTCTAAGAGCATCGGAATGCTGGCGTCCCTTCTCGTGGCTTTTGAATCCAACCCCTTCCCAGTCCACCTCGCCCGCGGCACCCCGGTCTACTCGAACATCCAATGCATCGCCTCGCACGCACATTCTATGGATCCAAAGCTTCGCAAGCTCATCCTTTCGTCGGCCACATCAGACAAGGCCCTGCAGCAGGCGAGCGAGTTGTTGACAGAAGATGTAGTCATGAAGAGCCTGATTGGGACGACGCAGGCCATTGATATTATAAGTGGAGGTGTGAAGACAAATGCGCTTCCGGAGCAGGCTTACGCGATTGTGAATCATAGGATAGCCACTGACAGGTTTGTTTATTCACCGTGGTCACTTTCCCTCTGCTGTTATTATTATTCATAATTCTCCCCCTCGCACATAATCGACTAAGTTGACTTTTGCGTATCTGCCACAGCTCCGTCGCGGCGCTCCAGAAACGAGACATAGACCTCCTCAAACCACTCGCCGAAGAGTTCAACCTCTCATTCACCGCATTCGGTACTCTTATTTCTGAGACCGATGTCCCCGCATATGGTACACTCACGCTTACTGGTGCTGGATTGGACCCTGCGCCGGTTTCGCCCTCCGACGAGGAACCATACAGGGTGTTGAGTGGGTCGATTAGGGCGGCTTATGATGTACATAGAGGTATAGGGACAGATGGTCTAGAGGACGACGGTTTTATCATCAGTCCAGGGATTGAGGGTGGTAATAGTGGTGCGTCTTCCGGTTTCATGAATTTGCATATGGTGTAGTTGGTACTCATGGGGGTTTGTGGCCGGATGAGTAGATACGATGTGGTACTGGGATTTGACCAAACATATCTTCCGGTACTCCCATTGGAATTCAAGGAATACGTCAATTGTGGACCTTGGTATTCATACGGTCAACGAAGGTACGTCTAGGCCCATGTGGCCCAGCTTCATCGCCACGACAATGTTTCTAGTGCTCGGTTTGGGGAATTTATTCTGGGTTTCGTGCTGACTTGGTTTGTACTCTTGGGTTAGCCATACCCGCGGAGGACTTCGTCGAGATCATCACGTTCTACACGACGTTGATATTGAACGTCAACGAAGCAACCGGGATGTAAACGGACACTAAGGACATGACCCTCTCATTGCTGTAACATGTTGTGGTTGTCTAATACAACAAGAAATATATTGTGAAAGATCCTGTGGATAGCGTGGATATGTCGTGTGTTCGTAGTGTATATCAGGCACATAAATGAAGCAGTCTGTAATCCACGACGTTCGTCAATGCGCCCAAAGCAATGACATCGATCAAAGCGCCGCTCACTCACCAAAAGTCCGAAAAACCATGATGCAGAAATAACGATATCAGACCAAAATTCAACCCGACCCTTCATCATCGCCCAAACTCCACCACTCCTCCTCCCAATCCCTCTCCAAAATATCGGCCAACCTGTCCTGCACCGCCTTCAACTCCATCCGCGGTTCGATATATCGCCCTATGGGGTCATCCGCCGCGTCTTGGATGGCGGCTACGAAGCCTTCTTTGTCGTCTTTGCGGACGTTGTAGACGTAGGGTGGGTCGAGGTACTTGAGCATACTGTGTTGGCTTACCCACTTCCGACGGTTGTCGGGGTCATTTGCGTCCCACTGGAAGGAGGACGTAGGGTGAGTAAGTTGTGATTTGAATATGGAGGAGGAAGTGAGAGGTATGGGCGTACTTGAAGTATGGGATTAATGAACGGTACGCCTAGACATAGAGCTTCATACGGTGTAGGAGATCTACAGGTCAAAAATCATCAACGACCCGAACGCGGACGCATGATGCTGGCCGCGAGAACAAACCAACGTACGTATACGGCTGTCCAACTCCGATCAACACCTTCGAATGTGCTATCTCCTCCAAAAACTCATGCTGCGGCAACAGCCCTATATTTGTCAAGCCCTCCGGAAGCGTAACCTGCAGGCCCTTGTCCAGGTTCGGTTCGTTCGAAGCTCCCACAATGATATTGATGCCAGTTTCCTCTACAGCAGCCGTATAGAAATCGGCATCCCAGGCTTTTTCCGGGATGTTGGAGAAGTATTTGAGGCGTTTGGCCATCGCTTTATGGAGTGCGGTTGAAGGCGACGGAGAGAGTGAGTTGAGGCTAAGGTGATGTGAGAGGGAAGGAGGGTTTGCGTACCATATGCCTGATTCTTCCGTTCAGAGGGAGGGACAAAGGAATGGGCGAGACAAGAGAGCTGGACGGAGTAGCCGACGTGGGTGTTTATGCTCCAGGGGATGTCCATGTTGTAGGGTTCCGGGTTGAGAGTCCATTTCGGACCAAGAGGGTGGTCGATATGCGCCCAGAAGTGCCACTGAGAGATGGTATGAACCAGAACGGGAATTCAGAATCTGTACCATTCGAGAGGAAGGATGAAATATTCACTGACGCTGAATAACTTTAGGGCCAGACTCGAATCAGTGGTCAAAATGGCGGTAAATTAAATAACAGAGTATGACGCAGTGATAAAGCGCACCTTCCATATCGGTATCCCATGGGGGTTGCGTTCAGACTGGACGCAACTCTCCTCATCTCTATAACATTCCCATACATCTGGTGGTTCAAGGAAAACAGCCTTGACTAGCCGAGGAAAGGTCTGGTACAACTGTACGGCCCGGTCGGTATTGAGCGAGTAGAGGATCGTGTAGTTCATGTTCTGCAGGGCTTGTATCTGTAAGGGGATACGTCTGTCAATGATAGGCGCCCGGGGACGCAGATCAGCGATCTCAAGCGCATACCGTAGATCGCGACCTGCAACGCGACGAGAATGAAAAACACGTTCAGAGATGCGCAAAACAAACGCGTCGGAAGCGTGCCGTGGTCACTCACCACAAGTCTTCGCCACCCGTCCATCCTGCCAGTGCGCCACGGAAATGATACGAGCCCAGAATTACGACTGATCACAACGTAGTTCTTCGTCTGCATTGGTTCAATGATGGGATTGAGCAGAAATCACGCACCCTTGTCCTGGTTCACGGCACAATCATCCTCCAAACACCTGAACAGATCCTTAATCATCCTATTATTCTCGCTCGCCCATGATTCGCTATTCTTCTCAGAAAGCGGGAATAAGGAGTCGCTAAGTCTGAAGTGTTTGGGCTTTGCTAACTCCAAAGGCTTGACCTCGCATTCCGGCGGTGCTCTTGCGGCTAAGTGCTCTTGCACCTTAGGAAGAACGGCGACTGGTGTAGGTTTCGGTGTGGCCTCGACGTACTCGTAGACCGTGACGGTGGTAGTGGGAAAGAATGATGGCGCGTCGAAGATGTGCAAGCTCCGGGGATGGATCCATTGACCGCCGGTCATAATGAGCAGGAATAAACTAATAACACAGCAGAGCAGCCATCGTCTCCGCCTTCCATAGAGCGTAGATGATTAGCAACATCCATCGACACCACCAAGAATAGTATGAATGGACTCACGAACGACGCACTCTCAATGGTGGAGGCCCCGACCGCATTCTAATCAACACAGCCCAAACAGTAGCTAAACCTGGACTGAGGCTCCCTTCCTCCTGTCAACGAACGCGAAAGCTTGATCAACGACGCAGACCACAGAGAGAAAGTCAACAGCCAAAGTTGTCCTATACGGCACCGGGTCGACGTGAGGAAGGGAATCCTACGCGATGGGACAAGAAAAGAAAAAGAAAAAGAAGGTGTTAGCGTCCGGGGGTTGTGCGGAGGGGTCGAACGTTGATGGCACTATACATGCTACTATCTTATGATTAGCGCCAGGACTATCTCTTCAATATCGCTCAACTGGCCGAGACATCCGCGGGCAGACGCTGGACCTGCGAGGAGAACAGGACGTCGGTGGTCTTCTCAAACATCCATCGAGTCTTCTTGACATCCGCATGTCCGACATGTTATCCTCCGATATCCGACTCAGAAGCAGGCGTTCGAAATGAGTACATATCGCTCTTGAAGGTGCGCGCGGTGTGGATGTAAAAATGTGGTTTGCGACGAACGAACTGGACCAGTCGAGCTGAGAGCAGTGCGGGTGGACGTGTACGAGTGTGATCGTCGCGGAGCCACTCATCCACAAACCCATTCAGGCCATGTTTCATGTTGGCGCTCAAGTGACCCCTGGCCCTGCACCAGCCTGAGCAGGAACGTCAGGTCCCGACTATGTATCCTGGATCCTGTGCACCACAATTATTCCTCGCCGCCCACTGAAAACCGATGCAATATCCATGCGAGCATCTCAGATCAAACAGTGATACGAAAATGGCAGATGCGACGAATAAATAAACGCTATGCCAAACGAGGGACGATGCGAGAACGTAGAGAACTAAGAGACTACGAAGGATTGAGAACACGGAGACATACTATACACGAATATTGTACACAAAGGAAATCCAACACGAACTATGAGAACTTACAGACAAAGTGCCACACCTCGAGTACGTACACTCAGAGAAGGGTGGCGAGGACGGAAGAAGAGTGAATGAAGACTGGGTATAAACTTAGTAGAATCACAAGTCAGAATGCACAACGTAGACAGAAAACCAGACAGAAAACCGGAAGATACAAACGAAGAAAACAGGTTGATTACAAAGCAGGAAACAACTCAAACGAAGATCGGGGAGAGAAGAGAAAAGAAAGAGTCTAAATCGTAAGGTAAAACCTTGTCCGTGGTGGATGCTCGTAACTCGTAACCAACCGTGTCAAAACCGTAATGGCAAATGTCCAATGAACGAATGTAAATGTGGGCGAAGGATGCCCAGTTGAAGGATGGCGGTACCCGATTAGGTGAACAAAGCCGCGTCCAACCCGCGCGAGAAGTCCATCACCACGATCTTCTGATCATGCGAGGTGCTATAAACAGAAAACCACAAATCGTGTCAGCGCCGACTCAACACCGATGAGAGGGGTAATAAAAACTATCACGCACCTCACAATCCTCCGCATATCGAACTTCACATCGAAGATGTGGCTCGAATGTTGATGCTTAAACTCCCTAACCATCTTCCCAGTCCTCATATCCCACAGCTTCACCGTCCGATCATAGCTCGCACTGACCAGCCTTCCACTGGCGGGGTCGAAGGCCAAAGCGCGAACGAGAGCGTCGTGCCCAACGAGGGTCTTCACGCATTCGCCAGTGGAAGCGGACCATATCTTGATCTTACAGTCATTAGAACCGGAGACAATGAGGTCGTCCTGTGGTGAGAAGTCAGTCAATATAGGTCTGTATATCCGTGGAAAAAAGTGCTAACCTTGAATTCGATGCACGCGAGTCCACGGTCGTGGCCCTCAAACGTCGTCAACCGGTTCCCACTGGCAATATCCCAAAGCATCATCTTCCCATCGCCACTCGCACTGACGACCCTGCCGTTCTGAAGCCCGACGGCATTCACGGGCCCTTCGTGCCCGCACAAGGTCCTGTGAAGTTCGAGGGTCTTGCGGTTCCACACCCTGATCACTGCGTCTTTCGAGCTGTTTCGGGAAGATAATTAGTTAGATAGCGACGTTGATGATAGGATGAAGAGGAAGAGGAAGAGGAATGAAACCTACCAGCTCACAATCCAATCCTTGTCTATCCTCAAATCCAAAACTCCACCCATATGTCCCCTCAAGACCGCCTTCACCTCGGCATTCATCACCTTCTCCCCATTCGGACCCTTCTCCGCCCACATATCCCAAACACAGACTGTCCGATCACTGCTCCCGCTAACCATGAATCCTTTCCTTCCCGCACCCGTTAAGTCCTCATCTCCCCACCTAGGCACGTCCCAGTCTTTATCGAACTTAAGACAAAGAACGCTACCCTTGTGGCCTCGGAAAGTGCCCATCAACCTCCCCGTGTCGAGATCCCATACTTTGATAGTTTGATCTCGTGCGCCTGTGACGATCCTTCCACTATCAAACTCAAGACAGTACACAGAGTCTGCATGGCCCGAAAGGCGTGAAGATGTGGGTTCGAAAGACGGCGACGCCCATCGACGATCGAGTTCCAGACGATTGCGGTAAAGTAAGTTCCATGATAGAGAAAGTGGCGTCTGATGTCGAGGGTTCATAGTACGCGTTGAAACGGGAAGTTCGGGTGACCAGGGTGAGATGGCTGGCGTGAGTGATGACGCGCTCTGAGCGGGTGCAGTCGTCACGATGTGATAGTGGAAGTTCGGATTATGAGCGAGAGGGGAGGTTGGTGGTGACGAATGTGGCAGTCTTCGGATGATCGGTCTATGCCCGGGCAGACCCACGCTGTCCGGCGAGGAGTTATGGCGGAGTACGGGCATGATTCTGGGATCTTTCCAACCACGAGCTTTCGCCCGCTCGAGGTCTACTCCCCAACCCTCGCGGCGACAGAAGAGCTCCCGCCATACCGCGTTGTCGTCTGAGAGCGTATGCCACGTCCGGCAGACGGCTTGGCACGCGAGTATGGTCGAGAGATCAAGGTTGCACAATACTTGTACGGCGATTTCGGGGGGAAGATGCGAAAGGATATCTGCATGGAGCATACGGGGAGTCAGCAGGTCGATCGAGGAAGTTCACAGCCAAGTTCGCGAAGCATACCGATCCCGGTGACAGTCGTCCCATCTATGAAGCAAGCCTCGTCGTCGATAAGCTCACCCTCCTCGCCATCAAGAGGTTGGAGGTCTGCGTAGCTGTATCCACCGCCAAGAAAGTATTGGTCTACAGCTGCGGCTTTGCCCTTCGACTTGCGACCAGGGGAAGATATGGCATCCCATAGGCGGGGGAGAAGCGTCTTCCTTGACTTACAGGATGTAAGAGGAGGTCTACAGCCAACGGTGTGGGTGAGACCATAGGTAGAGCCATAAAGGGTATTCCGGCCTCGAGAAGGTGTGAAGAAGGAAGATACGGTGGCACCTCTGTTTCGAGTGAAAGTAGGGGCAGAGGGGAAACTGTCAAGAGGGTCCGGAGAAGGTGGACTGATCATGGAGAAGTCCATGCTGAAGGAGGGCGACGCTGGGCGAGTGACCGTCATGTCGTGTGGCACTGCGACGGGCGCACCATCCACCAAGTCCAAGTCGTCGAGTTGGTCACGAGGGACATTATCGTCCGACGTTGTCAAGAACGGCGAGCCCAACACCGAGCCAAATAATCTGGTGAACTTGGGAGGCGATGACGACGAAGGCTCGGAATCTGTAAGCGGGGAACCCTGACGGGGACGACGTGGGGGACGTGGGCGGGGTAAAGAAGAGAATGGGCCGAGTGGCGGGGAGGTGTTGGAGGACGAGGGGTAAACGTAAGTGGACGTCGAGGGTTGCATAGCGGCGTTGTCGTCTAGTGGGTCGTCCTCGTCGATTCCGTCGTCTCCGGTGTCGTGCTCGCTGTCGTGTGCGTCGTCGACGACCTGGTGGAGGGGATGAGATCTAAGACAAACGGCCGTTTCACGACTTCAACCGGGTTATTTAAGCCCTTACGCTTACCCCATATGGGTGACGTCACGAAGAATGAATAAGTTATCAAATTCCGGGGAAGAGTCTGGCCTAAGCCGTGCTCAACGTCGCGCTCGACAGCGACTACGACCGTGGCTCTTCTCGTCGACAATCATTAACCATGGCACCGCAGGATGATCCAAGAGACCCAGCTCTCGAAACAAAGCTTGTTCCACCGCCGACGTGGGCTCAGGAGTCCCTCGGTATGCCTTCCAACCTCCCTACTGAACTTATGGCATCGTTGACCAACATCGATCCTATGAAGACGGAGCAGGGACCGCAGGCATGATGCTGGCAGCAGCAGGAGTAATGACACGTAACAGGTACGCAGTTCTATCTCTGCTGCTTTGTGTAGTTCAGTAATAATGAAGACATCCTCGTCAACGAACTTTCATACACAGGACTCTCGCATGGCCTGCTTTGCTTTTTGGTATCGGTGCATACATCAACGCACACCCAATCCGCACTAAGGAAGGCTCGAATCCACCCATCGTGAATCTTCTGTGCGTCCTCGTCTTTCGCCCTCAATTGGAAGGATAACTCATAAGTATATATGTTGACTGTTTGCTTCACAGGATGTCGTTCTTCGCGTTGGTGGCTTCCTATCTACCCTTGTTCCTCCAGAGTCCCTCGAAGACTGCTACGCAGACACCTCTGTGAACCCATCACATTCTGACCATACTCCTTAATATTATCGCTGGTTTGGAATCCTGACTAGACCCGCAGCCCTGCCTGGTTGTCATGCGCCTCGGAAACACACTGGAACGAGTACTACGAACTTGGTAATACTGTTGAAGACTCGATGCTTGCATTCGGGTCGATTGTCTCTTCATTTTTAACAAGGCTGGCATCATAGCAACGATTCACGAATTGCCTGTGCGGTGAATTCTGAGTGTCTTCGTCCATTCCTTCTCGACTGAAGTTGACACTAAAGGCGTTGGAGGATATTGTCAACTCGGTTATGTATATACTGCCAGATCCGGTAGGTCCTTTGTGATATACAACTTGAGCAGGAGTACCCTAGCAAGTTCGGGAAGGGGAATTAGATTCAGATGAGCACCATTTTGTTGATTGTTGGGGGGATGTGTACTCTCAACAAAGCGCAGCCAACTTCAGAGCCTGGGGAGGCCATAGAGGGATTGAATGAGGATCTAGACAGAGCAGAGAAGCAGACGATCCGCGCGATACAATTAGCATCAAGCCCCGAATCTAAGTACAATAGACGAAAACAAGCAGAACACCTTCACAGTAAGTTATGTACCATGCGTGCATAAAAAAGAGTGTTCAGCGTTCAATCGGCAGTACTCGAAGGTTTCGAAGACCAGGAAGAAAGTGGGGAAAAAACCCGAAAGTAAGAAGAAGCTCAAATAGGGAAAAAATAGCAGGAGGGGGAAACACGGCCGGAAGAAGAAAAAAATATAATAGATGATACAGACGACAAATCCAGTTTGCTCGAGTCGTTTGGACGAAACATGCAGGGTGGTAGACAATATTGAAGTATGCACGACACACAAGATGCGACGAGTTGGGCAGATCATAGACTAGACGAGGGCGGAAACCGAAAGCAGAAGCAGAAGCAGGGTGGACCGACGTGAATGACGAAAACGAGACGAGACGGGTATGGACGTGCGAATACATAGTTGAGGGTGAGGACAATGCTGATAATGTGCGATCGAGTCTCGACGGAAGAATGTGCTGGGTAAAGGGAGGAGCAGTCGAAGGATAGTATGTTAGTTGAGGTAACCACGACATCTGGCAGAACCGCAGAGACATGGGATTTTGTCCTGCTCAATAGGGAAGTGATAGTCTGACGACGCAAGGATAAGCAACGAGAAGAACATGGAACAAGCGTGAAGGCATACGCACCATAAGTGATCTCGTCGCCCAGCTCGATGTCCTGCTTGGCATAAATGACGATCTTCTTCTCACCGAGGATAGTGATGATCTTCGCGGTACAGTTAGGGTCGCAAGAATGGTTAATTAACCGTCTGAAAAGCGAAACAAACACAGCCCAAATCAGTCCTCGCCCTGATACAGGAACACAGTGAAAAAAGAAATCAAACGCACCCAAGGTTTCCTTTCTTCGTAGCATCCACCACCAAATCCTCATCAATCCTAAACAAATAACTGCTCCCAATCCCCTGCCTCTCATACGCCTTCTCCCTCTTATCCGCAATCTGCGCCCTAATCACCTCTCCCACATACTCAATGACCATCTCCCCCCTCGCGATCCTCTCCATCGCATACAGCCCCCAATCGTGTATAGGCGACCGCGCGAACCGTAGGTGCTTCTTCCTCGTCTGCAGCTGGTTAAACTTGATCGTCAACTCCGCCGCGGCAGTCTCGCCCTTCGACAACGCCATCGCCCTCTGGACCTGGTTGATCTCCTCCAAACCTTGCGCCTGCCTACGAGCATTGGCACGGTTCGAGCGCGAGGAAGTCATGGTCTGTTTCGGCTGGTGGGGCTGGTTCTCCTCGACGGCATCTGTTGCTGAGGAACGCGAGGCGTATTGTGCGACGTAGGCGGATTTCTCGGCATGAGAGATCTTGTAGTAGCCCTCGGTACGCGCGGAGCCAGTAGTGTGAACTCGGAAAGGAGGAGGGGCATCGGGGTCTGATTCAGGTGGGGCAGGTGGAAGACGGTCTGGAAGATCAATGCCCATATCCTCGGCGAGGGCCAGCCGAGCATAATACATATCTTCGTCATCGTTGCATAGACCGAGTTTGATAGGATCGAGCGAAGGACTCGGTTTCTGTGCGGACGTGGGTGTACGTAAAGGCGAAGACGGGCGCGTAGAGGGCGGCGAAAGAGACGAGGCAGGTGTGATCTGGGCCACGGCGGGGGCAGTGAACTCCAAAGGTTCGGGGATGATGACCTCTTGGACAGTATCTTCGGTGACGATAGTTGGCTTGACCTTTCGACTCCCCTTTTTCGGTTTCTTCTCCTTCTGCACAGGAAGAGAAACACCGCCCTCGACCTTCAACTTCTTCTTCGCTGGCTCTTCTGCCTCGTCTCGCTCTACCGACGGCCTCTTATGCTCCTCCAGCACAATCGTCTCGACCACAGCAGGAGCAGAAACAGGGGTGGACACAGGAAGCGCGCTGGGAGCTGGGATGTCGTCCTCCGATTCGATATCCTCGTCTGCCACCCTCCTCGCCTCAGCCCTCCTCGCAGCCTCCTCTTCTTCTGCCCTCTTCCTCGCTTCCTCCTCCACATCCTTCTTTCTCTTCTTGACCGGCCTGTCAGCCACCGCCTCCACTTGCTTCTCCACCTTCTCTTCCTCCTTCACCTCGCTCACAGCCGTCGACGCCTCCGCCTCCACCTCCGGCACCTCCTCCACAGGTTTCACAACCACCGCGGCCTCTTCTCTCACCCTCTTACTCTGCTTCTTAAACGACAACCCCTTCAAATTCCTTGTCGCAAACGCCGCCGTCCCATCCTCCGCGACACCCTCCCTCGACCTAGCAATACTGACCACAACCTTTCTTGGTTTCGCCGCCAACTTCTTCACCCTAGCTCCAACCATCTTCTCCATGATATCCATCTCCAAAAGCTGTTTCAACTCCTTCGTGATAATCTGACCCGCCTGTTCAACGAGCTCCTCGTCCGTCCACGTTGTCTTGCTGCTGGAGCCAGAAAGTCCCGGGGCGAGGGCGGCAGAAGATGATAAGGACGTGGATGAGGCTGATGTGGGCGCGGGGTGGATGGAGAGTGTGACGGGGCGGTGGGCGAGGGTTCGGTTGCCTGCGTTAAGTACCATGGCGGCACGCCGGGCTGTGTCGCTCGTTTCGAAGCAGACATACCAACCAAGGTGGTCTTGTAGGACCTGTCGTGGTCACGTAATGTGTCAGTACGGCACAAAGGACGAAAAAGGCCGACAAGGGCCCAAACAGAGAAAAACAATGCAAATACGATGGCAACGACACGGCGCCGTTGCCGCGTGGTGCATTGTCCGTCGTTTTTGTCCTTCCCCTTGTAGATACAAATAGAAGTCGAAGATCAATGCGCACCTTATCGACTTTGAAATCCCGAAAGAAAACCTTCACGTCCTCTTCCCTGACCGAACCCCCCGACTGTCCGCCCACACCTTCCAACTTCACGTAATCATGCCCATTCTGTCTCAACGCATCCATCACGATCTCTCTCTGTCTCGCCTGTGCCGCCATCTTACTCGACATGCCCGGCATCCTTGAAACAGGCGACGGGGACCTCTCTTCGTCCTTCCGACTCGCGGGACTAGCCTCATAATGGTCTTCGTCGCGAACATAGCGAAATGAGGTCCGGCCCCGAGTCGGCTGGGGCGTCGAAGAGGACGAATTGGAATGGTGGTGAGTGGGCCGTGAAGACTGGGAGTATTGGTCTCGATGGTTCTCGTGTCGTGTCGGACGACTAGGCGCTGTGGACTTCGCGCTCATAATACGTGCACGGACGAGCGAAGGGGGCGGTCGACGAACTCTTGGAGCCGCCATGGGCTGAAGCGGACCAGACGCCGTTGCATCCGGAATCTGTGAAGCATTCGGAGTCGGAGGCCTCGGTGGAAGACTGGCAGGGAGTGCGGGCAAAGTCGAAGTGCTAGCATGAGGTTGTGGGGTCGCCGTGAATCCGGGTGGCATGGGAAGAGGCGTACGACCGTGCAAAAATTGTGCGAAAGGATTGGCCGATCGCCAGGGGTTGGTAGCAGGGGCAGATGTCGATTGTGGTGTTGTGCCCATAGGCGTCCTGCTCGATGCGCTGTTTGGCGTCGCTCGTGAATTGTTCGTGGTCATATCCTTCTCTTCCCTCTCTTTTCTCCGCTGCGCATCGACCGCCCTTCGCTTCCTAGCCTCCATCTCCTTCATCAACGCTCTCATCACCTTGCCCTCTCCATCAAGCACAACCTTAATCCCCTCTGACCCTTTTCCAACGCTGTTATTGTTGTTGGCCAAAATAACACCGTCGGTACTGAGCTTCTTCCCGTTCTCTTTCTGAGCACACCGTCGAGCCTCCTCGTGAGTCGAGAAGCGAATGTGAACGATACCGAGAGCACCGCCCAGTCGGTCGATTTGAGGGTCGTAACCGACGATTGGCCCGTACACAGAAAAATGTTGCTGGATTTTCTGGTTCGGCATTAGAGTAGGAAGGTTCGTGACGAGTACTGCTGTAGGCGGTGCTGGTCCCGTAGAGTGATCGTCGTACTAAGACAATCAAAATTCGTGAGTATCGCCAGATTGGTACTAAAACGCGAAAATGAACATACCTCCCACTTGACCTCGTACATTGTCGACCTCAACGCCCGTACTGTTCCTGATCTCTTGATTGTTTCGCCTGTAGTAGACTTTCTCGGATCCCGCACAATAGGCTCGGGCTCGCCAGGAACGGTCTCTCCAGCAAAACGCGTCAAAATTTCCTTCCCTTTTCCCTTCCCTTTTATTCTCTGCTCATCCGAACTGCCTGACCCAGCCTTCCTCACAATTTCGATGATCGGGCTCCAATACGATTCTGTCTTCCTATCCGTCATAAAATCGTAAAGAACCTTGAAATCTTTGCCTGGCGGGTATTCGTCTCGCGAAGGAGGCCATGGAGGTAATGGAGGTAACGAGTACGTTTTCGGTGGTGATGGAGGTCGTGGTGGAGGTGTGAGCGGCCGTGAGTTTGGAGGAGGGTATGGAGGCGGGTGGAATTGCTGTGACGAGCGAGGAAACTGTGGGATATGGCTTCGCGGGTGAGATGGAAGTGATGATGGAGGTGCGTGCTGAGGAGGTGGGTAGTACGTTTGATTTGGTTGAGGGGGTTGTCGTGGGTCGAACGATTGCCAGGGAGCGTTCGGGCCAGGTGGAGGTGGTGGTGGATAACCGAACGATGGTGGCTGAGGAGGGGCGTCATATGGAGGAGGTGGGGGAGGGATTAGATCTGATGGAGGTGGCGGTGGAGGAGGTTCTATCGACGGAGGGGGTGGAGGGGGTGGTTCGGTGCTTGGTGGCGGTGGCGGAGGCGGGTCATTTATTGGAGGAGGTGGAGGGGGAGGTTCTGTCGTCGGAGGCGGGGGCGGCGGGGGTTCTGACGTTGGTGGCGGTGGCGGCGGTGGTTCTTCTGTGGGTGGAGGTGGAGGTGGTGGTTCCGTCGCGGGCGGGGGTGGCGGTGGCGGGTCATACGAAGGTTGTGGCGGGACGAAGTTTCGTGGAGCAGTAGGAATTGCTGGCTGCGAAATTGTCGCAAAGCTGGAAGACCAGCCGCCAGGACCCGTCTGACGTCCGTTCAGCGCAGGCTGCGCGAGATTGAGCGTGCGATTGACAGGGCTCCTGTTCGACGGCCCAGGATCGCGAGACTAAGTCAAAGGCGCGTCTAATGTCAATATACGCGTCCTTCACACGCAAAATATCGCGAAAATTTGGACATACTGTGCTTGCGAGTGCTTGGTTGCTCCACTTGATGTCCAGTTTCTTTTGCGCTGCTGGTTTGGCGTGCGCGCCATTGGGCGCTGTGGATATTGGGGGCGAAGGCCCATTCGCCTTGGGCGGCGGACTTGACGCGAGCGGGTTGTGTCCATTCAAGAGAGGTTTCCCACTGCCAATCTTCCCGTTCAAGCCTCCTGCCTTGCTCGTCGATGCCTGCGGCTGGGACATTTGAGGGCCATTGGTGAGACTTCGAGGGCCGGTCGGCGGCGCCTTGTCTCGACGGCTGTTCTGAGCAGTGGCAGAGGTAGAGGACGATGGCGGGGGAGCGGCAGGGAGCGGCGGGTTCAAGAGTGCTCTTGGCCCTCGCGGAGGAGCCTTGCCCGACATCGCGGTCGTCGTTGTAGATGTGATTCGTCGTTGCCGTCAGGCTCGTCGCCGTCGTCGCTATCGACGTCGACGGTGCAGAGCGAGAGAGCGTGCTGGTCCGTGTTGTGGCTTGTTTGCGACGCTCGTCGTTGATCGTGAGATGGCGGCGGCGGCAATCCCCTGTTCCTTTTGTCCTCCTTCTTCCCTCTCCAGCGCGACAAGATGGCGCAGCTTGACACGTCTCTCACTCTCTTGCTCCATATTACAAAATGCGGCGATGTTCTCATTTGGTTTCTGATTTTTTGAACAATTTTCGCGCTTTTTGTCTCGTCTGGCAGCGCGGGCTCGAAGGGGCTGGCAGTTCGCGGTGAGCAACCCATTCACAGCCCGCATCGCATGTGCTTGAGCGCCTGGCCTGGCACGCTCCCGCTCTCCGGTGAGACGTGTGTCACGTCCACTTCCCATCTGGTGTGTACGGAACGTCCTTTCTCGGCTTTCTGGGGTGGTCGACGTCTCGCCCTGGCTTCCCTGACACTCCCGGCGTCACTTGGCTACCACCTACTTCGTGCAACTTCGTCTTGTTTTCTCTCTTGTGCTGTATTTGGTGATTTTTTCTGGGCCTTCTGAAAAGTGGCCCGGAAATCGCACATTATCTCTGGGGCTGACATTCATCTGAAGAGGCGGCATCGGATGGGATCTATGTATATCCGCGTGGAATGAGGCGCAGGGGGTTGTATGGAATGAGGCGAAGGAGGGAGTCAGCTGCGCGGTTTGGTGATACGTGTAGGCCGCGTGGAGGCGGGCGCCTTGTCTTCGTGCACTCCGTTGCGCGAGACGGCTCTGTACTCGAGTGCGTAGACTTGTTCCTCATCCTTTGCGGTCGATACGATATTCACGGTCTTTGTTTTTCTCTGGCAGATAACCGCCCTTACCCTATGATTCAATCTAGTTGCCACGTGTACCACGTAGCGAGAGTGTGTCGGAACGGTGCAGGTGTGAGAGATTCAGAACACTGCGAAGGGTCCACCGAGTGTGGCTCCTGGGTCTTTGGTGTAGTTGGAAGAGAGAACACGGTAACTAGGGACCCGGTCTTGCAATGAAGCGTAAAAGGGGGTGAGTGGCGGCATCGGCTGCGTCGCGTATTTATGGGAAGAAAGGAGAATATCTCTGAGAGTAGAGACATGGTCAAGCTGTGGTTTTTGTTCATGTACCTAGCCTCCGTACACGCAAAAGATTTTGCAATAATTTTCCCGTGCGACCAGACTGCAAGTACTTGTGTGGAGTGTATCAGCATGTTTGAGGTCGTGTCGGACTCGGAAGACAAGCAACGCGTTCGGAACGGAACGGATGGCAGGATTCCAGTTCACGCAACAACCAACGTTAACGTTCATCTCTCATCGACCACTACGACGAAGACTGTGTTCTGTTCTCGACTCTCTGGTTGCTCGAGCTTGACTAGTCGCTCTGTTTATGACCATGTGGACGATTCTTACATGCCCGCGTCCAGGCTGAGGAATCTGGATAAATTGTACCAGTTCAACTCCTCGATGACAGAATGGCGACCACGCACAACCTTCAGCTAGTATTTCAATCTCAATCACTGCCATCAACGCTGCTGAGACTAGTACTGGTGACCCAGTCTCGGCGGACTCATGCACCTCACAATTTAGCAACGGACCTCCTTGACCTTCCTGGCATCTCCAATATGGACGATACTTCTAGTGACTTGTCGAGATAAGGCTGGCCGTTTTGTGATTCTCGGTCGGGGTGCACTCTTATAAAGTAAGTAGTCTCTTGCAATTCATTATGATTTCGTTCTATACATAATTTGCATGACAATCCTCGCGAAATATAAACACATCGCCTACAACGTCCTCCTCGTCCATTGCCCTATGTGCCAGCACAAAGGCCTAGATTTCACCCCAAACCTTTTCTGCTGCTGCTTCGTATTACACCAATCTGCCTTCCATGCCAGAACGTGAAGGAACCCGTATCTTCAGAACCCAACAACCCCACCCCTCATCCTCTCCATCTGCTTCGCCTTCGCCTTCCCCCTCGGCAACTTCCCATGCTTCCCCTCCCTCAGATGTCTCTTCAGCGCATCCCTCCTCGAGAACGTCGTCCCGCAACCTTCGTGGCCGCACATGATCCCCGGTACCGCTATACTGTCCTCGCTGGGATGTACCGTCTGGACGTGGCGACGAAAGTCGAGTTCGCGTTTGATTGATGCGCCGCAGGGGCAGAGCCATCTTCCGTCTGGACGTTGAGTGGTGGAGATATGATGGGGAGTATGGGTGAAAGAGAAGTTTGAGGAGGATTCGGGGGAGGTGAAGGTCGAGGTTGAGGCGGATGTGGATGGAGAGAAGGGGGAGGTCGAAACGGAGGACGGAGAGCTGGTGTATGAGGGGGTAAATTGCGTCGTGAACCTGCCGGTGTTCGATATTAGCCATAGAAAACGTTCGGTGGAGAGGTGAAGTTTACATCTCGCCGACGTCTAGTCGTGTCTTTACTCCCTCTGCATCAATCTCTTCAATCATGATCTCACCTCCTCGGGATGCGTGCCCACCAATCTGGTGAGCGCCACCTAAGTTCGACACAGTGGGTGTCGGCTGCCCGAAATCCTGATAATCACGCTCGGTGAATGGGTCGGATGTTGTTACGGGACGGGGGAACGTCGACGACGAATGACCTGTACTGAGAGAGCGGTAATGAGACAGCTGGGCCCACAATTCCGGGAAGAGGAATTCTTCAAGGGCTTCGTCCGAAGAATCTCGCGGAAGATCCAGTTCGGACGAAGAATTATCTTTCGTGCTCGGAAGTCCGCAGTCTACTTCGTCGACGGCATAGTGGGGCCCAAAGAGCGAAGATGTATGGTACGGAAGGGGCAAGACCTGTTGAATGTTGGGGACCTAAGGAGTATGCATCAGAAACTAAGTGATGGTTGAACCGGTAACATATACGATGAACACTTACCTGCTGCAGCTCATGGAGCGAGTCTAGGTCGTTTGGGCCATATAAATTATGTGCAAGTCCAATAGTGTCTGAAGTATGCTGTGAAGGCGTTAGTACCGGAAGAAATAAATAAAGAATGTGCAGAGACTTACAGCATGGCTGCCCGGAGTCGGGAAGCCATACCCTGGAAGATGAGGTCCGCCAGTAGAAATATCCGTCGTGGATGGGGCAAGTGGCACATATAATCCTGAGCCCTGCTGCATCGCGTCTTGGTTGGCACTGGGGTTTGGTGGATCTTGGCTGAAATGTGGAAATTCCCTAGAAAGAGCATAAGGTCGTTCATAGCTATGGACAAAAGTTGACCTCTCCGTATATCCGTGAACGGAGGGAGCAAAGTCGGCGGACTGGGTCCAAGTCGAGTTAAAGTAATTGGTGTCCATGAAGTCTGAGTGTGTGTGGAACAGAGTGGGTGGTGATGCTTCAGTAGCTCGCAGAGAGAGAGGCGGCTGAAAAGTTGGGGGGAAAAGTAAACGTCTTGCCCTCCCCTCCCTCTCCTCTCCCTTTCTTATACCCCCAGCCCACCTCGCCAAATAACCAAATCATCGCCCCATGCATTCCGACCCGTCACTCTCGACCAATCGCGTCCTCCAAAGCTCGTCAAATGCACCTCCAGTCCAGACGTTTTAATGTCTGAAAATCGAGCGATATTCGAGTGTGAGAGTCTCTCCTTCCTAGTTGGGAACACGAGGCTGGTTTCGCTCCATATCGGGAGAAACTGATAGTGGGTTGGCTAAATCGGGAGAAACTGATTAGAGAACATGAGGCAGGGCGGTGGACGCTCGGTGGCGGAATTGATCTGAGGCCGTTGGAGTGAAAGGAGCAAGAGTCCGAGAGGGTCCTTGGTTTGTCAAGATGTTGACGAAGAGCATGAACGGCGAACGCTTCTAATTACAGCTAAGGTGCCGTTTCCTAGTCTCCCAATTTAAATGCAGAGTACACGGGATTTTCAACCGGGCAAGCGAGGATCATACCAATTGCAGAACAATGCGCCGAGCAAGTTGTCGACAGTGGACATCCGATAAAGGGACGATTTCCTTTCCCAAAGATACTAGAAGGCTTCACGTCGACTAAGTAAAATCAGACACAGAAGACAAGCGGACTCAGCGAAGTCGCAAATAAATCGCAGACTCGGAGGCGTTGTTCGTTCCGGGAATGTTATGAGCGTTGACTTTAGTAGGACGAGAGTCGAAATGATTGGCCCATGCAGCATGACAGAGCAGCGTTAATCGTCGCGAACCTGACCATTTAAGGCTCAGGTGGAAAAGGTTGTCTTCGCTAGCTGTTTTACCAAGACGAGAAGTGTGATGGTCAATAAGGAGGATGAGAGAAAGTCGTCGTCAGAAATGGAGTGTGGCGGTGGCACAACCGCATGGCATCGGCCGGGACAAGGCGAAATCGTCTCAACGCAGAATTTGTTCTCTTGACCTTCAGAGACTCAGAGCTACTATTTCGCATTCTTCCTCTACTTGGAGAACTTAGCCCACTCATTAGGCAGTCAAAAAGGGGTAAAGATGCCTTCAATCCCCGTCTCTTCCCAAATATTCGACCTTGCTTTCCATCCAACTTCGTCTCTTGTTTATACTGGTCTCCTCAACGGCGAAATCAAAGCGTTCAGCTACGACGAGCAAGGACAACACGAAACAAAATTTTCTCTCAGACCGTCAAAGCGCTCGTGTAGAGGGCTGGCTACGAGCGAGGATGGCAGTAAACTGTGGGCCGTAGGGAAAGCGAAGAGTATATTGTGCGTTGAGTTTCTTTCTAGACCATGCGCGGCAATAGGCTGACTGCGTTGAAGTACTGTTGACACAGAAACAGGTGACCTAGTGGATACTAGGGCTGTAGTGCATGAGTGAGTTCTATGATTTGAACGTTTACTCGACCGTGTTGTCCTCGGTATATATTGACATACCTAGTGATTGAAAAGCGCACCTATCAATCGCGTGAAATGCTTGTTACCAAATCTACTCGCCACTGGGGACGACGACGGGGTCATCAAAGTATGCAGTCATTCGTCCTACGCAATAACCCCTCTGCTCATTGCTTCATGTGTCCTCAGCTATGGGATCCTCGAAAACCCGAATCAATAACAACATACACTCAACATTTCGACTTCATATCAGACTTCCTATGGTTAGCGGACAAAAAGCAACTCGTCGCTACTAGGTAAAACCAGCCTCGCATCATTCTCTGGTATCTCGATTAACCGGCGCTCACCTTCTCTCAGTGGTGACGGTACGCTTTCAGTAATGGACGTTCGATCGAAGAAAACAGAACCATTTGCGCACTCTGAGGATCAAGAGGACGAATTGCTTTCCATCGTTCCGATAAAAGGGTGGGTACCGTCTATACCTTTTCTACTTCGTTTCCCGGGGCATTGACCTTTGGCTTGTCGTTGCATCATCAGCGGGACCAAAGTTGTCGTTGGGACGCAACTGGGCATACTGTCCATCTTCAATCGCAAGTCCGGCTGGGGTGACTGCGTCGATCGCGTCCCTGGGTATGTCTTCTCTTGTACTGCGCCTGAAAAACTACCTACTCAGCTTTGACGTTGGTTTCATCGACCAGACATCCGCATTCAATTGACGCCCTCTGCGCTCTCCCTTCATCCTACCCCTCGTCGCATAGCACCATCCTAACAGGATCCTCCGATGGCCTCATACGTGCTGTTCAATTGCTACCAACAAAACTGCTTGGCGTCATAGCAGACCACGGAGAGTTTCCGATAGAGCGAATAGAAATAGACAGGGCGGGAGAGGGGAGATGGGTCGGGAGCGTAGGGCACGATGAAGTCTTAAGGTTAACGGATCTCAAAGATGTGTTTGAGGACGAGGACGAGGCTGACCAGGACGAGAACGCAAAGTCGGAGGTCAGTGGAGATCGGGACAGTGACGAAGAGGAGGCTGTAGGACTGGAAGCTGGGGAAAAGATGAAAGGGAAGGAGGCTCGGGAAGGATTGGAAGATGATGACGAGGAGGCTGATGGAGAGGCTGATGCGGGTGTAGTGGAGTCAGCAGCAGACAAATCGGCAGACGAGGATTCGGATGTGCCGAAGGAGAAAAAGAAGCGAGGAAAGAAGCCAAAAGACGAGTTACAGGGTAGGAAGAAGCAGAAGGGCAAGAACGAGCTTGTCATGGATCCTGGCTTTTTCTCGGGGTTGTGACCTCGCACGATATGTATGTTTGTCCAAGGGGTTCACATTCAGACAATCCATAATTGGCAAGCTACATCACCATTCCCAGTTTTCGGGATCAGTTGAATGAATTTCTCGCAGGCGGGCGGTTGCTATCTTCGAGCTCGATGACTAGACACCATCATGCCAGAACCGCGTTCGAGCGGTGTAACAAACGACGCGATATAAACGACTACAGTTACAGTTGAGTAGTCTACGAGTTACGACATGGAGACCCCGACGAATCCAAGAAATTCCGATAACACAACGCAATCCATGACCCGAATACACCAAGAGGGACGAGAAGGACAAAAGTGGCGACGTAAAGGAGGCTGTTCGATCCACAACATAGCAATATAGCTGAAAGACGAAAAACATAGCACGAACGAGTAAGCAAACTAGTACAGACAAGCTAGTACAGATCATGATCTGAATACAACACTAGGTGAGTACAATTGAATTGAGGAAAGATAGCATCTTCATCCTCCATGTTGAGGAGTCTCGAAGGACACTCGGAGAGTATCGCGCCAACGGCCCAGGCCACCATCAATGACAGATGGGCTCATCATGACCCCATAGGCCAGCGTACCGCCGAGACTCAAGGTCTCGAGGGGTGAAGTGGGCTGGTTGAATCTGTGGCGTAGCATGGATATGAACTGCTGGTATGACCCCCTCATCTGCGGCGGCCAGAGTTCGTGAACGTCAGAAACACGTAGATGACGAAGTGCTGGGAATATGAGTGTTCCTTCGTGGGGCCCAAGGCCGGTGAGGACCTGAGTGTGGGCCAGATCCTTGAAGTCGGTGTAGGTGAGGTCACGGACGCGCCTCAAGTGCTCGAGACTGGTGAATAAGGTCTCGTCACTGACCCCTCCGACGTCCGTCAAGATGGTTAGTTTTTCCACTGAGTTCAGCGGAAGGCCTTGGGCGACGAGCTGGATCACGTCCGACTGAGGGTCTCCATTGTTGTGGAGCAACCGAAGGGAGAATCGGTGGCGATTATCAAGGCTACGGCAGCCCCAAGACATAAGGTTACGATGGATGACAATGGACAGCTCCACGAAAGGTCCGTAAGAAGTTCGTAAGACGCCGTTGGGAGACGCTAGGATGTTGATGAGATCGCGGACATGGGAGGTGCGGGAGAATGGTATGGTTGAATCAAGTGAAAGGTTGGTCAAGGAGGGTAACGTGAAGCCTTCGAACAACTGAACCCAGCTAGCGGGTGTTCCGCACGATAGATAAATGGAGGTGAGATGGTCCATTGTCAAGGGCGGAGGCATGGATACCGTGGGCGGCCTGCCAGTATCGATCCAATAGGATAGGCGAAGACTTTCGAGCTCTGGCGATTCGGTAAGAAATTGGCGTAGCAATGTGGCATCTAGGTCTGCAGTGTCGTCACCGCCATCCAAGACGCCACCCCTGAGCGCGAGATGCGTAAGGTGAGGGAGTGAAATGGGCTGGGAGAGTCCGCTAAAGTAGCACCCGGTAAGATATAGCTTGCGTAGTGTCGGGGCATGCAATGCAATAAGACGCCCGGGCAGGACATGGTGAGGACCGATTCCGCCGATCGCGTGAATGTCCAGTGTTTTGAGACACCGCGGCCTAACCAAGGCATTGGCGACGGTCGTAAGGGAGTCTTTCCCTGCAGTTAAGCGGATGTTGACGATCTGAGAGGGATGTGTGGTGATGAACTTTTCTAGAGCCAAGAAACCCTGTTGGTGGGGAAGCGATTGGTATGGTTTCGAAGACAGGTCAAAATCGACTGTGACAGGCAAAGGGTGGCAGCGCTTGGCCATTATGTCCATCCACATACGGCTTGGAATCCCGTGGATATGTGTCCAAAGCATTTTTGCGCCGAGGGCGGCACGCCTCCAGCGTCGACAGACTTGTGTGACAGCAATCCAAGGAAGCTGGACTTGCTGAAACGAGGGCAGTTGACGGTCAGGAAACTCTGCAACGTCAACGTATCGCCACGATGATCCACTGCGGAACATGGGACTCCCAATGACACTAGGAAAGACGTGAATGCCAGAGTGTAGTACGCGTCGAGCGGGATCGTCCAAGAAAGACGAAACATTCTCGTCGTCCGCGCTGGTCCGCCCTAAGCTGTCTGCGGCCGAGTCGTCGCAAAACCAAAAGACCCTCGTGAGCAGCTCGTCTGGAAGGCGAGAGATGGGGGAGAAAGCATTTCGGCCCTCCAAGAGGTACATGGTGGCTGCACGAAGATCCTCGACCTCCTTGTCAATGAGGTGGCGGACCTCGAGGGCTGTTTTCGGCGTCGCTGTTGCGACGAGATCATGGAGCCGCTTGGACCATTGACAAACATTCAGCGAGCCCCTTTCCCTTTCAAGCTCGCTGCAGTGAGGTTAAACGCGAAGAGAAACAAATAAGATCATAGTTGTGCAGAACATACGACGCGTAAGTATGACGTGCCTTGTGATAGAATTTGAGCCTGCCGGTTGCTCATCAACGGCTACAGTACTCTGAGTACTAGTAGGGACGGAATCCATCTACCCAAGAAGTATGAAAAAAAAATCTAGGTTGTGAAAGTGAGCCACTGACCTCGAGAGAGTTGTGGACGTCGTATGAACGACTCAGGGGCCGAATTTGCTTCCGTCTCACATTGCTTGTCCCTGTTTGGCGCCTCGATGATTATGGCAGAGCTGAGTTTCAATTGCCCGACGACTTGAACGCGGCGCTGAACCAAGTTGTCTCTCTACCTCTGCTCTGCACTCTCACCGAGAACATATTCTTGTCTATTGACACCCCGGTACAGAAGTTCATACTTGATCTTGACCATTCTTTCTCGACTGTGTCCACCGCGTGCTGATCCCGTGATCCCGTCTTATCTTGCCATTCAGGAGCTTTCAACTTCTTGCTTCCTATCAATGGGCAGTGCTCAAGAGGGAAACCAGATGGCAAAGCCTGAAATCTGGGACGAAAAACGTAGGCGCTATGAAGAATTAAAGGCTCAAGATGAAGAGCTTTTTCGCCTCCTCAACGAGAGCAGCCTCCTTCCTATTAGTAGTAGTCGTGACCGTGATGGCCCCATTACTCGCGCGCTATTCTATGTAGCATGCGCCTTGCTTTCCATGTCGTGTGTTGCGATGGTTTTCATTCTTTGGTCAATCGTGTCCCCTGCTCTTTGGGAGACGAACGACACGACGGAACTTTGCCCTCAAGTCGCTGCGTTATACCCTACCAAGCACCAGGCTATCTACCAGGACCTGGTCGACACTTACTTCGACACCGACTCCTTCAAGGATTATATCATCGACACGGTGAGTCAGTGGAACATCCACATAATTACTCGCACTGAATGGTCCATCCAACGGTAGATGAGTGGCGCAGTCAAGATTGAGTATGTCTTGCCTCCGATCGAATATCATAGTCACACTGACACCTTGGTAGAACTGAATCGTACGACAACATGGATGAAGTCGGTACTGATCCTCGATGGGAGAAGTTCACTGGATTCCACAACTATCTGTTGGAAACTTTTCCCACTATGTGAGGCTCTCAACTTCCTCACTGCAGAGTTCTCAACTCATAGCCCTGTATCTAGCCACTCGAGTCTGATCCTCACCAAAGTCAACACGTATGGGCTTGTCTACCACTGGCAAGGCTCCGACAATAGTCTCAAACCCATTCTGATGGCGGCTCATCAAGGTGATACGCTTCCCCCAACGATCATACTTCTATTCTTGTGACGGAACTCGCTGACACAGGGTCCGCCTTTTGCCCTATACTCTCCAGATGTGGTCCCGGTGCATCCCGATACCGTCAGCGACTGGACTCACCCTCCTTATTCCGGCTATTTTGATGGTAAAGATGGTTGCCTATACAAATTGTTTTCTACTTAATATCTGCGTATATCAGGAGAATCTCTGTGGGGACGTGGAACCATGGACGACAAGAGCGGCCTGATTAGTCTCATGTGAGGGGATAATTTCATGTGTTGTTGTGGTCGCTAAAACGGACTTTCAGGACTACCGTCGAAGCACTTCTGCAGCGCGATTACAAGCCAACTCGCACAGTTGTCCTCGCCTTCGGGTTCGACGAAGAGTCCGGTGGGACCTACGTGAGCTCAACTTGTTTGCTCCGCAAAGCCTTGACTAATTCCCGGTCTCAAGGGCGCCCAACATATCAGCAAGTATCTCCTGAGCACCTACGGCGAGAACGGATTCGCATTGATCGTCGATGAGGGCGGTAAGTGCAGTATACAGGTTGCCCAATTTCAACCGCTGATCTGGGAGGGTTGTAGGAGGATTCTCTCAGAGTTACGGTTCTACCATAGCTTCAATCGGTACAGGCGAGAAGGGTTCCTTCAACTCCCGGATCGACATTGCCTCTCCGGGTGGTCATTCCAGTGTTCCACCTCCGCATACGGTATGATTCGTCCTCGTCACAAGCCACCGATCTGACGTGAACTTCTCTCCCATCCAGAGTATTGGCATGCTAGCTGCTATCCTGGTCGAGTTCGAGTCCAACCCCTTTGAACCCCGTCTTGCTCGCTCTAGTCCGGTCTACGATACCATCCAGTGCACTGCAGCACATGCAAAATCTATCGCACCTGGTCTTCGCAAGCTCATCAAAAAGTCTGCTTTCTGCGACGGTGCTTTGAGGAAGCTGGAGAAGACCTTGGCGGAGGACATCAATATGAGGGCGTTGTTCGGGACTACCCAGGCGATCGACATCATCCAGGGAGGTGTAAAGAGTGCGATTATTCTCCTCTCGATCGTTGTGCATGTTACTCATGAAAAGTTCAGCGAACGCTTTGCCTGAGCAGGCCTACGCAATTGTGAACCATCGGATTGCCACTGACAGGCGAGTCATATCTCGCTTGGTCGTCGCGTTCCGACTAACACGACGTTCTGCAGCTCGGTGGCATCCACGCAGCAACGTGATGTCGACCTTCTCAAGCCGCTCGCCCAAAGGTTTAACTTGAGCTATGTCGCCTTCGGAAACCCGGTCACTCCCAGGGGTGAACATGCCTACGGAACACTTACGCTGTCGACCAGCTCCACCCTCGAGCCCGCACCCATCACTCCTAGTGACGGAGCACCGTATCGTATCCTGAGTGGCTCTGTTAAGGCCACGTACGACAGTCACAGGAATGTCGAAGGCTCCGATGGACTCGTTGTTAGTCCAGGGATCATGACTGGTAATACCGGTACGCATCATCACTATCACCGCATCTCACCTGTGTATCCGTGCATTGACCGTTTCGACCAATATGACACACAGATACGAAATACTATTGGGGCTTGACTGAGCATATTTTTCGTTACGGGCACTGGAACGCGGGCAACACCACCCTTCTAGGTCATGGCGTGCACACCGTGAACGAAAGTGCGTTCATCTCTTTTGTGCTCTTTCTTCTGGGATCTACATTTGTTAAACCTGCCCTCTGATAGACATTCGTGTTATTGATCTCATCGAGATCGTCAAGTATTATACCACCTTCCTTTTGAATGTCGATGAGGCGACCTCCTTGTAAGGTCAAAGTATCTTCTCAAGTCGACCAAAATGTGCATCCTGTGTACTGTTCTTGTTTCCTCTTCTCACCATGCAGGCTCTTTTCCTTGGAGCCATTGTCAATAAACATTTGTACTGTGACTAACGTTAGCCCTGTGACAGAAAGCCATGGGCTGATCTTGAAGGTAAGAGGTTGTCCGTTCAAATCTATTACTCAACATCTCTGAGGATCAAAAGACAATGATGTTCGAGATAGACAAGGATATCAACGCATAAAGTTAGATACTGACACATGTCGAGCATTGCATCCCGTACTCATACATATGCTCGGTCGTCGTGTTTGATCACTGTCCAACATGTATGAAGGGGATCCATCTCTCGAAAGCTTTTTCACCCGCTTGACGACGTAGGTGTGCGACTGCGTTATGAAGCGCACGAGCTGCCACGTCAACCGCTGTGTAGTGTTTATCGCTCTTACCAGCTTCTATAAGCTCGGAATATACTCCATCCGCGACGATGGGTCCATCGCTGTCTCTGATAGACCACATCGTCGCCAGAACAGTTCGGTGTCCTGCCATCAGCATGCCTGCGGCCAGATGAATGGCTTCGTCCGGTAATGTCTCATCTCCCGTGGCAGTCTGGCAGGCGGATAAGAAGGCAAATTCCGCGCAGGAAAGAGACTGCTGGATGATTGTCGAAAGCTCGAGGGGGCCATCATCAAGGAGGAACGCGCTTCTCCTCGGATCGTCGGAACGCTGGATAGCATGACATGCCAAATGGATCCAACCATTCTGTTTCATGCCTTCCAGAACATATCCTACCGTTGCTTCCTCCTTGTTCAACCATGTCCACCTCATGTTCCCGATGTGCTTTTGAATGGCCTTGACTTCGTTCGTTGTACCTGGAAGGGGACTTTGCCCGGGTGTAGATGGTTGGCTGATGGCAAGAATTCCGGGACCGTCTAAGGCTGGTTCTGGTAAAGTATCGCGTCGAGAGGCGAGAAGTGCAGATAGACTGGGTGTATAGGACGATACGACACAGTCGAACACTTTGGATGGTATTTCTGCCGATGCACTATAGACTCCTGCGGCGTGAAGTGGTAGAGTTGCCATCGCGCCTGTTGCGCACCATGTGAGGTGTGGAAGATCAGTGGCTTGTCCCTATCACCGTTGTAATCGTTGAGCAGGGCGAAAATCATTGTAAAATTGAGGACATACCTGATTGAGATAGCCAAGGCTGTCCAGCACTGGAGTAACAACATGTCCCCAGAGAATGCGCAACACCTTCTCGAAGTCGCTTGTCTGGGCGACGTGGTGAGACTTTGAACCACGTTCGGCGCGCACACCTGCAGTCTTTAATGCGCGGCGCAGCCAGTGCTTCATAGCATCTATGCTTGGCACAGATATTGTGGAGAGCTCGACGTTTACAACACGCTGTTCACTCCTATTCTGAACAATAAGCGCGTCACACCGCGACTCGTGGATATTGATGATGACAACAGGCCCAAATCGTGCTGCTCCCACCAACTCATGCATCTTCTTGGGCTTTAAGAATCCTTCAAACCCTGCGATACGGCGTGCGTCCTCTACCAGCTTGTCCCATCGCTCAGCGAGGCGACGGCGTGCAAGAGAAGCGTTCTCCAGATCACCAATGTCTGGGATCTGTGATGTCTCAGCGTGCTCGAGGGCTTGAGAGACGTGCATGAGTTCGTCCGCGAGTGCAGCATCAACAGCATGAAGATCCTGTATGGGTGTGCGCAGTTGAAGCAGCTGGCCCCAAACGAGTGAACGGCCCTGCTCCAACCACTCGACGGCCAGTTCGTACTTCCCTAGAGCTATGGCCGCGGCTGCTGCGTTATTTACAGCATCACTCATGGATTCGATGTCGCTGTATCGGCGTGACACTGGGGTGCCCAACCATATGAGCCGTGATACGAGAGAGATGACGGTTCCATGAGCCTCGAGAAGCTGTGAGGGGTCGCGCTCCGAGGCAACCTTCGCCCACTGCAGAGCGGCTTGGAATCGAAGAGATGGCTCGTTGGTAGGAGCGTCAGCTGCCGTACGATACGCATTCGTCGACGCTTGAATGTCCGCCCTGTCTCCGGTGACCTGGAAGCGCGATATATACGACATGCCCAAATTCCAGAAGTATTTTGATTTCTGGGCATATCCATCCGGAAGAAGACCGATCGCATGCTCCAAGTGGGAGATGGCCTGTGTTATGTCGAGAACGTCTCTCGTGGACTCAAATTTGGCCATGAGCACGGTAGCGAGGTTGTTTAGGTGTGCGGGTTTTCTGGCGTCATCGTCGCTAGTGAGCGCGACAGTTCGCTCGCTCAATGCCACAGCCTCATCAATACTGGAATCTTGACCGTCTTTGTACCTCTGGTAAAGACGTGCAAGTGAATTGCCGAGTTCGATATAGAATGAAGGATCGCGCATGAGAGCAATGGCTTTCTTCTGGCACGATATTGCCTTGACTAGGTCGTTACTGCTGTCTGTTCGTTCGAACCGATTGACCAGCGCCATGGCGAGGTTCGAAAGATACATCGGCTTGTTCTTATGTTCGTCGCGAGTCAACAACACGGCTTGCTCGTGATGTTTGATTGCTTTGTCGGCGTCCGGGAGATTACCGAGGCGATCGAAACGACGTCGAAGAGAGTTTCCAAGATTGCCGAGACGCTCGGGCTTCCAGGTGTCGCTCTCCGGTGTTAATGCAACACTTTGCTCCTGCAGGGAAACAGCCTCGTCAATGTCAGGAAGATTTCCGGTCCACTCGAACCGCGTCCGGAGAGAGACCCCAAGACTTTGAAGTCTATGAGGTCTACTGACGTCGTCAGGATGTGTGAGATCAAGGGCTTGTCTGAACAGGGTTATAGCATGGTCAAGGTCTTCGGGTTCCGCCCGGGTCAACTCGAACCGGCTTGTCAACGCATTAGCCAAGGTGGTGATGATTTTTGGACGATGGATGCTCTCCGAGGGGGTTAACGCATTGGCCTCCTCTGCGCGTGATATGGCCATCTCGACGTCTGTAACCTTTCGCGATGTACCTGAAAGATAGTATAAGGCAATGGCGAGGTTATGAAGCGCTATGGCCTTGTCTTCGTTGCCGGATGCCAATGCGGCGGCCTGTTCATGAGACGAAATGGCCTTGTCGAGGTCCGTGACATCGCCAAAGTGTTGATAACGAGCAGAACAAGTGACGCCGAGGTTGCTTAGAGCGAGAGATTTGGCAGAATGCGTGTCATCGAGGAGAGATACCGCACGATCTTGGATATCAATGGCCTCGTCGACATCGCTATGGACACCCAAACGCCTGAAGCGCCGGGATAAACAAAATCCTAAATTTGTGAGACGTCTCCACAGCTTTGGGTGGTCTGTCGACGTGAGCAGGACCGCTTTACGCTGAGCCACTATCGCCCTATCGAGATCGTGTACATCACCCTCCCGAGTGAAACGGTCGAACAACGTGATTCCAAGAGTAGAGAGAGTTTCCGGATTATCATCCGAGGCAATATCTGTATCAGACGACGCCTGACTGGCCGTGTCCTTACAGATTCGGAAGACGAGTTCAATATAGCAATCCACTGTGGGAGATGTAAAATGAACGAACTCACCGTTTCACCAACGCTAATATGATGTATGTAAGTGTGCCGCATATAATGGGATTGAAGGATTACGGCCTACATACCTCGACGCTTCAGGCGCAGTTCCTGGTCCCTATAAGGGAACCAGGTTCTTACCTTGCGCTGGAAATACTGAAACATTTCCTTTCTCGGCGGCCAATGTCCGCAGCAGCTTGTCCAGTTTTTAATCGATTTTAACTGATTAATGGTTCCAGAACCTTCCGGAAGAGGGCACGAGATGGTCTCGCCTCTTGACTGCGGACCGCAGATTCCGCCGCTTCGTTTCAGAGTCCGCTCAATATATACTTCGTTCAATCTCCCTTTTTTGAGACCAACAATGCCACTTAAACGTACTCTCCATCCCTCTGCTTTTGAACGCCGCGTTCGCCCTTGCCGGAGGTCTGTCGTGATCGAGGATACTCCTCAATGCGACTGTCCTAACCGTAAGTCCATACTCAAATATCGCAGTAGTCCATTTCTAACGCTCAGGGACGTATAGTTAGTTTGCCCTCGTTGCCTTCTACGTTTCATTGCCTTCTTCTGTCGGAAGCGGAATGCAAACTACAACAGGTTCCTGTTGGTCGACCGATTTGCTCCATGTGTGGTTCGTTGTTTTCTTTTTGTGCGCGTGGAGAGGTACTTATGCACGTTCTCATACTAGGTGTTATCCGGGACTGTGACCCGCCGATAACCTATCCTTCTTCAACATCCCATACCCCTGTACCAGATGATCTTGACATGGACGTCGATTCCGAGCCTGACATCCCCGCGGAAGGTATGTTTTATATTTGTTTTATCGTATTCGTGTATATGCTCTTTGTCTAAGTTGCTTTCAGAACCCGCTTTTCGACTCCGAGGGGGGCGAGAAAGCCCATTTCCTCATTCGCGAGACGATGATGTCCTTGAACTTGTCAGTGACGAGGAAGCGTTTCAAGCGCTTCCCCTCGCAAAGGTGATGTCACCGTCACGCTTGACCAGTTTCTATGCCTTCGTGGCATTGGGTACTCTCCAAGAAGTTCGTTCAGTGTGTTCGGTTCGTCCTGGTCGTTACGTTGTCGTCCATGTTCCAGATGTTTCGTTACTCGTTTCGACATGTTGTTTCTTTACGCGAGCTGAATTGCAGAAGATTGGTGCTGGTCATCATGTCCGAATGGGTAGCAAGATAACCAGGGATAATGCTTATCGTGAACTCGCTTCGCATCGATGTGATTCGCTCTGTAAAGGGCATTATGTCTTGTTTGATACCATGCTAAACGAGCGGGTGATACCATATAGTCGTATTCTGCAACATGAGCGGATATTCAGACCACAGCCCGAGTGCGCCCATGATGACCCCAGGTCATCTACTGGATTGACCCAGCCGTCCGACGTTGGTGCATATCACACATCGGTATTTTCTATCAACCAAGCGGCGGAAAGTTTAGAGCTTCCTGTGGGCGATAACCACCTTCCGTATGAAAACTTTCCTGAAATATGCGATGAGGATTCGAAGTTGAATATAATCCGAGAATTCCAGGAGAATATGGATCACCGAAATTACGTTTATGACGCGTGCGCTGTATGCGAACAGAAAAAGTTTCCGTTTGAGTTATCGGTTATCCATGCTGGCGAGCTCGATTTGCAGTTGTTGAGGAACGACAACATCCCATGTCATATATGGCCTCAAGACTATGACTTCGAAGCATATGATCGTGCTTTTTTGTCTCCACATGGAATGCATGATACGACGGCAGTTTCGGAGCTCTCGGTATGTTCACAATGTTTGAGCAGCATGGAGAAAGGCAAACAGCCACCCGATGCTATCTCAAACTACCAGTACTATGGTTATGGGCGGCTTCCATCTGCTGTTCATGATGCTTTTCGGCATTCTACCATGCATGAAAAGTTACTAGTTGCTGCTTGTTCAGCAACCAATATTTCTCATGTAATATCTGAGGCTAAGGGTGGATTTCCGGGTGCTCCACAAAGGTTTTGTCAAAACAACGTCGCCATTATACCGCAGGACGTAGGCACTCTTCATCGTCTTCTGCCCCCGTCGAAAGAAGACGTGGGATTCTCGATGTGCGTGCTATTCATAGGGAAAGGTGGCAGGCCTAATATGGATACGATCAGGTCCATGGAGCCGCTTTTGGTCTCCAAGAATCGAGTGGAGACTATGCTACGCTTCCTGATCGAGAATAATCCTCATTATCGAGAGGCGAGTGTGGCCTTCAGTCACCAAAACCTAGATGCCATATGCTCTGGACCTGGGTTTCCAGCCGGAGCGGATGTCGGGATTCCGACCACGCTCGAAATACAGTATTTTGCCAATCTTGAATCTGCAGGAGAGGCCGTCAATGCTGGATACGATGCCGACGAGAGACGTACTTTCCTCATTCCCGATGATGAGGTGTATACGGAGATTACAGGGTATTCGAATACGGCCACAAAAGGCGACGGGCATCAGTCCGCAAAGATTCGTGCACTGCAATGGATCCTAGATCACAAACCATTTGTAACTGTGCGTCCGGGAACGAAACTATTTCCCGATAGGGATCCTCGTATGTTGACGTTTGTTTTTCCTCACCTTGATCCTTGGGGAATCGGGGGTTTTAATCATCCAATGCGTCAAGGAGAGTCAATCCTGCCTATGAAGAACCAAATTCGAAACTTGTTAATGCGTTACGACAGTCCTTTTGAACGGGATCCCAATTTTGCGTATGTTTGTTGGAATGCCGTTCAAAAGTTGGAGGCTGCGCGCAGCTTGCAGTTTCGTACGCAGGCTTCCAATCTTGCATATTTGGCGGATGAGATCAATGAATATAAAGATGTAATTGAAGATATGAATGAACGGTGGATGCGAGATGAGACACTTGCGCCTACGTCTAGAGGAGAACGTCGTGTTGCAGCGATCCTTGCGAAGCTTCGGCTGGTTGCGAAGGATCTTAGAGGGTCTAATGGACGTCGTATTGCGTTGCGTAACCAAATCAGAGGCTTGTTGAAGACTAATGGATGTCCTGCTTTGTTCATTACGCTGAATCCGGCAGACATCCACCATAAACTTATGCATATCCTTTCCGGACACAGTGAAGCTTCATTCGTTGAGACGGATAAGTTTCATCGTGCCAAGAACGTTGCTGCACATCCAGCGGCGGCCGCGATATTTTTTGATATCATGATCCGAGCATTCAATGATTACATTCTGCGCTATGGAAGAGATACTCCAGGTATCTTCGGCACTTGCGATGCCTATTTTGGCACTGTCGAAGCACAAGGCCGTGGAACGCTTCATTGTCATATGCTTATTTGGCTGAAAGGAAATCCTAATCCGCAAGCTCTTCGGGATCGTATGGCTGAAGATGATACATTCAAAACTGCTATGTTCGGCTGGCTGGAGTCTATCATTAAATGTGAGCTTCCAGATATGGAGCCGATAGTTGGTGGAGATGCTAATAGAGTGTGGCAGAAGCCGGTTTTGGAGTACGACACTCGTACCGCAGATGCTCCTTTCCTGGAAGATACTCTGACCGACGACGATCGTGAACGTTTCAAAGAAAGTTTTAAACATTTTGTAAGTGATCTTGCGGTTGCGTGCAACTGGCACGACCATACAGCTACCTGTTGGAAGTATCTTAGTGATGGGGAACCACACGATGATGCACATTGCCGTATGAGAGTCGACGGTAGTACAAGATCGTTCACTGAACTAGATCCTGAGACGGCGTCGATATTGTTGCGAAGGTTACATCCTTGGATCAACAACTACAATGACGTTGTTCTTTTCTTGATGAAATGCAATATGGACATTAAATATATAGGGTCTGGGCAGGCTGCAAAGGCATTAGTGTATTATGTGACTGACTATGTGACCAAAGGTTCCTTACCGTTACATCTCGGACTGCAATCGCTCTGCTGGGCACTGCGCCAGAATGAAGCGAAGTATGACGGGATGGACGATCTTGATGTGCAGTCAATGAAACGCAGTTTGATGGTGAAAGTCGTCAATGCGATGATGGGAAGGCAAGAGATATCCCATCAACAAGTTATGAGCTATCTAGTTGGGGGCGGCGACAGTTACACCAGTCATAAATTCCGCACGTTATATTGGGGTGAATTTGACCGGTATTTTAAAAGCCAGGGACAGCCAGATGCGGAGGGTGTGGTTCCTCTCGATGGAGGTGCTTTACCAGTATCAGAGGGAGAAGACAATGAACCTGAAATGCGTGAGTTCGACCTTCCAGACGATCTCGACGAAATGGATGTGTCAATGCATCTACAGAGCGCGCCATTCCCGAGAGGTCCAGCGGAAGAGGAAGTTTCTGCTGCATATGTCTCCGGAAGTATAGTTCGTCAAAGCCTAGTCGAAGACTATAGACTGCGAAGTGCAAAGCCCGTTTTTGACTCCATGGCTCTATGGGATTTCGTAGCGACAACGTTTATGGAGGCCCGTACTCAAACAGACAAAGTTTTCAATCCACGAGCAGCCAGGGGACGTCTTTTGAATGACTCCCATCGGCTGTATAAGACACATGTAAATCGACTGAGATTGGACTCACGGATAGTTCCTGTTCTTGTGGGGCCTCAGTTACCTCGAAGAGACTCTAGTGAGACTCAAAGAGAGAACTGGCATCGTCTGATGTTGATACTCTTCAAACCGTGGCGATGTCCATCTGATATCCGGTCTGCGGGTCAGAGTTGGGAAGCAGCATTCGAAAGCCATGCCTTTCCACCACATCTAGCGAATATCATTAAAAATATGAATATAGAACAGGAATGCAAGGACGCCAGACAAGCGTACGATTCTGCCAGGCGCGCGCACAAAGTAGCTCCTTTGATTCACAGCTCAGATGCACCATACCAACTTGGCGATAATGCTGACGTGTTCGAGCTGGCGGTAATGAATGATGAACGGTTCAATGTGGCATTATTGAAGGGAAACATCGACGATGATCCTTTGGCAAGAGCGAGCGAGCGTTTGCTTGCAGCTGATACGCGTGTCAGAGAAACTTTGAGAAGTCTCGAGAATTCGGGTGTTTTGTCCACCTCGATAGAAGGTGATGGCGAGAACATCTTGCTAGGCGGATCTACATATCCAGCAGAGCGTGTCAAAGAACAAGCGGTTTTGATGAGGGCGTTTGGAAAGAACAAGCGACCCAACGTTCCGACGCAAAGCGAGGCTCTGACAGAGGAAGAACGAGGGTCATACGGTGACTTTGATCCACGCACCTATGTTGATCGTTTACTGGGTGAACGTGCTCGCCCACCGCCATTACCAGCTCAGCAAGGCGAAACAGTGGAGAGCACATATCGAAGGGCGTCTGACGCTGTCATTACCTCGGTATTAAAGGACTTGAATATTAGTGAAAATGTAGAGCAAGAGACTGCAGTACGTATCGTGGGTGAGCATCTATTGCGAGGTTCAGCGGAGCAATTGATCATGTACGTCGGAGGTGAAGGAGGTACGGGGAAAAGTCATGTTGTAAAAGCAATTGTGGATCTCTTCACGCGCTGCCAAGTACGGTCGCGCCTTCTACTAAGTGCGCCTACAGGTATAGCCTCAGTACTAATAAGTGGGTATACGGTACATGCACTTACATTCTTACCGAAGGCGGAGCATCAGAAACTTAACATTCAGGCATTGACTGAGATATGGAAGGATGTGGATTATCTTATCGTTGATGAGGTATCTATGATAGGAGCAATTTTTTTGGCGCATATGTCAGAAAGGCTTCGAGCTGCACGAGGATGGAAAGGAAAAGATTCGGACAAACCATTTGGCGGTGTAAACATGATATTCATGGGTGATTTTGGCCAGCTTAAGCCTGTATCACAGTCTTCTTTATTCTCAGAGGACCTCGTTCGTCGTATACAGCAAAATCAGGGACAATCCATGTCGGGACAGGAGTCAATGTACGGTGCTTATCTTTGGCGTCAGTTGAATCGGGTGATTTGCCTGAAAAAAAATTGGCGCCATGCAGCCGATTCTCGGTATGCATCGATACTGTCTCGTATACGACGCGGGAAAGGACGGGACAGACGTACCTCGAGAGATTCATTGTCAGATTATGAGGTTTTGCTGAACCGACAGCTCAACGTCTTGCAAAACGAAGCGAATAAAACAGGTAAGGATCTTTCGAGGTTTCAAGACTGCCCTATCATTGTGGCCGAGAAAACGCTGCGAGATGCCATCAATGTTGAAGTGGCTACTGCGAAGGCCTCTGCATATGGGAAAGATTTGCAATACTTTGTAGCCGTGGATAAACGAAATGGAAAACCAGTCCTTGGTGTACAACGTCAAAGGTTACTGACACTGCGGTCTAGTCTGACGCATGATGCACTGGGACAGCTTCCTCTGTTTGAGGGAATGAAAGTCATGGTGACAGATAATATTGACATAGGACACAAAACTGTCAATGGCTCCGAAGGCGTGGTTCAACACGTCAAGTGGGAAGTCCAAGACGATGGGACTAAAGTCGCGACTTGTGCGTATGTACACATACCTGATAGCGGGTTGAGGCTTCCAGATTTACCGCCCAATGTTGTTCCCGTGTTTCCTGTCCGTACGTCGGTTGACTATGTCGCACCTAATTCAAAGAAGTATTCTTTCAGTCGGTATCAGCTTCCGCTCCTACCTGCTTATGCGTATACAGACTATAAGGCGCAGGGACGTTCTCTGGACACCGTGATCGTCGATCTTGCTGGGTGCCGCAACGCACAGAGTGCATACGTGATGCTCTCTCGTGTGCGTACGTTGGAAGGTCTCGGGATTCTGCGATGGTTTCCGCCAATCAAAGTCTCGAAGCCTTTACAGCATGATCTTCGAGATGAACTGGACAGGCTCGAACGCTTGTCTGTAGAAACATTGAAACACTTTTTGTAACTCCGCTTGTATTATCGTTCTTTCTGGTTCCAGCAGCTTGGCCTGTGTGGCGCTAGATACCGCACGCCCACGCCGGGCCGTGTGGCGTTGAACTCGACGGTGTACTGCAGATTTCTGGTTTTCATGCTGTATCCAATTTCTATCTTGTTTACTATAAGCCACTGGTTCAAAGCTATGTGTGACACACTACTGCTACTCATCCAGACAAACAAATAGAATATAGTATAGAACCTAATATTGAGAATTAAAGAGAATATGTAGGAAGATCGATTGGTAGAACACTGTCATTATCAGATGGGTTAATGTGTGTGAAGATCAAGATGAAATGCTGATATGACGTACAGGTGTATACTTCATGCTACAATAGGACGTGAGAGCAGCTTGGAGTCCTCGATGCGCAAGCGATTATCGAGTCGAGTATCGTGTGGTACGTCATACGAGTCAAACTCGAAGGCTGGATGAGGATGTGAGCTTGGAAGTGCAAGAAATACATCAATATTGTTCCTCTCATGAAAAAATGCCCAATCATGTTTCTTCGTCACCAAATAAAAATCATCCTTGTAATTGGTGTCAAGAACTGAAGGTCCGACAAGTGCCTCATGCATCCGTAGTATGCCGACTTTCTCAGAAACAGCGGACCCTTCCCCATATTCATCCCCATAGATAAATACCAATGCATAAAAAAAATCTTGTGCCGAGCCAACAAAGCTGAGAACAGCAATGTGGTGAACTATGGGTGACGTGTGTTGGTAAGCACGCACATCACTTCCCACACGAACTCCGGGGATGGTTGAATGAGAGTCGAGGAAATGTCCAATGGCCGTGAGCATAACTGTGGGGTATGGGTTGGCAGTGATCTTCATCTTCCACACGCTGAGCTGAGATTCTATACAGGCACAGCTTTGTCCAGTGAATGAAGTCGGCCCATAAGCGCGCACGGTACGGTGATCATCACAGTTAACAAGCAGTTCCTGTGGAGCACCATTATGGGCTGGATCTCTGGAACATGTGTCAGAGTTTCGGCTCTAGATATCTCATCAATTGACTTACTGGATCCCTTCTTCTTCGGGGATTGGAGGCAATGGTTGTTCCATCTGCACCGCTATCATAAATCTTGTTCATAATGGCCGATCAATTTTCATCCTTAATAGGTTATGAGATTTATGAGCCTACCCTTCCATAATTGTTGCGGGCGTGTGTCCCATTAGCATTGCCCTGAGTTCTCTTATGTTTGAGCGGTATGTGGCATCTTCTAGCCAACAAGTGTCACACAAATGCAACCAATCTTTGGTGGGTGGGGGTAAAGTATGGGCACAAATGCGTAGGAGTGGAGAGTTGAGAGTGGAAGCCACAATTGAAGGACTGTTCATGGTGGTAGTAGAAGAGGAAGGATGTGTTCTGGTACGAAACAGGGTGTCCCCTCTTTTTCTGGCTCGAGAGTCTTCAGAATTGTTACGTATTACGGGCCGGACTGCTCCGATGAATGACTCCAAAATGCGTGTTTTTGCCAAGAAGCGCAGTTCAAGATAAGCTTCTTGATAGTGGAATTTTCCGTCTTTAGGGAAGATCCCTTTAACCGTAAAGGCAAAAATTCTGGAGCTTCTCGAGTCAGGAAAAGAGGGGACACCCTGTCTCGTACCAGAACACGTCCTTCTTCTCTTACCACCACCACCACACTCCTTCCACTTCCAATCAATGTTCTCTCTTTGTCATCTTTTGTCTCGAGCAGGAGCTGCAATCAAACGCTTCGTGAAGGGTCGTCGTGATAATGAGCGTGGTGTTGTTGTTGTGTTGTCTGAAGTGGTCTCAACAAGGTGCGTATTACAGCTGTTGGATTAATAAAACTTACGGTCTTATCTTCCTCACACAGGGTTGACATCGTTGTCCCTCCGCAGACACCTCCATGCACCTTCATCATCCCCACCACCATCCATTCCGGTACTCCCGTTCTGCCTGTATCCCTCCGCCGTCCTCGTTGCCTTTCATTCACAGCAATGGCCCGCCCCTCTCAATACTACTCCAGTCAAGATCGTGAGTGGGATCTCCACAGCGAGCATGCCGCTACCTTTGTCTTCCACGTAGCAAGTGTGGTGAAGAATGAAGTTACGAAGGAGTATGCGTCGATCTGTACGGGGTGGGATTCATGGTTTGTTCAGGAGGATAGGATCATGTGTCTGGCCATTGGGTGGGAAGTCTACCATGATCATTTCTCTGCGATCCACCACGCGTACATCTATGATTCGCCGAGGGGGAGGGTTTGGTCGAACAATGTGAAGGAGCGCTCGAAGATTGTTGGACGTGGATACGTTGTTATTCCTAACCGATATGTCTGGCACTTTGCTACTTGTGGTAACACTATGCCTAGGAGCTCATCAGATCTTCATCAATGGCTTTTAGAGGATCATTCACAGTTGAGTGTTCGAGAGGATGTTCAGCTTACCTTTGATTATGGACTTCTTCCACTACATGTCAGTGCTGATGCATTTCCGGGGGCATGGTTTTTGAAGGATGAGCGTAGATCGAGGAAGGATTGGGGATGGCTTGTGGATGAGGAAGCGGAAGACGAGTAGATGGATGACGATCAGATTGTGGGCTATTCTTGGACTCCTGCTTTTACTACAATACGGTCATTGGGTCTTCGAGCTCTAATTAGTGTACAGTACTTATAATATGATTCAATGCCTGGAGCATTTATAACAATATACATCACATATGCATATTTTTCTGACCATATTTACTCATAGTCGCTGGACAACGGTCTTGTTATGTGTGTTTTGAAGCTACCTTTCGGGTCGACTCACCAGATTAGTCATCTTATCTTATCTTCAATATGTTCTTACCCGGATCCGCCCGGCCCCGCGGGTTCTTGCCACGCTTAAAATACGGACCGCCCAGATTGTGTGTACACGCTCCTGGTCTCCTTTGTACGGATCGGCGATCCACAAACTTTGTCGACATTTCGAAATTATCTTGCAGTTGCCTTCTGATTCTAGTGCGCGAAGAATGACTTGCGTTATCTTGGGCCCTGACGTTGTATCGCGCACTCTTATTATCTACGAGTGACTTAGGCTGTCCTCGCTTCAATCTGTTTTCGTTCTATGCCTGCTCGAGATGCCATGTTCTCTTCGTGTTGTAGTCGACTGCTATGTATGTGATGTCTGGACTTGGCTTACGGATGACAGACCAAGCTGAACACTTGGTCACAAAAACATCCTGTTAGATACTAACCAAACCTGGTACGCGAACTGAGAGCGATTAACTTACCATCTCCATTCGTTCCCCAACTTTGTTATCCCGATACAGCTTTGCTCATTGAGGGTTCCGTGATACATATTGTATGATCCGGAAGGCATCCACATGGATTTACCGATTGGGAGATACACCTGGGTTGCTCTCGGCTGCGAGTATAACGCTCTACATTGCTGCATTCACCCTGAGTCACGAAGTACACATCCAGCTTTGGGGTAGTCTTGAGAACTGTAACCGATTTGCATAATTCGGTATGTTCCGTCCTTATATATCCAGAGACCTCGCTCCTTGCTCGATAATAAATCTTCCAAGCATTCATCATCGCCGAGTCTTTCTATCTGTACGCCCCACGAGCTCACTTTCTCACTCGTTCTCTATGCGCTGATACCAACGTCCCAGATCTCCAATGTCATCCATTTACGATCTATCCGTTCTTGATGGCGGGGGCGTGGCCCTTCGGTCGAGTATCAACGACTCCGCGATGCGCGAATTGGCTAACGGAGGCCTCCCTTTCGATGTCTTCCTCCATATCCTTTCCTTCATACCCATGCGCGAGCGCACGACCCTCATGTGGCATCTCAGAGCCTCGGCGCCATACTTTGCGATCGCGTTCGATGTACAGCCGAAGCTGTGGATGGATGTCTTCTCGGGTCAGGAGCTTGACTTCGAACGGGACGCCATCAATCGCTACGTCTTCGGACTCTGGTTGTCCCTTGCCGCCATCAATCGCCGTCTACGGAGTACTGTCACCACCACACACGAACCTCGCGACCTCAACTACACGCTAGGTCTTCTTCCTGACGAAGCTTGGCCTCACGCCACCCGTCTCGATGTGGCTATTCCTACGGATGACCGATTGACGGATGACCTCGGAGGACTTTTAGATCTTGCATCCAATGCGTTGGAGATCACGCTAGCCATCGACGGTCACGAATTTACCACGAGAACTTCATCTTCCTCGTATCCTTCCGTTGCCCTTCCGGATTGTCTTCTTTCTGTTGCATTACGAGTTTTGAACCTTCGCAGCATATGCTTGAGATCGTCATTCCTCTTTGTTGCTGATTTTTCAAATTTGCTTACTTTAGTCTTGAATGAGCTTAACGTTGTTGAAGACGACGACAGAGCGGCTTCATTGTATGATATTCTGCTTACCACACCCCGCCTTGAGACTGTGGAGGTGCGCGCATCTGCCGGTGTTTTGTTATCTGAGAGGTTTTGGTCCTTCCCTCCTCCCGATCCTTCGTCTTCAATCTTGGTTCCACATCTTCAACATGTCGTGCTCGCGGGCGATGCTCAGCAAACCCCTTCCGCCTACAATTACTTGGTTGATCCTTCGATTCGTCCTCTTACGTTCGTGTCTTTTCTTCTTTATTGCCATTCGAATGTTATTGGTGTTCCATATCCTGACCTCGCCCTTGTACCTCCCTTTCGCGAAGCGGTATTGTTCACATGCGATACCCTTTTCTTTGTTCCAAATTTTTTCGGTATCGCTTGTTCTCGCATTGGGCCTTCGGGACGGAGATTGGCCATGGAGGGTCATTGGGAGTTCATCGACATAGGATTTAGCGGCTGGGTATGTCTCTCCCGGGTGATGTGAACTCTTAGCTGACTTCGTCCTTTTGTGCTTGTAGACGAGAGAGGACAGGAGGCGTGCCTTTGAGTCGTACCTAGACGGCATCCAGGCGATAGTGTTTGAACGACGGCCGCCGACCGTAGGTTTATTCGACACGAACTTCTGCTTCGGTATTCGCATCATGTCATATCCTCCTTGGGACTGGCTTTCGACGTTCGTCTGCGATGGCGACGATATCTTTTTGGAAAGGATACTTCATTATATCTATCATCGTCCAGATCAGATGCCGTTACTTGAAAATCTTCGATACCGTTACAATCAGGGGGTCTATAGTGACGAGGTTCGGTTGCACCTGCTTTCGATACTTCGCGTTATCACCATCCCTTCGTTCAACGAGCCTTCTGATCGGGAGTTGAAAGTGCATTTTGAAGTTAGTACCCATGTTAGCTTCGAGGTCGAGCCATATATTACTATGTTTACTTATGTATTCTGTTTTCTCGATCCTTCTCTTTCGCGTCTAGTATAGTTTTGTGATTGTGTACATATATGTGTATTTGCCGTGGTTCACATTATATATGAGTGGTGGTTGTATTAATTGAGACACATATAAACAGGAGATTACGCAAGGACGACGTCTGCTTCTTCTCCTTCAAAATCTAACTTCTGCTCTTGGATTATAGGTTCGTCTACGATATCGGGGATACTCTGTCCAAGCAACTAGGGCAAGTGTCAGAATAAGTATATAAAGGGAGGATGTAGCTTACTGTCGTCAACTCCTCGGCAGTGTGGAGACGGACAATTCTGGTGAACGTAAAGTGGACGTCTGTCTTGCGGTCTCTGATTGATCTACCAATGGACGCAATCTCTATGGCAGCCGTGACATCGACAAAATCGCCACGGTTGAATACGGCAGGGCTCGTGCGCTTGATAGAGCCATTGTCGAGCTTGCGGCCGTAGGGAGGTGGTGGGGATGGGATCCACCGATTGCAGATGGATGCGAGACGAGTTTCATCCGAGTCAGCGGTGGACATAAGAGGGCGCTGGAAGCTATACCCGTCGACCTAGAGCTTGTTAAAGGCACTGCAACGTATGATGTAACACTCAGCGTCGTACTTACTTTGGAGAACGCTCTTCGAAAGAAAAACATCTGCTCTGGTTTATAGCTGCTGCTCGGTTCGTGCTCTCCAAGAAGCCGGAATACCATCTTCTTGATGTTTGCGAGGGCGTTTTGCTGTACGGAAAATTGATGTTGGAATGGACCGGCTAGGAGGGAGACGAATTGGATCGCTGTCCGGCATGGACATTGTTTTGTATCCAGAACCATCCCTAGTGTTATTTTCTTCAAAGCGAGATGATCGCTGGAATTCCATGCCTAATTCGACGATAAGGTTTTCCAGAGACAGGAGCTGCTAGAGCGTGCAAGAATAAATATGGAGGCTAAGGCGGCGCAGAAACTTCAGACGAATTCAGACATAACCACATCACCATCATGTTCACTCTTTCGAATCTTTCTCGTATTTCCACCATTCAAACTGTAACCGAAGCCGACATAGGGCTCGAGCCAATTCACTCATCCCCGCAATCAGCTCATTCCAATCAGTCACTCATTGCGGGTCGGCCGCCTAACGAGCCATACACCCTTTTGCCTACTCACTATCCTGCATTCGTCATCCCGTTTCGAAGGCGTCAAGAAGAGG